CAAGCCTAGTAGATAACATTAACAAATCAATCACCCTGATTCTACTGAGTCTAAATTTACACTATCTGGCCCAGGGATTGAACTCACAATTACAATATCACCAAATTCGCAAGGCAATAGTTAAATCAACCATGTTGTTGTCAATCCCTAGGCCAGGTATATGACTTCTAATAAAACAGATTTATTTAGATAATTTATTATAATAAAATCAGTAATATTTTAATAAACTAAATGCTAGTGATAATAGTTTTAATTAATTTATAGTAATTGAAATAATAATTTAATAGACTGGTTGATTAAAATAGTATATATTTTATTATTATAAATTAAATATAATTTTTATTTTATTTATGCTATTTACATTGTTTGGACTGTTGTCGTCACCTTTATTGTCATATTCATGACATTTCAGCCATTGTATGCTCTGGCCTTCTTCAGGTAATATACAATGGAATTTCAAACTGAACCCTTTATTTAGTTAACTGGGGTAATCCGAAAAATGTAAATAGTTACAATACCTCATCTCAGGAATATAGACAAACATTTATTTTATTAAGATATATTAAATAAATTAACATATTTTATTTACTATTTTTTTAAATGCTATATCACTTCAGTATATAAACAGTAATGACTCTTTACAGCTTCCCTCTCTTTAAGATCTGTGAATTTGCAAAACAAAAACTTTCAGGATCAAGTGCCACTTGACTGGAAGGTAGGAAATTCTTATATAGTCAGAGTGCATTCTAGATATGAGCAGTGAAAGTCACAGTTATAGTACAAAGAAATGTAAAGTCAGATGAAAACAGAGTTCTCACTGGCTAAAGGGAAAATCTGGTTTAGTGGTCAGTGAAGATGTCACAGATGTCAATTACCTACCCCCAAATGGTGCCAGGTAAATGCATGAATAAAGAACACTGCTTAACAGAATCAACAAACCCCTTGCTTTTCTAACTAAGATCATCTTTGAGAATTTTCTTGTTTTCATTTTCTTTGTTAAACATACACCAGGGGCTTTATCAGTTTTGTTCCCACAATCATAAACAGGGATCAAATGATAATATGGAATAGAAGCTGACCAGTTGGTAAAAAACTGAGAGACTTGGATGTATGTTAACAAGTGTTTATTCAAGCCCAGGTAAAAGCCATAATTTTGAATGTTGATTTTCAAGGCAGATCCTCTTCAGATGAGAAACTGGCACAATACAATCTTCTTACCTTTCTTTCTTCTCATTTAACTTTGCGTTGTGCTTAGTAAATATCAATATTCCTAAAAGTTTCTTAGCTTGGCTTCATTACGAAGGATCTAGGAATGGGGCTTTCCATGTCTGTTGCAGACTTATTGCTAACAGACCAATCCAATGCAGGACAAAGAGAACCAGTTACAGCAACTACATGGGAATTTTTGGTTTGGGGTTGGAACTCTAATAACAGAGTCGATGAGATTTTTCCCCTCCTTTTCCTTTTGTCCATCAGGTCAGTCTTGTATTCATTAAAGGAGAAAGCAATTTACTAATATGAAAGTTTATAAAAACTGCCTTAAATGCTAGATCATCCATACTAAATTTGCATCCATGTTCTTACAACATGTTGCATTTCATGGCAGATCTTCTATTATTGCCACATTAAATAATAAAATTGATAAAAATGAAAAGAAAATAAAGTAAATGTAATTGGCTAGACTATATCTACAAATACATATTTAAGAAATTAAATTTACATTTGAAAATTTCAGAGACCCACCCCCTTCATGTACATATATAGGCACATTCTTGGAGAAACAAGAATGATAGCATTAGCTGTTTCCTTATAAGGAAAGATTTTGGCAGTCAATCACCAAGCAGACAATACTCCTGTTGAAATTTATAAAATTTATGTCTTAAAACAGTTTTTCAACAAAATAGGTTTCTCAACTCCAGTAGCTATTCTTGCTCCTTCCAATATTAATGGCGTTTTCTTTCTTAACCTTTTATTTGAAATAGTGTGTGACTATAAGTAATTTTGACTATTTTGATTACCATACTGAAAGCACCCAGTTCTTGACAATGACTGTGATAGTCAAAAGTACTTGAATATAATAGAAAATAACATGAACTTTGGACAATTTATTCATAACTGCAATCCCATGTACAACAACATCTCATTAAGAAATTGGAAAGATATAATAAAACATTGAATAGACAGACCTTAGTGGTGGAAAATAATAAAACTTGTTTGGAAATATATATATATATATATATATATATATATATATATACACACAAGGGGGAAGAAATACAACAAATGCTTGTTATAATTTTACATTGAGAAATGCTGCAGATACAGGGATGCATAGCTTTAAATTTGAATTCAAAATTTTTTGGGATGTCTGATGTATTTAGTTGCATAAGCTAGCCAATCTTATGCATAAGTTTCCATCTTGATGGACAAGGCATATGTCAGTCTGCCTGTGTGACAATGAATGCTGGACAATCTCATCAATGATAAACTTGAGGAAATAGAAATGTGATTCTACAGAAGGATGCTGAGAATACCATGAACTGAACTTGTGAGTAATGAGGAAGTTTTAGGAAAATTGGAAAAAAAGGACACCTACTTAGAATTAGAAAGAGAGAATTGAAATTTGTAAGGTACATACTGAGGAAAGAGGGTATGGAGAATTTGATACTCACAGGATATAACTAAGGCAAGAGAAACAGAAGAAAGCAATGATAGACCTACGTAATGGGATTGTACAATTGGTTAGTAGAACAGGGACTAGGTGAGATAGCAAAAAGATGTCCACAAAGGACAGGAAGTTGTGGAGAGCCATGATCGACCATGTCCTGAAAGCACATGGAAGAAGAGGAAGATCAGTTTAAAAACAACCTTCACAATTGGTCATACAGAGTTCCTTATAATGAGCAGTTGAGAAGATAACTTCATCTTATGCTTTTTCCTGATCAGTACAGGAATCAATTCCTTGATTAATACGCATTTGATTAATATGTTTTCAATTAGTGCGTTGAAACATTTTATACTAAAATTTGATTAGTGCATGTATAATACATAATTAGTGCGGTAAAACATTCTTCAGTTTAACCATAGTAATTGAAACATGATGGAATAATGGATAGTGGCTCGAATTGAGGAATCAGAGAGCCGAGTTCGAATTCCAGTTGAATCCATTATATTCACTTATGTGCTAATACCCTTGGGAAAGGTATGAATCCTCTTCTCAAACCCCCCCCCGCTATGGTTAAATAGCAGGACAGACCAGGTTCTATAGCCTTGGATGGTAATTGGTCTACCGCAGAAAGAAATGGCAACCTACTGAGGGAAAAAATCTACCTCGTTAGTCATGCATCAAAAGATCGCTTAAGCATGTATCACACATGGCACATAACTGACTGAATTGAAAATTGATTATTTATAGTTACCAATTAATTAAAAATTTTCTAAAATTTAAAAATGGAAAATTGGTAACTATTTCATTCATCAATTTTGTTTATTTTTGATTAGTGAATGTCTTTTAATGTACACATTAGCTGCACTAATCAAGGGATTCCTGTACATTGTTTTGGGGGGGGCTTACTTTAACATCCTCCCCACTTGAATGGTCATTTTAAATCATCCTCTCTAACTTTTGGCAGTTAAACATCCTCCTAACAGAATAGTCAAAGAAGAAGAATGTTTAATGAAAGTTAAAAAGACAAGGCATTCACTCATTAAATGAATACATTTTTAAATGCATAATCACCAAATTTCTTTTCCTATTTCTAAGCATATCTCTTGGGATTTTTTTGCATGTCTGGTCTCATTCAGTATTCCCCCCCCCACTTATCACAGATTCAAAATTTATATGAATGATTGGCAGTAATTCCTTCACAAGCAAAGGAAAGATGAAGGCTTACAATGCAATATGAGCTTTTATCTATTTTTAAATGCAACAACGTTTCAGGACATAAGCAATCATGGCTCTCCACATGCTTCATTTCTTTATTATCTGGCAAGTGCCATGTAAATTTGGCTTCAAAAATTATGAAAATATTATTCTTTTTAAAAATAGGTAATTAAGGGTAGGAATTAATGAAAGATACTAATGGAAATATTGATAGTAAACAAAACTTGAAATCATAAGGATAAGAATTATTGAATGATTCTAATGGAAATAGGATAATTAAATAAAATTTAAATCATAAGGGTAGGAATTAATGAAAGATTCTCATAAAAATAATGAAAGAGTCTAATGGAAGTATTAATAGTAAACAAAAATTGAAATCAGAAGGATAGGAATTAATGAAAAACTATTATAATTATTAAATTAGTTGATAAATGGTAATCTAATTTCTTTCAAAAAATATTGGTGAAATAAATGACTGAAAAACTATCAGAATATTAATTAAATTCTTCCTCTGGCTCAGATAATTGATGATTCTTAAAACAGAGATGAGATTTCTGTGATGTAATAAAAAAAGAGAAAATGTTGATATAACCAATTAGCAATTATCAGTCAATTAATTTGCACACCCCTAATAATGATATCTAGTTTTATTAAAAAAATTGTAATTCAAAAATAAGAAAAGTGAGTCTAAGAAACTCTGGTCTTAAAAATGTAATTATAAATTTCAACTGATGATTTTAAACCATGAAGAATGGTTTTCAACAATGTCGGTTTATCATTTCCATACTGTACAAGTTTTCATTTTTTTTCCATACATCAATCAAATCAATTATTTCATATTTTCTCCTTTTTGTGGATTGTCTCCCTTCAGTATTTCTTTTTGTGTCAATTCTTTTCTGACAGAATCAATGACATTCCAGATGTTTGGATATATGAGAAATACAATTCAGACCTTAAATAGCTTTGTTTTTTTTACTTTTGAAATAGTTTTATATTGAATTTGAAATAGGGACATACTTGATAACCAAATTTTTCTGACAAAAATTTCTGATCACCAAACTTTATAATTATCATCCAAAGAATTATCTAATTAGTTTAAAAACGAAACATAACTTACAGTTTGTGGCCGATCTCGGTATTGGTAGGTAAAATCCATCTCTCGTCCAGAAGGTCCAGTTGCAAGGGCGATTGGCAGCAAATGGTTATCCGGAATTACATGACCTGTCAGAACATAATAATAAATTGAATATAAAAAAATATAAGGATGAAAATATTAAGAAATCATAATCTCAATATAAAATGTTGCATAAGGCCTTATTTAAACATGCAAACCTATACACATCTGCATGTTGTTTATAAGAATTTGCTCAATTACATTGGCATTTTAATCCAGGTATCAAGGTTTACCTATGGACTCTACATTGTAAGTGCAATAGTCAGATTCTACCTAAGAGACAGATTCCCAGACCAGAGACAGAATTCCTTAAGGAAAGAAAGGGCTCAATAAAAATAAAATAAAATAGAGTTATTCTTCCAGAATCCCATCAGATTCATGTCTGAAAAAATGTCATTAATATAGGGCATTTAAGGAAGATAAACAAAGGTTTTGTACACAGGTACTTTAATAATTACATTTCTGATTTGTTGGTTGATTAAAACATTTATATGCTAGAATGGGAGGCACAATGGAGTAATAGATAGTGGCTCAGATTGAGGAATCAGAGAGCTGAGTTTGAATTCCAGTCAAATCCATTACTTGCTAATACCCTTGGGAAAGGTATGAATCATCTTCTCCCCCCAACTCCCCCACCCCAGCTATAGGTAAATAGCAGGACAGACTGGATTCTATTGCCTTGGATGGCAACTGGTCTACGACCGAAAGAAATGGCAATCTACTGTGGGGAAAATATCTGCCTCATCAGTCATGTATTGAAAGATACATGATCGCCTAAGAGTATATCACACATGGCACATAACTGGCTAACTGATGCTAGAATAGAGAAAAATAGTGATAAGTGAACAAATACAAGAAATATTTTATTAATATTAAATTGCCTACCTATCTACCTCATCAACCTCAGGTGAGATCATAGAGATAACAACTCTTCACCACAGTTAATTGTGAACTCCCTTGATATTTTTAATGGCTGTATGGCATACAGCTTGCCAGGGCTACATAACTGGTTTTAAATTCAGAGCTATATTCACTTAGACTGGTTGCCAACTATGGCTAAATCCCAGTCTCCCTGCTATTTAACTTGTAGCTGGGGGAAGTATTAAATTGCACTTCTTAGATAAATTCTCAATAATATTCCTTTGTTGCTAAGTAAAAAATTATGCTTATAAATATGACAATTTCTCAATAGTTATTTTATACATAAACTTCATAACTAGGTCTGATTAATTTCTAATTTACATGAAGTTAACTTGGTTAATTATAATATCTATGTGGGTATCCCAATCTGAAGTAGTGCTAGTAAGCTAATCTTGTTGATCGTTACTGCTGTAGTGAGTCCACTCATCAGTGGATTCTCTATGTTTGTGGCCTTGTTATGCTTGATTAATATCTATGCAAGCACCCTACCCTAGAATAAGGGTCTATATGATACTCTTGCAAAGTGTTACTACTGTAGTTAGTTCAACATTTCTCCACATATATAAATATCAAAATAAATTGGAGAATATAAATTCTATCAGACTCAAGGTGGGTAACTGAATGACAAAATGGAAAAATTTTATTTATTTTAGTATTTAGAAGAATGAGACAAATTGCCTAGATTTCAATTACCCATCAAAATAAATTTAGGCTTCACTAAATTCAATCCAAAATGGAAATTAGAATTTATTTCTTTTGTCCTAGTTTATGAAACTTTTTCATCCTATGATCAGTTATGTGCCATGCATAATACACGCTTAGACGATCATGTATCTTTTGATACATGACTGATGAGGCAGATTTTTTTCCTGCAGTAGGTTACCATTTCTTTCTGCGGTAGACCAGTTGCCATCCAAGGCTATAGAAGCTGGTCTGTTCTGCTATTTACCCACAGGTGAGGAGAGAGGAAGAGGATTCATACCTTTCCTAAGGATATTAGCACATAAGTGAATGTAATGGATTCGACTGGAATTCAAACTCAGCTCTCTGATTCCTCAATCCGAGCCACTATCCATTACTCCACCGTGCCATCCTATGATAAAATCATATAATGCAAGGTAAAAATCAAGTGAGCTATTATTTTTCTTATTATTAACAATTTTCTTTTCTTGTAATAATAAGGAACAAGAAATTCATACATAAATTCCAAGACAAGAAATAGAATAAAAAACTTACCACAAGAATATTCTAGAATTCTTTCTGGATGAACACCAATTGAGCAAAACAGTTGTTCCTTAAATTCTGAAACCTTAAATAATAACAAAACAATATAGATTTATAAAATGGCCATCATAAAACTGACCACTGAAGTAACAATATTAATTTGGTAATGTAATAAAATTTTCTTTAGGACTAATTACATCCTTAATGTCCTTTGGGATGGGGGTGGGCTTAGTTGACATAAATGTAGGTTAGTTGTTATCTAGTAATCATGAGTTCAATCCCTGGACCAGGTAGTGAGAAAATATACTCCTGTTTAGCAGGAACAAACAAGAACCAGCATCATAGGGGCAAAAATAACACAGTAATCAATAGATAATATATCACATATAGCCAAAATAATGGACACCTGAAGATGTCTGGAGAATAGTTGGCTGAAGCATTTTGTCTATAGCATCTGTAACAATCAAAGATGAGAACAATATTATCTCCTTTTATTAACATATTAAAAGAAATAATAGAAAATATTGTGAAGAGCCATGATTGCCACCATCCCAAAGGGACATGATGTATAGAAGAAGAAACAAGAATTTCATTCAATATTTGTAACATATTTGCTCATAAAAAGTCAAGTACAGGGCATTCCAAAAGTCACCTAATTATTTTTTATACATTTATTTCTTTGTTTTTAAGAACTTAGATTAACATAGTAAAATTAATTATTCTTATCTTATATATATATATATATATATATATATATATATATATATATATATATATATATATATATATATATATAATTTTTTGTTTTAAACATTCCACCCCAAGCAAGGCAGGAGTGCTACTAGCATGCAAGGGGTTACAGAGAGGGAGCAAGAGTAAAGAGACATGATAGAGGAAAGAATGAAGAAAGGATTGGGAATAGATCAAGATATCTGAAGATGTCAATTGACATTGCATTTGAATAGTTGGAGATTATAGGTATCAGGGAAGTAAGTAAGAGGAAGGGAGTTCCACAGACAGGAAGTGCGAGACTTGAAGCTATTGTAGTAGAAGAGATGTCTACATTTAACCGTTTCGACAGTGAAAGTGTAGGACTGAGATGCCAACCTAGTAGCACCTTTAAATTCATGCAGTTTGGGAACCAGTGAAAATAAATCTAAGTTCTGAAAAAAGAAAAGAAATATATGAAAAATACTGAGGTATACTTTTAGAATAGCCTGTATAAAAGTGAAAGAAAAAAGATGAAATATTTAAAGAATTATCATAGAAATACAAATAAAAAATAAAATAAAATTAACCCTAAAAGATAAGAAATAGAAAAAGAAACTAAATTAAAAAGATTCTTACTATTTTTGTCCAGTTAGTTTTCCTCTTGACTCCAATGATGTTTAGCTTAATCTACAGTTAGGTGACAATAAAAAATCTGTGGTGTTAGTGACTCTCCTTCCAAACTATCCAAAATAAGTTTTGCACTTTCTCAGAGCGGGGGATTACAAGATCATTCAGTTCTTTAAGGCTGAATTAAGCTTTGAACATATATTTATAAAACTGACACAAATACTCACTTTATTTGGGCAACGTCACTTTGTGACACATTGTCCTTTCACCTTATGCTTAATTGGCAGTTCTGCCACACAAAGTAATTTTTCAATTAAACAGTATATTTAACTTGTACAAAAAGAAGACAGTTTAATTATTATGTTTACAATAAATGCTTTTCCTCGAGAGATTGCCTAATATTATCAACATAAGTAATGCAAGTACAGTCATCATTACCGTATCTGACACTATATAAAACGCACTTTTCTCCAAACAAAAAAAAAAAATGTAAAAAGATAAATAATCATTTGGTGTCTTAGAATATTCAAAATTGAGGCCAATTTTAGGCTAACTTTATGCTACTATAGGCTAATAATTTTACCTGAGATTTTCACTTCTATCTAACACAACACCAAAATAATATTATTTACTCAAATATTATTATACTACTTTTTTATATGCTGTGTCCTTTCATGATGTTGGCGATCATGGTTCTCCACAATTCCTTGTCCTTTGTAGCTCTTTTGTCTTTTTGTTATCTCTCTTAACCCTGTTCTGCCATTGATTTACACAAGCTCATTAAGTAGGCTATGCACTGCTTTTGTTTCCATTTTCTTAAAACTTTGATGTTGACCTCATGTTCCATCCCTGGTATTCTCAACATCCTTCTGTAGAGCCATTTTTATTGCCTCAAGTTTCTTCTTCATCTGTGAGGAGATCGTCCAGCATTCACTGCCATATATTACATAACAGTTTAGTATTCTTTTCTTTGTTCCTAACAAAATTTTTCTGTTTACATTGCTTAGCTTTTGAAAGGCATCTTTCCCTATCCCAGTGGACCTTTGGATTTCCATCCTCCATTAAAACATTTCTCTGATATTTAAATTGTTGCACTTACTTGGTATCTCTAATTTATAAATTTGCAATTTGGGCTGCTCTTTCTGTGGACAACCGCACATTCAGTCTTCTTACAATTGATCTTAGTCCTTTCTTTTCACTTTCTTTTGCTACCTTCTGTAGGGGTTCTTGTAGTTTCCTTTCTGTGTTTGCTATTAATACCATGTCACTTGCATATCTTATGTTGTTAGGATTGTGACAATCAATAATGAATCCTGGTAGAACTTCTAATTTTTCTTGTAATCACCTCACTGTTCTCGGTTGAATAAGTCTGGTGAAAAGACACATCCTTGTCTTACACCCCTTTCTATTTTTGGTTATTTACTCAATTCATTTTCTATCCATATGCAAGTGGTTTTCTCCTAGTGTAAGTTCTGGATTATTCTAATATCCTTCCCAAATGTCAAGGTTATACAACAGTTCCAAAAGTTCTTTGTAATGTACTTATCAAACACTTCTGCATATTCCATAAAACATAGATACACATCCTTTTGTATTTGTACAACTCTTTCTGTCATCATTCTGAGAATAAATATTGCATTCTTTGTTCCAAACCCAAACTGTTCTTGTTCTATTTCTAGTCTAATTCTGCTGCATGCTCTATTCACTAGAATTCAGATGATAAGTTTTGTTATATTGTTCATTAGGATGATTGTCCAATTACAACTTCACATTCATTTGCACCTGGTTTCTTCAGATGAAAGTAATACTAGTCAAAAATTATTAATGGTTGGCAATGCTTTATAAACTAATAGAATTCAAACTTAATAATATCTTATATAATACAAAAAGTCCATGATTGCATGCTTGGTGGTACGTCGTCCGTCCAGCACATAATGATTTAACTTCTCTGTGATTGCGTGCTTGCAAGGTACGTCATGCATCCAGTGCATAATGATTTAAGTTTCTTTCCACTTCTCTGTGATTGTGTGCGTGCTTGTGTGGTGTGTCCATCCAGCACATTATGGTTTAAGTTAATTTGATTTAAGTGAATAAAATTTAAAAATACAAGTTGTTTATACAATAATTATTTTTATTTTAACTTTCAAACAATTTTTTAGACAGACTCAAAGAGATGCTGCTTTGCTGTTTTGTCCAGTTTTTTGTAGAGCAATTATTTATAGTTCAGTTTTCTTTAAACAAACAATATTTTAAATATTTAAAAAATATTTTCAAGTGAATATGATTTTAAAATATTTTTAGCATATGAAAAATATTTTTAAGTTAATCTGACTTAAAAAAAATATTTTAAGTGAATAAGATTTAAAAATATGAGTTGTTTATACAGTAAGTAATTTTCTTTAAAGTTTCTTCAAACAAACAATTTTTTAATGTTGAAAACAACTTCACTGTTTATAACAACAGAACACAGGCAGTCTAGTTGTAAATAAAACAACTGAAATTAAGACGAAAGAAATACCAGTCAAAAACTAATAACCGACAAAGCGTCATCTTAAAAAATCCAGACAACTTCAGACTCACTATGAAGTGAAAAATTAGTCAAAAATTAATAACAGCATCCAGTAATCTTAAAGAAACTTTCAAAAGAATCCATTTAATTTTTATCTGTATTTCTGGGATGGATAAGGAATTATAATTATTTACATTCAGACTAATGTCCTCATCTTTGTTATTATCATAACCTTTCAGCCATTATGCCCTTTGTCTTTCTTCAAGTGTCCAGTAACCTTCAGGGAATTTAAAACTGAACACTTTATTTAATCTACAGGATAGATTGTTCTCATTCTACTGCCCATGTTTAGTTTGTCTTGTTCTTTTTAGTATTGCAGTTATTGCTTGCCCTCTTTCCAAGTTTTATCCAGCCCAGGGATTGAATATATAATTACTATGTCCCCAAATTCACAAACTGTTACTTTAGGTTACTATCCCTAGATATGGTCAGCAGAACAAAAACATTTACAATTATCCCCATAGATTAAATAAAAAGTGTTCAGTTTGAAATTCACTGAAGGTTCCCCAGATGAACAGGGACCTGAAGAAGGCTGTAAAATACAATGCCCAAAACATTGTAATGATAGCAACAAAGATTTATACAAATAAAATTAAGTGTCTGTCTGTCCACTATAAATCAGAAACTATTGGATGAATTTCAACTAAACTTGGCATGTAGACAGGCCATGACCCAAGGAGTGTCATATGCTATGTAAAATTAAACCTGAAGGTCATGAAAGCTCAAAAACAAGGTCAAACAAACCATTTCTCATGGAAGTTAAATATTTATTCCCATGTAAAAATATAGTGTAAAGGGAGATAAATTAACATTAAGTAGTAAATTAATGTGAACACACAAAGATGATCCTTAACCCAGGCCTCTACACTGTGTTTAGCTCTTCAGTGACTGGGAGCTAACACATAAAAGTTTGTTGCTGAAATTGGATTAAGAATTTTTTTTAAAGAAACTTTTACCTTTAGATTAACTTAAGTATATTATTTAAGATACTGAAGTAAGTATAATGTTTATTTTATTTGAACTTGTATATTTTACCTTTAAACAAATTTTATGAAGCAAAATTCATAAATGACATTAAGAATTTTATCATGTTTTATTATAAAGTTAATTTAAATTAAATATTTTTCTCTATGTTATTGTTCTTCAACAATGACCATATTAAATACAAAATTTTTTATGAATAATTTGTTTTGCTTTAACAGAACAGCTATTTTTTAAATAATGTTGAATTTTTCTGTACCTTTGTAAATAAATAGAAAACATGAAAAATGTAATGTTTTTCCTTGTGAAATTAATGGAAAATGACATTTATTAAAGAATGATTTTTTATCTTTATAACATGTGAAGTATACTGATACCATCCTTGTAAGAAAACAATAGATGAATATAACTTTTTGCACTGCTAATTTTACCAAAGTACTATACAGAAATTTGCCCATTTTAAAAAAAATTAATGAAAATTTAATACTTTTTTATATTATCCTTTATAACACAAACATATTAACATTTAAAGAAAATTATTTATGGGTATTTAAAAAATGACTATTGAATTCTACTAGCATCGTTATTGCTAAAAAATAGGGCCCTTCACAAAAAACATGATACCGAAGGTTGAAAATGAATTTTTAAAAATGAAAAGTCTTTCTTGAAGCTTTTATTTTAGCTTTAATTTCAAGCTAATAGATTAAATTTAATATTTCCAATAAGCAAAATACTTTACTGTATTTCAAAAACTAAATTAAATTGATTGCAAGTAGTTTTTTTCTAAAATAACTGATTAGCACCCTTTTTTAGTCATCTTTCATTGCAATGTAATTCTCTTTATTAAAAAAATCTTCCAAAAATAAAACTTTTCTGAAACTTTATTTGAGAAATATTAGCTGATTTAAAGTATAATTAATCTGATTTGAAATAAATATTATTTAAGTTTAAAATATCGCAGAAATGTATTTTTTTAACCAGACAGTACTTTTTTATATAATTTTTAAGTACTCAGTAATCTTAAAAATTTAGGAAAATATTCTTCGTAATCTAATGTTTTATTGAATTTTAGAAATTTTGTCTTTAAATTTACTAGTTATTGCTCTTATTTTTTGTTAATGTTGTATATGGTCACTCATACTTACAAAAATCAACACATTTATGCACATACAAAACAAGTTCAAAATTATTTTTAAAATATTGGTCTTTGATGATTTGTATTAAGCTTTTCCATTTATGATTACTAAATGAAATATGTATGAAAGAAAGTTTGCTGCCAAAATACACATTAATATATACAGTGGAACCTCGACTTACGAACGCCTCTACTGATGAAAAACTCACCATACGAACAAAAATTTGTCAGAAAATTCTAAATTTACAAATTAATTTCAACTTACAAAATTGAGAATGGGCTTCCTACCACTGAATTTCAAACTAGATATTTGATATAAATGTACCATAAATACTTTTCAATCTTATCTAAATATACCATATTTTATATTTTTATGTTATATTATTATATATTTTACATATAATAATATAATACTGTAGTATTATACAGTATTACAATACTTTTCATACTGTATTTTTATATTGTACCGGACCCTAAATATTTACAGATATATTTTATACTGTATTTTTTATTCATATATATTTATGTTTTATATACAGTGTACATTTATTATGATATATTTTATATACAGTACTGTATTATATTATTATTCAGTGCATATTTCTATACAATTGCATCACACTAGATGTAGTATGATACTCCGAGCATTGCATCATGCCACTCAACCCTCTTTGTTACCTTGTAGATTACACATTTGTAGTGTACGCATATCTGTGATTATATTAAGTGTAAAAAAAAACTAATAATGTGCAAACATTTAAGTACAGTAATACAGAACATGTACATTACTGTAAAGTACAGTAACATGTAAATTTTATTAAAATTTATTGAATTAAAAGTAGATAAATTGTGATAATGCTGAGTTCATTTTGTTTAATCTCTATGTAATGCAAAGTGTGTTTTAGTTTAATATACAGTGTATAATCATTGAATTTTAAATTGATATCAATACAGTACAGTAGAAAAATATTAAAAAAAAATTATAAAGTTTAATTGGAGTAAAATAAAATGTATAAAATGCAGATATAGCATGTAAAGTATGTAGTAAAATAAACTACGCATCCAGTTCAGGTTGATTTGTACGCTACATTTCATTACTGCAGTTTGTTACTTTACATTTTTCCATAAAGTTACTGTACTGTACAGTTTAATGTGTTACTGTAAATATTACTGTACATGTACAATAAATTTTAAATTTTAGTGGGTAATTTTTTTGTAGCCCAAGAAGCTGGTTGCTACTAAGAAGAGGGAAGAAATATCCGTGCAAATTGAAGAAGATCATTCAGAAGTTCAAAATAGGTACCCATGTTTCTGACATTGCCAATTTATATGGACGTTCAGCATCAGAATTTGCACTATCATAAAGAACAAGATAGAAATAAAAAAGCTTGATGTAACCAAGCGGACATAATTACCAAGCATTATCCAAAAGACATAGAAGATATTGAGAAGCTGTTGTTGATGTGAATGAATGAGAGAGGCAGCTACAAGATGATTATGTGTCTGCAAAGACAAGGGCATTGTACATAGATCTTATCAGAAAAATATCACATGTAACCACATTTTCTGAAGATGAAAATGCATTTAAGGTAAGCTGAGGATGGTTTGAAAAATTTATAAAGAGAACCAGCATCTACAGTGTAGTGAGACATTCTTGTTTCAGAAGTGTTTTGAAGTGACCAAAAATACAAACCTAACCATAACAGAATTTTGGAAGGATCACTTCAATTTCCTAAATTGCTTAAATCTCATTGATAAAGCCTGAGAAGGAGTCCCAGTAATATATTTATTTACATTATTTTTGTATAATCTTTAAAAAAGTAGTTTAATTTTGCATAAAATATGATTTTTATATCAATATTTTTGGGGCTTAGAACAAATTAATTTAATTTCTATTATTTTAAATGGGGAAAAGAGTTTCAACATACAAAATTTCCAGTTACAAATCCACTCCTGGAATGGATTAAATTCGTAAGTTGACATTCCTATATATCAAACATCTCTCCACAACCATCAACCTCATCTTGCTTAACAAGGGGACCAGCATACTGAAAGTTTATTTAATAGGAAAATCGCTCATGCAAATTCCAGCCATGCCAAACATTTGAAGAGTCAGAATAAACACTCTTTCTCGTATTCAAAAACCACCCAAATGATACATTTCACACAGTCAAAACATGAAAAGAAACTAACAAAACCCCCTTGAAATTAGTTAAGGAAGTGGCAGAAAACACTTGGGACAATGGATGGTACAGACAGTTTTTTACTCTCTCACTAACACCAAACAGAATAATCTAAGTCTTTAATGAAAGATGTTTAAAAGAATGTTTGCTGCTAAAATATACATAAAACTAGATTGCATACTCTGTCCCTGATATAGAGTACTTTTCTCCTTAAAATATAACATACTTTAAATATATGTGTGTGTGTGTGTGTGTGTGTGTGTGTGTGTGTGTCTAGATTGATTGATTTGTTTTTTTTATGGCTTATCAACCTTTTGATTTTTATATCAATATTTTTGGGGCTGGGAACAAATTAATTTAATTTAATTTAAATGGGGAAAGCCAGCAATTATTTTTAGATTGTAAGAATTTTGGGGAGATAATGGTTTACTGATACAAGTCCTACTAATTAATCCATAGCTGAAGGAAGAGGTGCATTCATACTTTTCCTAAGGGTATTTACGTGTAAGTAAATATAACTGACGACGGAATTGGAACTCAGCTCTCCTATTTCCAATTTCAAGCTATTATCCATCACTAACCTGTTTCAAACCTCACTCTACAGAGCTAAATTGAGGTTAATAAATAGGTATACATTATCAATAAAAGGAATAGAAAGCATGTGAAAAAAAAAATAATTAAAATGGTAAACAATTGGAGGCCATGGACAAAACCCTTCTGTTTATATGACGCCACACACTACAAAATGGACAAAGTCCGACAATTATTTTACTATATTTTATTGTTATACATTATTTATATAGACAATATATAACAATAAATTGTATTAAAATAATTGTCAGACTTTGTTCATTTCGTAGTGTGTGACTTCATTTGTTTACATTTAGATATGCTTTGAGCAAATATGAATGTTCAAGGGAAATCATGGAAAATTCTAGTTTAAAAGCAGTAAAATCGACCTTGCTAACCAGATGCTCCTCTGTAGCTAAACTGGTATAGCACTTCAGGCTATATGACGGTTCTGTGTAGGATACAGATATGATTCCTGTCGAAGGATGCATATTTTCTATGAAAATTTCTTGGACATTCAGGCAGGTAAATGTTGTTAATACTGTTTATTATAAATAGAGCATTTACTTAAATATTTGTGTTTATATAAATAACATATAACAATATATATATATATATATATATATATATATATATATATATATATATATATATATATATATAATATAAAATTAGAAAACCCTGTTAATTTTGAATCTTTTCATTTTTATACTGATTTCATTACATAACGACCTGCATTCATATTTATGATTGTTATTACTAACAAGGAGTTTATTCAATCATTAAATTAAGGAATTATGATTCATTAGAAAATTCAAATAGAAAAACCACAAAATTCTGGGTTGATTGATGGATTCTTTTTTACAGTTTATCAGCCCTTTGTGAAAATATTTTTGGAGATAATGATTTTTTTTCCAGATTTTACTATTTAACCCATAGCTGGGAGGATAAGGGAGAGATTCATACCTTTTCCAATATTTGTGTGTAAATGAAAGTAACAAACTTGACTAGAATTTGAACTCGGCACTTCAATTTCTCATTCCAAGCTGTTATTGAAATTTTTGAGGTACTACTAGTTAAAATTATTACTATAAATTATTATTAGTTGGTTAATAAGCATGAAATACCAATCATCTAACAATGTCTATATGATACTTACAGGCTGCATTGTCCCACCGGCAATAACCACTGACCGTGCTTCATTGACAATTACTTCAAACTCAACGGCAGGATTAAGTAAGAGGAATTTTATACTGGACACACTGAGCAAAGCTAATTAACAAAGAAAAGAAAACATGTTGTAATATTATTAATCAATAAATGTAAATCATTCAATTATTAACTTTATTTCATATAATTTTTATTAACCTTCATACATCATGAATGTGAGGATAGTGTAATGGTTATCAGTACTGAAAGTGGAAGCAGTGAACCAGGATCAAATTCCTGTCTAGTCTGTTAGGTTCAATTTTTGTAGACTTCAAATCACATCTTGATTACATTTTAAAAAACAATGTTTGTTTCCTTCAAGCTTTAAAAATAACACATCTGTAGTTTTTAAGGAGGATTGCATTCTGTTCGATACCACAGACTAGTGATACAAAATCACAAATAACAAAGACCATATCACTTGATCTCTTCCAAAAGCAGCAACAGCTAAAATACATAGAACAGTTAATTTGAAAAGAAAATAACAAAAGATGTTGACTTTCCACAATTAAATATACACAGACCTATAAATGCTTTAATAGAAAGATTTTATAAATTTCAACTGACAGCAATACAAACTATTCAGTCAATGAATGCCGAACATTTCCTATGTAAAAACAGTTAATCTTACCATTTTCTTTGTTTCTTAGACTCCAACTCACATTTTGATTACATTCCTTCAAGCTTTAAATATACCACATTTTCTTTGTTTCTATAATTCCAAATCCACCAAGAATTTACAAAAACCAATTCAACAAAATAATTTGTTAATTAGACTGACTCAAACAAGTATTAACCCATTAACATCCACCATCCCAAAAATGAGACAGCAGGTAGTTATCGGTAGAAATAATAATAATACCAGATATTTTATAAACCTATAATTAATACTGAAGAGACAATACACAAGATATAAGAATGGACACACACACACACACGCATACATACATAGAAGGAATATACAAATTACTCCAGGACACACATCTGTATCATGCAGCAACTTGCAAGAGATTGTTTACTTACATTTCCTATTAAGAACCATTCGCCCATCCTTGTCTGCATTTGTCAAAGCCTCCAAAAAGCCTTCAATATGCATAAGTGGTGAATTCATTTCAGGGGCAGAAGTGATATTTTCAGGTGCCTGGAGAGCAGCTGGATTTAAGATATTAAAAATAGTTTTTTTAATCTTTTACTTTAACAAAAATTTTAATCTTTACTTAATTCTGTATTATAAGAACATCATCTCAGCAAGAAATTTGCAAACTGATTTTTTTTTTCATTTCTGGCAAGAATTTTTTTGGATGATCATTACTTTAGTTATTTTTTGACATTATGCAACAAATACTAACAGCTTATCTCAAAATTTCAGACAAATTCAGGAAATTCCGAAAACATTAAAACATTTTGGAATTTTTAAAAAGAAGTATTTTAATAATAATTATTTATGTATATTTAACATGCAGAAATCATGTTAGTTTTTTTGTTATTTTCTGTTTTTTTGCAAGAGATAAATAGTTCTGGAAAGATAAAAAATAGGCAGTTGCAGGATCATAAAATGTAGGCAGTTCTGAAAACATAAAACGTAGATACATCCAGAAAGAACAGAAGTAGGTAGTTCCAGAAAGAACAGAAGTAGGTAGTTCCAGAAAGAACAGAAGCAAGCAGTTCCAGAAAGAACAGAAGCAAGCAGTTCCAGAAAGAATAGAAGCAGGTAGTTCCAGAAAGAACAGAAGCAAGCAGTTCCAGAAAGAACAGAAGCAAGCAGTTCCAGAAAGAACAGAAGTAGGTAGTTCCAGAAAGAATAGAAGCAAACAGTTCCAGAAAGAACAGAAGCAAGCAGTTCCAGAAAGAACAGAAGCAAGCAGTTCCAGAAAGAATAGAAGCAAACAGTTCCAGAAAGAACAGAAGCAAGCAGTTCCAGAAAGAACAGAAGCAAGCAGTTCCAGAAAGAAGTAGGTAGTTCCAGAAAGAACAGAAGCAAGCAGTTCCAGAAAGAACAGAAGTAGGTAGTTCCAGAAAGAACAGAAGCAAGCAGTTCCAGAAAGAACAGAAGTAGGTAGTTCCAGAAAGAACAGAAGTAGGTAGTTCCAGAAAGAACAGAAGCAAGCAGTTCCAGAAAGAACAGAAGCAAGCAGTTCCAGAAAGAACAGAAGCAAGCAGTTCCAGAAAGAACAGAAGTAGGTAGTTCCAGAAAGAATAGAAGCAAACAGTTTCAGAAAGAATAGAAGTAGGTAGTTCCAGAAAGAAATATAGGCAGGAACTTATAAGAATAAGAAGATAGTTCCAAAAGTAGATTGCTTGAAAAAAATTATATACTAAATATTCAATCACTCAAAAATTTCAGTCTGTTTTTTCAGATGGTATTAGGAGTATTTATTTTTAATTAACTTCATTCAAAAATATTGCTTTTGAACAGATTGTAACCAGTCATATTTTTTTAAATATCAAAATTGGTATATTTTTGTTAATTGTTTCTGACACTGAAGCAAAAGAAGAAACATTTCCAGAATGCTTTTTTTTATTTTAAGCAAAGTAAAAATGAGAAATAAAGATATACAGTGAATGATCAAATGTGTCAAAAGTGTTTTTTAAACTTTTATGCTTATTTTTCCTCTTGAACAATGATCTACAGTCAGTTCAACCAAATATTGATGTTGATAACAATCAAATGAAGATACTACTTGTGAATAATAAGTGTTATATGACATGGAAGATAATCAACAGACTCAAAATATCCAAATCAAGTATTGAAAATCATTTGTACTAGCCTGGTTATGGTAATATCTTATGTGCAGCTTCCAAATAAGAAAACATAACCTACTGACCAATATTTGAATATTCTGTTTTTGAAACAATTTGTGATAGGCGATGAAGTATGGATACTTTACAACATGGAATGCATAAGATAATGAGGCAAGTAAAATAGACCACAAACTAACTATAAAATGGCCGGTCTTTATCCATAGAAATTAATATTGTTTGTATATGGTATGATTGGAAGGGAGTCCTTGACAATGAGCTCCTTCCAGAGAACTAAACAACTGATACAAGCAATTGACAAAAAGCTTTCAGAATTAATAGCAAGGGTGTAATATTCAATAATGTTTCTTTGGTGACCAGACAGTAAGTGTTCCAAGTCAGTTGATAAGAATTGGTTAGCAATTGTAGCAAAAAAAAAAAAAAAAGCTTTAAACTTATTGTCACAATGCCTCCAATCAGTTTCTTGTAGCCAGTTCAACACAGCAGTCAACCGTCTTCCACCCCCTCACTGACTTGTCTCATTCTTCACATTTTTATATATCATTGACAGCCAAAATTTGCATATACACAAAGATAATCTTGCAAGAGAGTATCTTACTCCAAGATCTAGCTATTTTAAATATGCGACCCACAAAGCCGCCATTTCTTTCTCCTTTGGACAGTTTACACTGTGAGGTACGTTCGAATCTTTGCTTGCACTGGAGGTAAGCTATTCTAGCATTGAAAAAAATACATGCAAGCCTGGGCCTCTTTTCTTTCTGAAGTAGTTCACAACAGTCATCAAATATATTTACCAGATATTTTACCTTTCGAATACCATTTATTATGGTTTTTGGAGAATTCTCTAATAGAGAAAAAAGTTCAATTCTTTGTAAAGATGAAGACGCAAGAGGTAACTAGAGCTGTTCTTTGTTGACAAAATGTTCTGGGGGATGGACTAATGAAGTTGTCTGTAAAATGGCAGAAGATAGTGAGGCAAAATACTTAGTTCAATTAAGCTAATATTAAAAATAAAATAAAAAGTCCATTTTTATTTTTACTTGATATACCAAATGTACTTTTAATATTACCTAATAAGAAGCAAGTTGAAGATTGATTTAATGATTTACAACCAAGAAAGAATTTTGTTTACCTTTAGTCACCTGATCAAAATTGGACTTGTTCTTTTCGCTCAATTCTTTAAGAAACTGACTGACACCAGATTGGCTATTTTCAGGCTCTTTGGCCTTCAGCGGAACTGCAACACAAAAGAAAAAGAGATTAAAAACCAGAACCATTTTTGTCACCTATTGTTATCAAATAATTTCCAAGTAAAACCAGTAAATAAAACTGTATCAAAAAAAACAAATAAAGAAGTGAAAACTGTGTTAACCAAGGAATAAGCAATAGAATAATTTCTGAAAAAAAAAAAAAAAAAACATATATGACCAATATTAAAAGAGATGAAGCTAACATTCCAACAAATAATTTTGATATGGAGAATGCTTGAAAAATACTTTGGTCCAAGCATTTCTTAAAAAAATTATATTCAATATACAATGTAATATCTGATAGGATATGCTATATTATATCTTAGGATAGGATAAAGTTTTGTTTTTATTCTATTTTTATTTTTTTTTAAATGATGTTAACCCTGTACAAGGCCCAAGAACCACTCAAGGTAGAGGGTTACATATAAAGAGGTACAGTTTATGGGGATATGAAGGGAAGATAATGGTTGATTCTAGACTTGAACAGATTAAGATTGCAATGTTTGGGGAAGCATCCTCTTGGGAATTGGTTTCAAAAACAGCAGTTCCTTGAATGAAGCTGCTTGAGTGGAACTTACATCTCACCAATGGAGTCACAAAGGGGGGATGAGAGTGGTTTTCTGTAGTGTGCATCACATGGAGGGTCTTTGCTGTGAAGATGGAATTAAGGAATGAACACTTTCTTGTCAATATTGAGCTTCTGTAAATTGTAGAGGAAAATCCTAAGCAAATTGTATGAGAATTAGTGAAACAGTTCAACACAAGACACATTTCAATCATATAAACACCTTCACAAACTAAGAAAAAGGAACAAGGGCCCCTCATCATCTGATTGCATCTCTGCTCCTTATTGAAGAGTACACCATCTAACAAACCTTTTCTGTGGAGAATCATCCCTAGAAATGAAAAGTGGGTTCTCCATAATCATATCCAATGAAAATGGCAATGGTTAGCACCTAACAAAAAAGGATAATCCATATCCACCAAAAATGTTATGTTATGAGTGATATGAAGGGTGTCATATATCATGAAGTGCTGAACTTAAACTAAATCTATATAATCAAACATTTAATTTTATTTGCTGTTATATTATAGCATATCTATATATTATAACAGAATTAGTATGTTACATATGACGATTGAAAAAATCTTAGCTTTTTGCTAAGAGGAAAAAAAAAAACTCTTAGTATAAAGGAAATTTACATTAACCAGAAAGAGGCATAGGCAGAAGCCTCTCTCTTCTTTAAATTTAGATTTTGTAATGTAACTATAGCAACAAAAACATTTTGATTTCATTTTTGCCTTGAAAATGTCAGAACACAAAACGCATCAGCAAAAAACTAAGATTTTTTTCCAATTGTCATTTTATACCAATTTATCTTGTCCAAGAAATGATCTGGAAATTTAACTATGTTATATATACAAATATATTAATTTATACATATAACTCGATATGTGATCGTAATATTTTCTTATAAAATACAATTCATATTCATTGAGGACACTTGAGAATTTATGGCTTGGATTTTTAATGAAGTATGAAGAAACAAAAAGAGCAAAGGTCATTTTTATAGCAAATTAAAAGATTCAAACATTAAATCTATCAACATAATATAGGCTGCTGACAAAAATATTCTGCTGACAACCATGTTAATATCCAATTCTGACCAGACAGGAATTAACAAAGTCAGAAATAAGTGACTCCACTTCTACCATAACAAAACCAATTGATTTATTTTTTATGGCTTATCAACCTGTTGCAGTTAAACATATTTTAGATTGAAAGAATAATTCCTTTTCTTTTTTGTGAGTGAATATTGCATTGACAATGATTTTTTTCCCACATACAGGTCCTACTATTTAACCTATAGCTAGAGAGAGAAGAGATGGATTCATACCCCATAACAATAGGAAAAATTAATTATGTCAGACATTACTTGAGCTTGTTAGGGTGTAACCATTATTGTGTTTGAAGATTTCTAAGTGGGTTGGGGCGAGTATGTAAATTTAAATTTACAGCCACATGTTGCTTAGCAATTTATCTGTTTAATGACCCCTGGATTTACAACAGCTATAAAAATCACATAAAATGATTTTTTTTTAATCAATAAAATAATAATAATAAAAAAAATGGCTATAAAAATCACAAACTGATTTTCTTTTTTTTAATCCAACTAGTCACTATTGTACATTGGACAAAAACTTTGATCACAATTTTGTCTTTTTCTTCAAAACAAATCAAAATACATAAAATGAATTAAGTGAAAAATAAATAAAAATTTACTTCTATTTGCAGTTTTCAAATGAAAGTAATGTACAGAATATAGCACTGATTTCCAAATTTGTTTATTACATTTACTATTCAGTAGACTACTGTAGTATAAAGATATTTATAAATAAATTAGAAATCTTATAAATGGTGAAAAAGTGACATTAAAGTACCATCAGCTGCTTGGTAGAAGACTATTACATGTGTATAATGCCTAAAATAGCAGGTACAACTTTTCACTTCGCAATCAGGTTGCTGGAATGGAACCCAGTCATTAAATGAAAAGTGGCTGCATTCAAAAAATGGCAAAAAGCAACAGTATCATGCATTATTTAAATCAGTTAGTGCACTAGAAGTTCTGGCTTTGTGGTAAACTAAACTAAGTTTGATAAGTAACAACATTTCCAAGTCGCAGTTTAGGTTGTACATTTTGTAAACTGTTAATTTTTGTTTTCCCACTAAGGAGGCTATAATATCCCAAAAATCAACATACCTCCACAATATCAGCAAAAATTAAATTTTCCATTAAATAAAAAAAAATGAAATAATTGTTTACCATAATTTACTGATGAAGGCTGATATTTTTCCACAAATCCATTCAACTGAAACAAAAAATAGTCTTTTGTTAGTCTTGATATTAAGTAGAAATCCTGTATGAGAAAATAGGTTTTGCTAAGTAAACTGCAGTTTATTTTATTGTATATGCAATGGGAAAGTTTCTTTAATAAAAAGCTACTTGGTTAACAACCTAAGTTTTAAACAACAAAAGCTAAAAATTTAAATCAAGATTGATTTTTAAGGGAATTTATTTCTTAATGACAAAGTAAGAAAGTAAGTTTAGTCAATGAAAATTTTTCAGCTGCTCAGTTTGAAAAAATTGTTCTGCTATAAGTTATTTGAGATCAAAGAAGAATAAGTAAAACCAATGAAAACCTTAAATTGATCCTATCTGCTATACCATAAAATAAGCACAATTTCCATGTATATTATTACCCAATGCTGAAAAGAAAAATCCCAGCATGCCTTTGTGTGCTTCTGCACATAAATTGGGGATGGGAAAGTATTTTATAATCGTTCCCAAACATGATTGTTTTGTAGGATCCCTGTGAATTTGTGATATATGTCAGATTGAATGGTGACAGATGAGTTCTTGTGGTGAATGAGTAAATTATAATGAATGAATGGGTTGTGAATCGAATTAGCTAGGTTTAGGGTAGTTAGTGTAGACCAATCTCACCCCACTTCTCCTTTGGCCTTGTGCCAAAATTGTAATTTACATTACAATAAATCAACATTCCCGATGAGGATTGGAACCAACATATGGCTAACAAAGCAAAAAGAGCACATGACTAACAAAACAAGTGAATAAAGCTAACAAAGCAAGAAGAGAGTAAAGCTCATGAGCATGTCTTTTGAGTGATAAAAGTTATCAGCTAGAATTGGAATAATTTTCTTACCTTTTTTGATATGAGACTTTTCTTGCAGTAATTAAGAACCTTAAACAGATTGATGTTGTCTAGTTTGGTTTCATATAGAAAATCATTAATGGTCATAATTTTTGACTCTGAAACAAAACAAAAAAAAAAAAAGAAAGAAAATTATTGTCTATAACTTTGAGAAGCATCATTAATGGAATGATCCAAATGATTTATTAATAGGAGGAACTCATTATCCAAGGTAGATAGGTTCATTGCAGATGGGGAAATCCAATGATCATAACTCATATGTAACTGGTATATTAAAAAACATTGTATTTTTCCAATTTTTGAATAACATGTTTGTTGTGGCCTTGTTAGGGCCAGAAATAAAGACACAAGAGAGAGGAATTGAGTTAAACAAATATATTAACAGAAACAGAAATACAAACATATACAAATGAGAATGTTACAACAAGAATGTTCAGTCCAACTGTCAGAACTGACTGCTGGAAATTTCCCTCTCCAAAAGGCAGTACCTGCTCCTATTTATAGCTGGGAGAATCCATGCATGTATGGGTAAATTACCATAACAATGTCCAAAGTTAATTTTTTTTTTGTTTTTTTTTGTGTTTTTGAGTTTATTCACAATTCTGATTTCTGTATTCTCTTTTAAAATATATTTAGATTGAATTTACAATCATTTGAAGATCACTTTATGTAGAAAAGACATGAGAGTCAAAACTGGTTAATAGAACATTGAAAAGTTAGAAAAACTTAGAATTAAAAAAACAAAGATATAACAATACAAAAGATTCTCCCATATCTTCTAACCCAAATGTAAAGCCACTAGATGGCACTTCACCAAAAAAATGTTAAACTAAAATAAAATAAACACCCAAGTTACAAGATTTTCTGTAAGTTAAATTATGTTTTAATTTTTTTTCTTAACCCTTTTCTTGGTGGACCAACCATATCTTGATAGCCAAAAACATGTTTACAACTAATATTAATACTAATAATACCAATTGGTCATGTTCTACTGAAATCAGCCTGAGTTTCCATATAGTCTTCAAATATAACAATTTATTTTACAATTTTGTATCAATAGATAATTGAATTTTATTGCATTTGGTTTCCATGGAAACCAAAACTAGATATACATGAGTAAAAACCCTCTACTTCTCACATTCTTCTTAAAATCAGATTATTATCATCTGATTCATGCTACACTAATTTCCACCACTAACTAGATATGAACACTCTGAATGCCCAAAACTGAGCTAAAAAATCTGTCAGCTGTGCAAGGATCTACACATCTGTTTACTTACACACTCAAAGAAATAAAATAAGCAATACAATCCAGAATATCCACCCACTCCTACCTAAAGAAACAAAATAAAAACTGGATTTGAGACTAAAAAAGGACATAAAAGTCCATCAAAGGAACGTTTCGGAGTTGGACAGCATCTTGACCCAAGTTCACACACTTTGTCGAAAAGTGACTTCCCATCTCCAACACATCAAACACGACCAGCTCACCAAAGATCGTCATCCCAGTAAGTCAAAACTCATCTTCTCTCTCCTATCATACGCCTCACCAGACGTATTTTTCAACTCCACTTATCCCATAATTTTTTTATACAAGAGACATTACCCTGGTTTTTTATTTATTGTATTTTATGCTAATACAATTGTTTATTTCTTTACATTTTCGTTGTTTCTTCTTCCTTCTATCACCATACGCTTAGTAATGCAAAACACACATTCACCACATAACTTCATAACCTGAGCATAATCCTACAAGAATATACATAGTATAGAGATGAACTGTGTAGGGGGGTTCACAAATAGAATTTCAATTTGAGTTACCTTAAAAAACTAGTTCAGTCTGGAAAAAGGTAAAATCTATCTTTAAACTATTTTTTCTAAAAGTTGACTTACACTACGTTGTAAAGTACAGCAAAAGTGTGTTGTAATTTGGGGAAACATACAACTGATAGCACTCCCAGCAACTACAGGCGTAATAGGCAAAGAGGGGAAGGAGATGGGAGGTAACAAAAATAACAGTCTCAGAAGCCACAGCAACTTCGGGAACAATGCCCACATGACTGACTTCACAGAACACTGTGTCTTGCCAACTGCTGGTTTTCCTGTTGCATTTATTGCCATGAGGCAACTTGCAAAGACCCAGACCTTGATCAGTTGCAGAGAGGCCTATATCTAGACAAGCCAAGCTGTCCAGCTTGCTAATGGGGAAAACCCAGATGCAACTAGTGTTGACAAACATGTCCGCATGCAATTCAAGGCCTCTTTTGCATCTGTACTGACATGTGTTCGCCACACACTAATCTTAATAAAATTACAATGAAAACCCAAACCCTATTGATTGAAGAATGTAACATACAAATCCAATGATATTTATATTTAAGAGATGTGACATAGTATCAGTGACACTTATAGGTATATTATTTCAAAATTATTTCTCACAGGTGCTAACCTTTTCTTACCAGGTAAGTACTTGGTCATTATATAAAAATAAAAGTCATAGTATTTCCTGATTTTTTACTCTAAAATTCACTCAATACAAGTCTCCAGAGCCACTCAAGGTAGAGGGTTACTGTTAAAATGGTAACCAGTGACCAGAAAGCCAGTGAATAAAAACACTGGTTGAAGTAATCCAAAAGTGACTTGACCCAAAGAGTTGTAAGTTCAATGCCTGGACTCATCAGAGATGGAAAAAAAAAACCTGGAGAGTTGAGTTACTAAAGAGAATTAACTAAAAATTGAGATATCCAGAAAAGGCATGGCACGTGGAACTAGAATAATCTACACCAGTGGACTAAATTTGGTTCAAAATTTCAACATATATCTCCTGGAGAAGGGTGGAGCATACAACAGATGAAACATCGTGAATATGACAATAAAGATGAGGACAACGATCCAAACAATGTAAATAGTGTAAAAATTAATACTTGATATTAATTAGAAAATTAACTAATCAATTATAGGTGACATCATGGATCATTCTTTGCTGCTGATACTATTTAACTAAATACAACCTGTTACTTGGAGAGAAGATGGGTACTACTAAGTAACATCTTAAGAGATGCCATGGAGGTAAATTAATTGTCAAAGTACCCTGATGATCTAACAGTTTATGGGAATTGTCTGTTTGCAGAACCAATATCTATAACCCATCAAAACCTATCAAACCAGAAAATATAAAAATAAAAAATATGCTCAGAAATAGATTACTTACCAATTTTACTTAAATGCTGTTCATTAGAAGCAATATTTAATTTCCCTGAAAAAAAAAAAAAAAAAAAAAAAAAGTTTGTTTTAATACATATGCTCACATGACATGCATAATATAGTACAGTAAGTATTCAGATTACAACAGTCCCAACCATGATGATTAATGGTTATGATGCAATTTCCATTAATCTTGCATCAACTTATGTTGTTTTCCCCATACATAAAGTGGTGTGGGTCAATGCCTGGTTGTATGCCATATTGGATTGTTGTGCATTCATTCCCTTTTGTTTGTGTTGTATTTGTAAAAACTTATTGCTCTACATTATGGCTCGCAAGTGTAGTGTAACCTTTTCTGATGGCAGTGCTTTGAACAAAAAGAAAGATATAACCATGGAAGTGAAATTAGACATTGTTAAACATTCTGAAAAGGAGAAAGAAGCAACAAACATTGACCGGTTGTTTGGCTTAAATCATTGAACTGTCGTTTAAAACATATACATATTTTCTTATTAAAATATAAGTTGGTCAATTTTGGAATTTAGGAGCTAAAATCTGTTTTAACAAATTTCTGTATTCATTCTGTATGTTATGCATTGAAAATCAGAAAAAAAGGGATTATCTGTCAGGAATTAATGCGCAAGTTACTAACACAATAGGACTCATATGAATATTTTCATGGCAACTGTATTGACAAACTTTTTTTTACCTGGTGCCCTGACTGCATGAATTTAAGCATGCCACTAGATTGGCATCTAGGTCCCACCCATTTACTGTTGAAATAGCTAAATGCAATTGCCGCTTCTACTCCAACAGTTTCTTTTCTCCCACTTCCCACCTGTGGAACTCCCTTTTGTTTACTTGCTTCCATGATAACTACAATCTTCAAAAATTTAAATAAACATGAATCATCATCATCTATCTTCTTGAATCCTATTCATCTTTTGTCATTTCCCCCAATCCTCCTTATGCTCAGTCCTTTCTATCACTTTCACTCTCACTGTGTACTTATGGCATCTTGCTTTAATTGGCGGAAATGATTATAAAAAAATATGTATACTGTAAATGCATTGCTAATTATTTTAATACATAGTAAACACAGCAAATAATTTTACTGTAGAAATTTACTGAAAACCAGAAAAAAAAGGGATTGCCAATGGTCAGGAATTACTGCACAAATTACTGACACATTAAAATTATTATATGTATAATGCCATATTTCCTACCATGTATAGATAAATTTTTTCTCAAAATTTACTTAAGAATCCATTATACCAAAAATGGTTCATGATAAGGCTCCAGACTAAGGTGAAAGGTAACAATAAAAACCTACCTCCAATATAATTGACAAATCTGGAAAGTATAAAAAGAATCTGGTTAATGTACATAAGATTTTTGGCTTTCAGACGATTCCGGTATCTTTGCTCATATTGGCTGAGTTGTGAATGAGCACGACACATCTGCAACAAACAGGAATCAACAATTTCAATTCCTATCAAAAATAAATGGCAAATTACAAGTCATAGTAGAAAATCTGCTTTATTAGACAGTTTGGGATTTTGTTTTTTTGCATATTACCAAAGTTAAACATTTGGATGGAATTAATGTTTTAAGACATAAAAATAACAATGATTGAGTAAATTAGTGATTTTATATACCATTTTGTATTACTATAAACCTATAAAGGTTATTTTACTGGTTAAATATGTTTGAGTTGCTATCCCTGTTTTTTTTTATTTTATTAAACAGTGAAATAAAGAACAATCAGCCTTGATCAAGAAGTCCTAATAAGGAAAAATGTGCCTCCCAACATGAATCAAATCTATATTTTTCCTTAGTAGGACACCTAGATCTAAGTCAGTTAATATTAATTTCATTGTTTAAGAAAATAAAAAAAATAGGGGTAGCAACTCAAACATGTGGACCCACTAAAAATAAGATTTATAATAATAAGGACTAATGTCAGATTAAAAAGATTAATTTAAGGACAAAATAAAGAAAAACATATCTTTTTGCATAACCATCATAACACCAATTATGCTACTTTATTTTTTAAATCTTTCATTTTTTGCAAACTTGTTTTTATTTCTACAGCATTAAATATAAAGCAAAATTTTTATTTTTTTTTATATAATCTTGTTTTTGTTTTTTTAATTCCTTCTTCAAGGCTGTCTTTATCTGCCTCTCCATTCTCTTTGAAAACAATTTTTTTTTATTCAAAATTGAGCAAAAAAATAACATAATAATAATTTTACAATAATCAGAAATTTATTATATTCAACATTAAAGACTCAAATTTAACTTATCTCCATTTATTAATGAATAAAATTAAAGGCTCAGTGGAATTACTTAAATAGACAGGTCCTCTTGTAAAAAACAGAGAAAAATATTTTTGGAAATTAGCATTCTTAGGACATGACATTTGACAAAACTGAAAAATAATGATTTTGTATTTTAGAAAGGTGGGGGTGGGGTGTCAGAATATAATAAGAATATATATAATTTAGAGTGTAAAATCAGTCCTTGACTTTTAGTTGTGGGACTTGGCTTGTCAAGTTTGATATTTCCATATTTTTTTTTTTTAGTTTTCTGAATTTTTTAACCTTGTTTGTTTTTCAACATTCTTTTACCTAGTTATCTGTATGGGAATTTTTGGAAGGACATGAACAAACATTTGAAGTTAATAATCTTAATTGAAGAATAAATAAAGAATAAAGTTACCTACTTTTATTAATTTGTGTTATTTTTATCTTAATTTAAAAATATATCCATTTGTTCTTTATTTAAAAGAAATCTTTTTGTAACCACCCACAAAAAAGTATGCTTTTATATGCAAAACAGCTAAGGCTAATAACTCTGTAAAGTCAGAAATCAATTTTGCACCATATCAATATTATAAACAGGACCCCTTCAAAAATTAATAGAAAAAAAAAAATCAATATTTTTTTTACTCTAAGTATTTTGACTTAAGGAAGGTATAAAGAATGCTAAGGTACAAACATTACTTCCAAAAGATTTTCCCTATTTTTTTTACAAGTACACCAGTCTATTTAAGTAGTGCCAGCTCAGAATTAACCAATATTTATTATCCAATAAAATTAAAGATTTAGCTGTAATCAAAGGACATGGTAGTTAGCTTTTAGGAAATTAAATTCACTTTCTTAAGAAGTCATAGTAATTTGCATATAATAAACTAAAAGGAATTTGAAAAGAGTCATGATCACCTATGCCCTGAAGAGACATGGCATTCAGACTTTAGGGAAGAAAATTCTTATTCCCAAGAAGTCATGGTAATTCACAGATAATGAAAATAAAAAGAAAGTAATTTGTGAAGAATCATGGCCGCCTATACTCTGAAGGCACATGTCATTCAAAAAACAATTCTAAGACAAAACATATTGAAACATTTTTTTGTATGCAAAAAAGTTTTAAGATGTTTTGTCTTAAAATTAACATACTAAACTAATCCTAAATTTTGAAGAATTTGAGTGTATCTTCTTAAGTATATAGCTATAAAAATTTTCTAAAAAAGAGCATACCATGATGAAGAACCCCCCACACTTGATAAAAACAAAGTTTTATCATCAAAATGTTTATGTTATTATCAAGAAGAAAGACCAAAGTATTTTTTGATTATTTTATTAAATTTTTAATCCTTTTCAGCACATTAAAAGTTTTGTTTTTCTTGCATGAGTGGGCCAAAGATTAGTATAAGGATTTTCATCATCTTTTTTGGCATTAAAAACATATTGTTTTGAAAATTCTTGAAAAAAGTCAAATAATTGTTGGATTTTAATGAAATTTTCAGGACTTACTCACAAATGACTGAAATCATTTTGAATTTTTTTTTAAAAGAAAACCACGGCAAAATTTATTTTTTTTAACATCTTCTACCTTCACTTACTTAATTTTATGAAACTGAGAAATTATAATTTCAGCTTCTTCATATTTATATTAATTAAAAGCAGGAATCCTTGGAGAATTTAAATCATCAATTTGTTTTTGTCAAATGGAAACACCATTTACCAAAAATCTACTCTAAATTGTAAAATAAAAAATGCAATAAATCTATGACATTATTTAATTAGAAAAGTTAATAGAAATGCTCTTAATTGTTTTTATAAGAATTTTCAATGAATTTTTACAAGAATTGTTTTACATTTTTTTTAATTTTATTTAAAAAAATTTATTAAATTTTAAATCTTAAAATTATGTATTTTTTTGGAGGTACCTATTCTTAAGTGACTGAACATAACAAAATTAGTACAAGTGTCTAGAGAAAATAACAGATAATCTTAAATAATGTCATATCAATCAACATTTTTTTTGACTACCTGCTTAATCATTTTTTATTTTAAGAATTTGAATTTTTACATATGCTAAATATAATGTCTGGCTGCTTTTTTCTGAGTACACTTATCTGTTAAAGTGTCTATCTAATTCCAGATGCAGATGCCTGCTCAGGTACATTTGCATTTCTTTGACACTCAGAGAGTCAACTTATGGTTTATACTGCAACTATGCAGAGTTGACCTGAGTTACAACTTTTGAAAGAGCGTACATAATCCACTATGATTAGCAATTGAACAAAGACAGTACACTTGAACCTTCAATCATAATGTCTTGTGATTTTGTGCTCATACAACCACTGGTGGCTTCCTGTTGATAGTTGTGTTAGGACAAAGTGTGCTATATTTCCCTACTAAATACACTAAGAAAATCTAGAAGCGCTGATAATTCTACTAAATAACTAATATTTTTCTTTCTTCAGTAAAACATGTTGATCTTCACTCACCTGTGCTCCAGTTACCTCCACACTGTGGATGTTATTAATTGTCTCAAGGAGATTGTGAGCTTCATCAATAATGACAATATTATCTTTGACTTTTATACCACAAGATTCCCGTGTGGTTCGATGTAAAAGAGTATTGTAGGGTAAGAGGACTATCTGCAAATACAAAAAGCAATTTTGATTGTAGCAAAATCAAATGTATATTCAGTCTTCTATGAGCGAATAACATTCAGTATTTCAATGACCAAATATCAATTTTTAAATTTTTTTTGAAAGGTTAACAAAACTTGAGAAATAATGTGTCAATCTACTAAACTGAAGTAAATATGTGGAATTGATTGGACATTTCATGGCTCTAAGTCATTCTAGTTGAACTGAGATCTTTTCAGTACCCCTTTGTACAAAATGAGATACAGCTATATGAGATTGATCATTTGAGATTAGATTAAAAAAAGATCAGTTTTAGATCTTATCAGAGATCAGTTCTGAAGTAAATTAATACAACTGCCAGTACAGGAGTGTGTTTACCAATATTAAGAATGATATGATTCAACTATGACATATGATTTCAATTAACTAATTCGGTGGTTATATATAAAAGAGGATAAGGACCATCCACATAAATAAAATGCAATTCTGATTATAGCAAAATCAAATGTATATTCAGTCTTATGTGAGAGAGGATAGCATTCAGGGCTGTGTGTAGTCATAAATATACACATACTGACAGATTATACATATGGAAAAAGCTGGTCAGGTGCTCAGCAACTCTACAACCATGCCCAATCATGAGACTGATAATGATGATGAATGTTATTTTTTCAATCCCTTAATACGTTGTTCAGTTTCTGAAAAGCTTCTCTTGCTTTTCTATCATTTACATAAATGGACAAATTGATTTTGTAACCAGATTTTTTATCTATTATTTTTTACCTCAGCATTTGGAATTGCATAACGTGTGCCATAATAAGGACAGGATTTCATCTGTTTTCCCAAAGTTACAAGTTGTTCAATGTCCCGTACTTCCACCTGAAAAAGTAAAAGCAATGTACACTTGTGTTTCTGATTAGCTATAAAAGATATGATATAAATATATATCAGACAAATAGTGGGCAACTGAATGATAAAATGGAAAAAAACTTCTTAGTGATACATTTTGTTTTGAGAAAGTTGGTTTTACAAGGGTGTGTAGCTTGGTATAATAAATTTTTATTTATTGTTTTTAAGACATTAATGAAAATTTCAAAAAATGATTAGTCTGTGAAGTTAAAAATGTAGAGTTTGTAAATCTCGACAAAAAATGTTAGTGAAAACTTCAACAATACTAAATACTGTAAGGATTTCAATACACATCAGCAATTTGCAAAAAATTCTAATGTCTTAGAATTGTCTAATGTAGACATTTTGAATAAAACTCAATTGCACTGCTCTGGGCCGATTCTGTGACACAAACAGAAGATTTTAAAACAGAGGAAAGAAACTAATTTAGAATGGGAAAATCACCGTAATGGTCTCCCATAAATTGACGAATACAATCACATGTTTTCCTAACAGCTGCGGACAGTACACTGGCTGTCACTTCAAGTGAACATTTAAACGTGTTGAAATCACAATGATTTAATAGGTATTAGAATGATTTTACTTGTGCAGGTGTAATTTTTGCATTGCAAGGCATACAAAGTATTGTGCTTGTTTTGCTCCAGATAACAAGTCAGAAATTTGTCCCAAATCAAAAATCTACTGAAAACATCTTTACTTGTTACATAAAACAAAAGTTTAAAAAAAAGGAAAGAAATCAGTACAGAATCATTATTTTTACAAAATTCTCTTCACCTAGTTACAGAATATTTTATTTTTTATTCAGTGTAACTATGCTGTATTGATTGATTGTTTGTTTAATGACATATCAACCAATTATGGGTCATTTAGTGTCAAAATTTAATTTTCTTGAGAACTTTGAAGTAATTTGGTAATGTTACTATAAATATGTATTGTTACTAATTTTTTATATAAAAATGTATTGCTGGTATTTTTACTATAAAAATGTATTTTTATACTTTCATAGTGTTTTGTTTTTGTTTGGGGGTTCACTATTTGCCCAAAGCTGGACCCTGATAGGTGCTACTACCGCAGGTCAGGGTAGACCTGGAAACAACAGCAATTAAGAGGTGATTCCATGCTCCTCAAGACTTCCAATCTCCTGATCAGATGCCTCACTGCTGAATGTAGTTTATCGTCATACCCAAGACTAAACATGCTGTATTAAAACATACCAAAACTCTGTCTCTGAAGTCCTCAATATGTTCCACTTTGTAGAAAGGGCAATTATTGGTTTTACTTCTCTTTTTAGGTTGATCACTTTTGGACTTTGAACCTGCAGAATAAGAAGAATAATAATAATCATTAAACAATTGATTCCATTATATAAAAAAGACATTATATATCCATCAGGCATGCAGCCTTGATCCCCACTACTTATTGATGAGACATTGCACTATCATAACAGGAAGCATTACTTGATGCTTGTAAGTGATCTTAGTTCATTTTATCATAGCAATAGAATATCTCACTAAAAGGTAAGGGAGATAAGGATGCTAATATATTTTCTTTTTCTTTTGTTTCATGATAGTTTTCTTTGCATATTTTTACTTTAATAAACTAAAAAGCAATTTTTTTTCTTATATGCAATATATATTGTAATTGTATAGATAAAAATCCTAGATTTGCTCATGTAGAAAATAATTGTAAAATAACTTAAATATTACCATCACTTTATTTGTAAAATGAGTAAAATAGTCTTTAATAAATAATTATACATACATGCAATTTAATATAGGAATTATATGAAAATCATTATTACCTTACTTTCAACAGGTATCTACCCACACGAGTCTTTCAATTTATTTATTTAGTGCTGCGTACTTTTTGTAAATAAGTTATCTCCCTTAGATTGTATAGATGTTTTTTTTAAAATTGAAATGTTATTTACAAAATCTTGTCCAGTCTCTTTTTTTATGTGGAACATTTCTCATCGGATTTAGATAATGTACTGTCAATATATATATATATATATATATAGTATTACAATATCTCACTTCATTTCACCGACCCATACAGAGTTGACGACTAGACAACCCCCACCCACACAGGTACACAACAATATAAAAATCCAAACAAATACAAAATTATTGCAATACATATAAGAGGGTGACATCTATAAACATTTCTCACACACACACACTTATACACTTACATTGAATTAAGATTATCATCCAACATACTCGTAGGCACACAAGCATTACTTTTACTTACACACTCTTACACATACAACTTCCAAAATGTTCCTCCTTATATATATATATATATTTTGTGTTAAAAAAATCTGCCGAGTCAGTCATGTGTCAAAAGATACATGATTGCCTAAGTGTGTATCACACGGCACATAACTGACCATGTTAATACACATGACAAACGTCTGACCAATGAGAACTAACCAAAATCATAACATACCAGTACTCTATCTTCAACTCTATATATATATATATATATATATATATATATATATATATATATATATATATATATATATACACACACACACACACACACATTTAGTGTATCGGGCAGCACATCATTATCAAACATATATTGCTAAATATAACAGACAACAAATATCTATTATGTCTGATCATGAGCCATTCTAAGCTTTGTATAGTGACTTCAGTTTCAGAAGAAAATAAAGACAAAAACTGTCCAACATTTGGATATTTTTTTATTGTGCTGTTCCTCGTATCAAAGCTTTCAGCTCACATCAGAGTGGTTATATGGACATTACAACAGAGATGTTTACCATCAAAGATGACATCCTGTTATGCTTACATAGAAGTTTGCTATGCAACGATAATGGTCATGGAATAGCAGATTTATGTGTGTGTGTCATCCACATACAAGCCTGTTTCTCTGTCTCACAGCTCATTAGTGTGGATAGACATCCGATTGCTTCAAGCTGGGATTGAAACCCAACCAATTTGGCATCAGTCAGATATCCGACTCCTAAGATATTGGCACACAGAAGAGAAAGGGAAATTCTAACATATTATATATGAATGTATACAAATGACAGCAGCCAGAGGGCTCAATTCACTAATAAAGAGTGGTGCGTTAATAGCAGCAGCAGCTACTGTTTTGGAATTGCCCTTTTCTCCATAGTGCCTGATCAAATAATGAGAGTGTAACACAAGTAAAAACATCCAATATTTATCAAAGGTCAACTCAGTTTTTTCAATTTTTAATCACTCATTGGGATTCTTGAGAACATCAAGAGTACCAATCAGTGCTTAAAACTCATGAATGTTTAATATTTTTGTTGTAAATTCACAAGAACAAAAAAAATGTATAAATTCACTTTCATCATACATTTACGTTTTATTACAATTTTAATCATGAATTTTTAAAGCAATAACATTGCCAAAAAGTGAAAGTAAATAATAGCGATGTCAAGGGAAAAACCATTCTTTTGACACTCTGTTTTTTGCAGGCACAAAGGTCCAAGTTTGCCAATTGTCTAATCACAAATAAAATCCTTTTCATACAAACCTTTTTTAGACTTCTGTAGTTCCAAACAACGGTCATTCATTAACGTAAGAGACTTCAAATTTTGAACAGCTTCATTTACACATAAATTCTAACAAAAAACAAGAAAATATTTTTTTTATATTTGGTAATATAGACAAAATACAATGCACATTTTCTTAAACAAAACATTTAGGACCAGACACATTTTGGAATACAGAATATGGAATTTTTCTCATTTCATAATGCTATTATATATATATATATATATATATATATATATACACACATATATATATTTATATGATGGATAAATTATCGTCTAAATTACGCAAAAATGAAAATATCACTGGCAGACATATTTACCAAATTTACACACAAATATCTTGAAATACTAAAGAGTAAATTCATTCAATAAAATTGCCATTGGCTTCAGTCACAGCCTCCTGATGACTTTGGAATCTCCTGCAATTCTTCTGGAGGGTCTCCTTGTTTAAGTTGGTGAATGCTGTCATAATCCTTGTTTTCAGTTCATCTTTGATGTTACAAGGAGATTTGTTATTCAACTGCACCTCACGAGGATTGCAGTCCGGGGAGTTAGGTAGCCAGATGTATAGAGTGATGTGTTTCCATAAGCATTTACTTGATGAGTGGCTCTTCCAAGTCATTCATAAATATCTAAACTATCAGTTGCATACAATCACTTTCTCAGTTCAATAGTTAAAAATGGCATTGAGCAAATGATTTTAGCCAGGACCATTCTTCTTCAAAACTAGTTGGTTGACACCAAAGAAATGTACCAAATAGCAGAAACCACATCACTTGAGGACTTTCAACAGCAGCAATAACTAAAATGGATAGCACATGTGTTATGTTCCTAGGGAGTGAAATATGGTTGTCTGAAGAAAGATAAGATGGAACGAAAGGATAAAATGTTAACAAACTTTATTAAATGAGATAGAATTCAGATGGTGAGTGAAACCACTGAATGCCTAATAACAATTGACCCTCAGAGATCTGTCAAGCTCACCTTGGTATCATGGCTCTACCCAGAATGCCCTGTTTTTTTTTCCCTCCAGTCTAAGGGTGATAACTTTGCTTAAATATTTTCCTTAGGCCAAATGAGTCCTAACATGTAACATGAAAAGAAAATAATGACATAAAATGTTGATATTCCACACTATTTCAAACAAAGGTTAGGAAGGAAACTCTCATCAATACTGGAAAGAGCAATAACAGTTACTGGACTTGAGAAACCTGTTCTCCTAAAAAATTGTTTTAAGAGAATGATTATATAAATTTCAACCGAAAATAGAACTGGCTGCTTGGTCAATGAATGCCAAATGTTTCTGTATAAGAAAACAGTTTATATTACCATTATTATTAGTGTTCTGCAGAGGATGCAGGAAAGGTATTTTAGGCCTCTCTGATAGGGCACGTCATTTATGGTGGTGTTTCTGATTCAATAATCTTCAATAAGATGCTGCAATCAAGCTTTTACTTTTTGGTGTATGGATAATGACAAACACTTTTTCTGTTGCTAACTTTTAACCCAAAGTGTATCTGAGCCATGTTTTGATATCTTCACAATCTACAAAATCCCAACACCAAGAAGAAAAAATATCAGCAAGCAAATGTCTTGTCTGATTGGTAAGAACACCAAGACAAAAATTATTTGATAGTAGGTTAAACATGTATTGCACTGAGTCAAGTTTTAGTGCCAAATAAGAACTTTGGTAATGTGATGATGCAATTGTGTACATCACTGTACAAGATGTGATGACATCCAAGGTCAGCTGTATGTGAATACACTGCTATGTTCCACAGATTTGTTTTGATTATGGCAGTGAACACTGTCAACAAAGAAATAACAACAAATGCTTTGCAAAACACTTGTTGGGTCGGGAAGTAGCAAAAAAAATATACGATTTCTCACTTAATCAGCAATGTTTTCCTTCTGCTTCAAAAAAGTGAACTTCTGATATCTTACTTCTCATTAAGTTCTGGCCATGGAAAACAGACTCCTACACATTCACTGCCTGGTCATTTCACTCACTCATGACCATTTCATTGACTGCCTGTGTTCCACTTAATACTGATAATTTTAATAACTATAAATAAGTTTCCAAGAGTTGTTATTTAGTATTCATTTCTATTCAATCAAAGTGAAAAGTATTTTTGTATCTGGCATATCACAAAAAACAATCTCCTCATAGTCCATTATACTTTTTATTATTAGTCATAACAAGAAAATAAGACAAGAACAAACGAACATAGCCAGTGAAAGAATAGCATAAACATCTTTCATTTTTATAGCAACCAATTGAAAGATACCTAACTTAGATGTAATTATTATTGAGAAACCACATCTGAAGGCTTCTCCAAAAAATATATTTAAAATTTTCCACTAACCTAGAAGGTGGACCACCCAGACAGCTTTTGGATGGTCAGCTTTTCCAAAGGACTCTATTTTTATGGCTATCTAAAAATCACTAGCAAAATTTTATGTTGTCAATTCAAAGGTGGGCTGGGGAAAAGATTCCTGAGAAACCCTGGTCATTAAATTGACTTAAAAGGTAAAACAATCTATCTATTCATCTCCTAAGGATGTGTGAGAAATCATATTGCTACAGTAAGCAGATGGCCTCCATGAAAATCTTCAGAACATTGAATATATATGAATAACTTCATATACAGTATAGACAAATCTCTCATCTAACAGACCCTCCCATCAATTGACTTCAGATGCAATGGACAAAATCTGCAGTCAAAATAAAAAAAAATCTGCAGGAAAAAAAATTTCCAAACTGTCAGCGATATTTTTTAAATTTTGCAGGCTTAGCAGAATGAGTCATATTAGTTATCAAAGTGACCACTTGGTGGTGGTGACAGGCCTTTCAATTGTAAACAAAGATGGAAAGTATGATACATTAGCCCATGCGTGAGAAAGTAGCAGTAAGAAATCTATTTTATTTTTTATTTTGATTAATATAACTATATTATGTATATATTTATTTATGCCATATATACATTTATAGTATTTACATTATGATTATAACTACTGGTAGTTACTATAGTGGTTTTATATCTCAAAAATAGTCTCCTCCCATCTATGGACAATTGGATTTAATGAACCACCTCTCCTCAGTATTATTCCATTGATGAGAGCTTTGTCTGTATTTGCATTTGGAAGTGAGAATTATAAAATGAATTTGTTTTCAGTTTGTTGATTAAAATATATTGATAAATTTATAATAAATAAAACCATTTTTACTTTAAAAGATGACGAGTTAATGGTTACTTTTCATTTATATACTTAATACTGATCGGAGGAGGAAGTAAATGATAATTTTAATAACTATAAATAAGTTTCCAAGAGTTGTTACTTAGTATTGATTTCAATTCAATCATTGGTCTCTAATTAAAGTGAAAAATATTTGTGTATCTGGCATATCACAAAAAACAATCTCAGTATTTCTTCATAGTCCATTATACTTTTTATTATTAGTCATAACAAGAAAATAAGACAAGAACAAACGAACATAGCCAGTGAAAGAATAGCATAAACTTTTTTCATTTTTATAGTAACCAATTGAAAGATACCTAACTTAGATGTAATTATTATTGAGAAACCACATCTGAAGGCTTCTCCAAAAAATATATTTAAAAAAAAATGTAAACCTGTCTAGAAGCAAGGGAGGTAACTTTGGCATCTTCTCCATAAGGACTCTTCATAATTTCTCTGACAAATTGAGATAACTGGGAATGTGTTCGACTGCAATAGTAAATCTACAAAAAATGAATAAAAAATATTATCATATATATAAATACATTATTTACCCTATTTACATTGGAATACTGTCCTCAACAACAAAGATGAGGACAACAGTCCGAATGTAAATAGTGTAAATCATGATAAGTCTTCATCCCAGAAATTCACACAAAATTATATAAATACATATATAAAGGAATTTTTTGTCTATTTATTTTACATTTAAACCAAGAAAAACTTTATGAATGTGCATTGAAATGTTATTGGCCCAACCAAGAAACCCTTCAAAAGAAAAAAATTCTAATGCTTGGTCATACTTTGGAATATGGGTTGAATTGATATTTTTTCAGCACCTCCTCATATATTAGGAATAGTTGATTTTTTTTTCAATCCTAAAATGAGTTGAAATTTATAGTGGATTACAGAAAATAAGATACTTTGATCATTGCCAGGAACAATAATTTAAGAAAATTATACACTTATTAAAATAACAACTGAAGACATTTCCTTGCTTTTTCTCTTCTCAATTTTTATATCTTCCTCTCATTCACTATCATTTATAACATAATTAGTGAACCTGAAGGCCTAAAATAACCAATCAAAAGTTAGCTGTTTCCTAAAACCCTTGAAATCACAACATTATCATCAGTCACATGACCAGATGTTGTCATAGGGTCAAAGCGCAACTGAGCACCAGACCAGATTCCTGCATACATCTGGATTGAAAGTCAGGTTTATTCAATCATGCATAGCATAGTGTGTCTGGGGAAAGTAAACTTGGCGCAGCACATCACTCTCCAGGTCAAATGACAGACTATGTACTCTAACTTGAAGGTTTACCCTGGTGACAGACACATGGCCATTGATTCTTTCAGAGGAACACTCTCCCCTAAGCATTGACTTCAGTCAAGAAAGCCTTCCACTCAGTGATGCCAGGTCATCACCACACTAGCTGCATACATATCCCCCACTGTGCCAGATGGCCATTGACTTTACAAGAACATTCATCCACCCCTTTGACAGGTCTTGTTTTTAATTTTGCTTGCCATCTAGCCACTCCTCTCACCAGAAAAACCTGGTAGGGGAACTGGTTTAGTTGCCAATAATCAGACAAAGTGGCAGATAGTTCTGGGTTACATGGTAGCAGTAGTACTTGTAGAGTGACTTGGTATATATTAGAATATAATATCAAAATAGAGTTATTATACATAGTAAAAGCTACACAATAAAAAAAAAATTAAATGTTTATATTTTTTTTGATATGACATTTTAAGAAGATCGTATATTGACATATTAGTGGTTACTAAGCAGTATTAGCAGCCTCACAACTTAGGAGTCATCTAAAACAGTGCTATTGAAAGTGTGGTATGCATACCAGTGAAGGTACACAAGCCATCATCTACCAATATGTGGAGTTTCCAGAAAACAATGAAACAGTAGTCACATCTGGGAAACTACCAGGATATCTGACATTTTTTTTTTAAACATTTTAATTTTACTTTTATATTTATTATGATTACACTTTTCAATTAATCATTCATATTAAAAGTCATTGCTATACAACTAGCAAATGTGATATAATGAACAGCAAAACAGTGAACTGAGATACATATGACAACACCATCATGATGATGAGGCATGTGACTGCATGAGAACCACACCTAGGAATGTCAAAAGTTCATTTTCATGGACATATATTTCTAATTTGACCTTTAAAAAGTTCAATTGACTGTGGAAAAAAGAAATAGACACATGAATTTGGGCCAAAATTTTTTAAATTAGCATTTAATTTTTTAGATACATAATCGAGATGCATATCTGAAAAGTGGGGACACAGCATCCACTGAACCCCTAAGCTGGACTGGAACACTCAACAATCTCTTGCACATTGAAAAAAAAAAAAAAAGGGTACACCACATCAGATAGTTTGAGAAGCACTGATCTAGAGGACATAAGCATTGAAGAGACATTCTAATGACAGTTGTTAAGATAAGAACCAGAAAAGACACCTCTATCCAGTCCTTCATGTTATCAAGCCATTTCTAGCATTATCGTCCACATCTCCCTCCTCCCTTAATAGTATCTTGCATAATGCTCTTTTACCAGAAAGTCATGCCTGACAATGTTTCTGCAACAAGCCAGTTTCTATCAATAAATATTTAACACTTTCATTGCTGCATTGTTATAACATTGTTGCCTGACTGCTTTTACATAACACCCACAAAACACAATATAACAGAAATACATTACAAAACTGGTTATACTGCACATTACTACAGGGTGCCCCACAAAAAAATCAAGAAATCTGGTACAGTTTATTTAATTGTTAGAATTTTTGTTACAGTTATTTGAAACAAAAGTAAAGATAGAAATTTAGTAGCTTAAAACAAAACAAAAACATAGATGTTAGATGTGGTGTTCAAACTAAAGAACTATGGCAAAATTTCTTGGCATTTTTTCAGTCCCCAAGCTGGATGTTCTTTTTTAAAGAGAACAATCACCTCATGTTGAAAATTTGATAACTACAGCATCCTGGAACAACAAATGGTTAAAAAATTTATATGTTAGTTAATTTTTTTAGTTCATTCATATAGTAAAATATATAGTTAAATTTTTTTTATATGTGAGTTAATTTTTTTTCATCATATAGTAATTCTAAAATTTCCTGGGGTTTTTTTTGTGGGGCACCCTGTATGCAAATTTTCTAAATTATTGGATTTATTTTTATTACTTCAAACATTATTTTTAGTGGATACCAGTGTTTGAAATAAACACTCCATTTTTTTTGTTTTATTTCAAACATTGTGTATGAAGTCTACTAGCCTGTAAACTTGAGAAAACTTAATTTCTTAAAGTTTTCTTGCATGCATAGGCCAGGAAACCTCATATACACTGTTTAAAATAAAACACAGGTATCCACTAAAAAATAATGTTTGAACTACTCTATGTCTATGCCAGTTTGGAAATAGCACTAAGTTAGTTATTCATAACACAAATGATAGCAACCAACATTTCAGTACCTGGAAAACGTATATATAGATCAACGGTAAGCTTCATAAAAGCATTTCATAAAAAAGTATGCCTACAGCAGTGGAATTGTTAATAATATACTTTAATACAATGATTTATTTAAATTGTTTTCATCTTCAGTATTTACATTAGTCGGACTATTGTCCTCATCTTTGTCGCCATATTTGTCACAACGTTTCGGCCGTTGTACGCTCCGGCCTTCTTCAGGTGGTTGGAATTTCGAACTGAACCCTTTATTTCGATCACTGGGGTAGACTGTTCTAATTCCATGTTTTGATGGATGTCAGTTATCAGTTATCTCCTGCTAATTTTCCCTCTGAAAGTTCTCCACTGCCTTAACCAGGAATTGAACTCACCTTCTTTGGGTCTGTCACTGGATCTAACCAACGCCTTTATCCACTGTGCCATGTGTCCTTGAGGACATCTGGGTATGAACTTGAGTATTATAAACCTAATGTTTTCAGCATCATTTTTTTACCAGTGCTCATATTGCAATTTTTGCTGTTATCATTGCATGTCTTTACCAGAGTTCATATTGCAACTTTGTTATCATTGCTTTTCTCTGGCACTCCTTATTACTGGTTCCCATATTGTATTTATTTCTATGCTTGGTCGGCTCAGGAGATTTTTGTGGCCTAGCATATGTGCTGATTCCTTAAGTTTACGAATTTTCCAATGGTGTTCCCTGTCTATGATCTGAACATGATCCCACAGGGGGCGGTGATCTCCCTTCTCTCTCCATATGTGGTCAGCCACGCCTGATTTTTCATCTTGTTAGTCACAATGTTTTGACCATTGTATACCCAGTCTTCTTCAGATGAGTTACATTTAATAACATTAGTAGAATTTTGAACTGAACCTTTTTTATGCAATACACTTAAAGGGACTGTTTTCTATAAAAAAAACACTGAGATAATATCATATAGAACAGTCATGTGGTGTAAATTTGGAGCTTTAAACTTAAAGACTATTCTTTCCTGATCAGACCTTAGGCTCCAAAATTCCACCCCATGATTATCCTTCATGTATATGTATTTATTAAAATGTATTCAGTTTACTTTATGGTTGTGAGTTCAATTCCTGGGTTCGGCTGTGAAATCAATGTCCACTAGTTTAGTGGAACAAACACAAGCAGCATATCAAGGAAGAAAAAATACGAGTTATCTCCCCTTCAAGTACATCAATCATGATCATAAGTCTCTGAATACATTGAGGTCATAGAGACGCTACATTGCTGCAGCCATAATAACATTGGATATATCTTAGGTAAAATAACATGTGGGAGCCTATCTCTCTTAAGGTTGATTTTGAATTCAAAGTTGTGTAGCAACGAAAGTAGTAACTTACCTCATTGAACGAAATGCCTATGGGTCACATATTTTCTGTGCCAAAAACAATAAAAAGAACCCATGTTTCTAGCTCTTTCATAGAGAATTTGGCAGGTCACTGTAAAAATTTCATGTGTATATAGGAACTTACTTTTTAGTTCCAACAAGTCTTGCTATTTGCATGTTGATACGAAATGGACTTGCACAAATCTTTCACTTATAAATTGTCCTTCTAGACTGGTTGCCACTCAAAGCAAGAGAGCCTTATTTGCCCCACTATTTAACCCATAGCTAAAGAAAGGCTGATTCATGCCTTTTCCAAGGGTAATAATATAAAGTGAACAAATTTCTGTCACCATTTGAACTTGGCATGCCAATTTCACTTTCTGCATTCCTCATGCCTTGGACACCTATGGGGACTTAAGCTCAATCCAAACCCCTCAAGTGGAATTCACTTTTCAGTCTCAATAGAGTCTAAAAGCATCTCCGCACATTTTAGTGAACAACTCTCATTCCCTTTGTAATCCATTAGTGAGATATAAATTCCACTTGAACAGCCTCTTCTCCTGAACCACTATTTTGTGGAACCAACTCCCAAAATAAAGCTCCCCCAATCACTACAATCAGAACCTGTTTAAGTCTAGGGTTAACTGTTATCTTCCCCAGATATCTCCATAAACTGTGCCTATTACCTCTTACTTTTTAGCCCTCTACCTCAAATGGGCTTGGACCTTATACAGGGTCAACATTATTGTAAAAAAATGTTAACTGTACATCTGAGAACATTAATAAGAGTATTGAATAAATGATTCAGTTTATAATTCCAAAAATGTTACTGGACACACCACACACCTGAAGAAGGCCAAAGGTTATAACTGTGTAAAATGTTATGACTATAATAAAAAAGGACACTAGTTCAAATATATCAGTCCTCCTTTTCTTAATGAATTCAAACAGAAACGGCTTTCTTTTAAAAAAAATAGCTGATTTACAATGAGAGGTAATTAAAAAGGGAGATAACTTTACTTTTAAGGTATGTTCCTGTTCAACATGATCATCATCTTCGTCGTCAGAGCCGGATTTAATCTTTTCTTCATTGTCACTGAAATACTCTTCAACAACAAGTTCAACATCTTCATTCTCTCCATTTTCTGCTGAATTTTGGTTACTAATCTCATTCATTTCAGCCATAAATGCTTTCTGTAATTCATCTGAAAACGAGTCTTTCAACTCCTCAAATTTGCTTTCCAGTTGGTGACACTGATAAAAATATAAATATAAAGAAAATAGAAAGGATAAAAAAATGATCAAAATCAATGTATTTGGCACCTTTCGTTCAGTCCTCTTCAGATAACGCAGCAGAATAGCAAGCTTGGTTGCCAATGGCAAACTAGCCATAGTGTCAGTTTACCTGATGGCAAGCAGCCCTTCCCCCATAAAAAAATACAATAAACAAATACAGAAAATTGTTTTAGTAATAAAAAGAAATAAGAACTTTATAAAGTCATCTGCACACTATCAGTTATTGAAGTCTAATGAGAGAGGACATTTTCAAATCTAAAGATCATAAAGACAAGTTTAAGAAATTCGCTGTTTGAGATGATTTGGAATCAAACATGTTGCTATTGATTGAAAAGGAATTGTTAGATGAATTGGATTCAGAAGCTATTATTGGCAGAGTTGCACAAACATCTAGTGAACACAAACGATTGTTCTTAATATAATGGGCTACATTCAATGTGCTGTTGTGCTTATGAAGTTAATCTGTAAACTTTACAGTAAACTATTTTAAAACATCAACCAATTACTTGAAATTAAAAAAATAAATAAAAAATTAAATTATAACATTTCTGTATTTACATTTGGTGTCTACTGCTAGTATTATGTACAGTACATGTACACTGAAATTACTAAGAAATACACATTTTTACACAAAAATTTTAATTGTACCCTTTTATAAATATGTATTTTTTAAAACTTTATCTGTAATGAAAATTAAATGATAAAATTGTAGTTGCAGGTGGGACCCCTTTGTCTCCTGGCAACCAATAATTTTAAACCCAGTCTGCTAGTGCTGGTCACCACAGAAAGTCATCCCCCCGCTCCTGAAAATGACGTGAACTAATCAAACATATTTTGAGTACTTGACACTATTTCACTTCCCCTTCTACATATTGCTCAAAAAAATCTTTTATTGTAAAAATCATAAAAAAAGAAATTATTCCTTTTTATTTATGACTTTTCCAATCTAAGAAACAGCCACTGTTAGTCTAAACTGAGTGTTAGACTTCATATAAATGCATTAGCAAAAAACACTTTTACTCATGGCTCCCCTGCCTTAAAGGCCCCACTCTCTAAAAACTCCTGGCAATAGGCCTGTAGAACATAGCTTTTAAAAACTGCAGTTAGAAGGTCTCCACTGGTTGAAAATTTAAAATAATATCAGGAATTCAAAATAAGGATAACAGCACTCTACAAAAAAACAGGCACCACACCAAGTGGACGTATTGGAAAGGCTTCAGCTGAAACTCTGCAACAGATTACCCTAATGAATTATTGAGAATTAAGATGTCAAATACTGATCCTGACATTGCAAAGCAGAGAAGCACCATTCATCACACAGTTATTAAAGAACATAATTATTGTACATGTACAGACATGTAATATATATTAGGTTTTAAAAAATGAAATCCATTTTAAGTAAAAATAATTTTAATTTTAAAAATTGCTTACTGTGCATCAATGGTGCATCAATATGTCTGTAGCTTGACATGTCATTATTATTGAATTTTGGTCTGAAATGTTCACTATATAATGATCAAACTATATAATTAATATTTGCCATTAAATTAAGTGCATTGACAAAGGAGCATGTTAATATTTAAATAGATTTTGTATAAAATAAATGCTTCTTTCATCATTTGACTATGGATTTATTGATCTACCTACATACATATATATATGAGGTCTGTCTGAAAAGTAATTTATTTATTTATTTCAATTCCAAATAACAAACAACATTGTTTCTCCTTCAAAGTAATGCCCCTCAAGTCTAATTCCATCCTTCTCTGCCATGCTTCTATGCACTCCTGGAAGAATTCTTCAAGAGGGGCATAATGACAGAGCTGAGGGGCTTGGATACCCCTCAGCTCTGTCATTATGCCCCTCTTGATGACCCCCATGCCTTTAAAACAAGTCCTCTTGAGCTTAGGGAAAAGAAAAAAGTCATACAGAGCAAGATCAGCTGAATAGTGATGTTGTTCCAGTACGGTGCTCTTCTCAGACAGGAACTGCCAGATGCTCAGGGTGTTGAGAGCAGGTGCTTTGTTGTGGTGAAGCAGCCACAATTTGTCCTGCCACAACTCTCATTTCTTCTTGGACACTGTGCAAAGCAAATGGTGCAGTATCACTTTGTAGACTTGTTAATTGATCGTCTGGCCCTGTGGCAAGAATTGTTGCCACTGTGGATGATGCCTCTCACATCAAAGAACAGATAAGTCCTGTTACTTTTAAGATAGACCTCATATTTACATTATACATTAAGTTTATCATTTGTTAAAACTTGTCTAAATTATTTAATAAGACATATCTTAATGAAAACATGCTGCCAAAATATATACAGTGCAACCTCAGTTCTCAAACATCTCACATGTCGAACAAATCAGTTTTTGAACAGAAAATTTTAGATGAAAATGCCTCGGTTATTGAACAAAATTTCTTTTCTCAAACAACATTGCTGAACCGAGTTAACCCAAACAGAATAATTTCTGAGTCAACTATAGTGTTGTATACATTCATTTGTTGTGTTGTACTTTTTTTTTCATTTTTTATTATACTGTGACTTTTTTCTCTTCCTTGATTCCTATTGAAAAAATAGTTTCGATTTATGAACATTTCAGGTTACAAACGGCCTTAAGGAATGAATTAAATTCCACTGTGTGTATATATATATATATATATATATATATATATATATATCTCAAATTATTTATGATTGAAAATTATTTATGAAAATTTATTAAAAAGGCAGCATTGTAAAAATAATACATAAACTATTTAATTTGTAATTATTCCTGATTTGAACATTTTTTTTAACTTAATAAACATGAAAGAAATAAAACTGTATTTTTTGTATAAACGCTTGTTTCTCTACCAATGATATGAATATGAATGATATACAAACCTTTCTTTTGGAAGGCTTGTGATATCTCTCCCTCATATGTCCGAGCTTATTTTCAACATTAGTTAATGCTTTTTTCTCTTCCTAAAAAGACAAGAAATACAACATTATACAAAATAATCTTAAGAAATACAGATTAAATGATAGTGATTCAAGACAATTTGTAGATGATAATAAAAGGAAGGCAAGGTGGAGTAATGGATAGTGGCTCAAATTGTGTAATCAGAGAGCTGAACTCAAATTCCAGTTGGATGCATTACATTCACTTCCATGTTTGGGAAAGCTCTGAATCCTCTTCTTCTCCCCCTCCCAGTTATGGGTAAATAACAGGACAGACTGAGTTCTATAGATTTGGGTAGCAACTGGTCTAGGAGAAGGAAAAACTCTGTATTCAAAACTGGCTTGGAGAGGGTTAGGTTCTGTCAGGCTATCTTGCCCAAGAGACACCATAGATGCTGTGGCTGCAGTACATGTGGTGCCCCAATAACCCTATGGGTCACCAGATGAAAAAAAAAAAAATGAAAACAATGATCATCCAGGAGCAGCTGACAAGATATAAGAAATGTCTTTATCTTGGGTTTTCTTACTATTGAAATGAATTAGATACTGACTCAAGACATTTCAGAGATGACAATGAGAGCAATGATTATCCTGGGGAAGATGATGAAACATGAAAAATGATTTGTCTAAGGATTTCTTACTCTGGGAATAAAAATCAAATAGCAATTTAAGGCAATCTATCAATGGTGATAAAGGCACCGAAAATAAAGATTGTCCCGAAGTAGCTGACATGATTTCATTTATATAGAACCACACAAAAATCTTCTGGTCCCAAGTAGTTAAAGGAAAGTAAGTGAATCAGAAAGAAAAGTTTTAAAAAATGTTGATTACCTCAAGTTGTTTCAATTCTTCTTCTGTTTTTTTCTTTATAGAAAATTCTGTTATCCAATCAAGTTCTGTTAGAAAAGGAAATTATCAAAATCTAAACACTGGGATAAAAATGTTTTCATTTGAATGCAGGCCAATAAACTGATTGAATATTTTAAGGTTTTCATGTTTTCAAAATTTACAAAGTGAATGTTACAAACCACTATAGACTGTTTTCAGACACAATAAATAACAACATTGGAGTTAAAATATTTGAATTTCTTAAATGCAGCATTATCAAATATTTATGGTATATAGAAATTAAGTAAAGGCCAAATTTTACTGTCTATAGTACCATTTATTGTTGACTACATTTGGTTACAGTGTTTAAAATGGTTGACTATCATCATAGTTCTTTTTTGTGATTTAAAAGTTCATACAGGGTTGTTGTGTTCCTTCTGGTTGATGGAAATTAATTTGTTGCATTCATCCTTTCTTCTTCTTCTTTCTCTTCTGGAGTTGTATGTCAGGTCAAACTCACAGCCAATGAATCACCAACTTTTGCATCTCAAACAGCTACCTCGAATCAAGTTCCTCTCCACTGCAGCATCTCTAGTCTCATACGTGGTTTTCTTCTTTTTATTGGGGCTGACACATCTGTGTTTCCCATTTGATTTTTTGGCAGGACGTGTTGTCATTAGTTGATTTTTTTATGACGTTCACTGACCCACATAAACTAAGTCCAGGTTCATGTCCGTTACCAATGACAGGAACAATAGAAGGAAAGGAAATATATAGAAGAGAGGGAAATAGAATTTTCTTTGTTACTCACTTAGTAAAGAGGAAAGTGTATATTTTCATATGGTGTTATTATTACCTAATCCTACTACATATAATTCATTTTTGTTTAATGCTTCTGCTGCTCTTTAGAAAAACCTCTAGCTCCTTATGTTATGTTTGTTAGTAAGAAACATGTATAAGAAACAAAACACTAGCAAGATTAAAATTCACACCCTATATCCTTAAGAATCTGCTTTACCATGGTCAATACATAACCAATTAGGCTTTGAAGACCAACCAACAAGAGTTATCCAAATATAATTACATAGGTCTAATCCTTACTTCACTAGTGGGACTGAAGTATCACATACAATACAAACATAAAAACTGAATGAGGATATAACATTCTGCTACCACTTGTTTTCGACTACAAAAATCTGTGCAAAAGTGGATCACAGAGCCTTGATATTTTTCTCGCTTCTCATTGGTCAGTTAATATTTAAATTATGTTCTCAACTATGTCCGAATAACATTGGCCTACAATTCCACCAAAATCTGACTATGCCTTCCATAGCCGATCACATGACTATGTTTATTATAAACACTTTGACAAGTTCGTTTTTCCTCTTTTAATTTCTCTTGCCTACCAACAATGTAGAAAAAGCGTTTCAACCCAGTTCGAACAAACTCTATGAAACGCCATCACACATGCACACATACACATATACGTACATATGGAACATTACGAAACATTCACTCCTTCTTCTGAAGCTAAAGGTTTATCAACATATTCTCATCTTTACAGAATTCTTTCAACTCTCTCATGGTGAACATTTTGAGAAGCAAGTTCATTCAACTTTCTATGAGCTCAGATAAAAATATTTCCTTAGTAAAGACTTTAATTCCAGTCAAAGGGAAGTAACTCCTATTAATCATGCTTGTATATCATTGACATAGATAAATATGAATATTGTTTGTTATAAAAACTGTTTTGTGCTCCTTCTTACTGTTTCATATTTTGTGGTATTTTGCGTAAATATAAATTTGAGAGGTTAATTCAACATACCGACCTCTACAAGGATGTAGAGTTCTCATATGTTGAAATTGACAGGAGATTCTATCATATGTGTGTGTGTGTGTGTGTGTGTGTGTGTTATTTTCTCATAACACACTATTTAAAAGACAGGCTATCTATTGAAACATGTATATCTGCTAAAATAAACATGTATATCTGCTGTTTTGAAGTAATAAAAATGTTAGATTAAAAATAAATATATATTTGCATTAGAAACTACTTTGTTTAAGTTTTGGATATGTAATCAAGCAAAACAGGCTTTTGAGAAAATCTGAACAAGTGGATGGTCTATGATGCTCATTGTAGCCATGCCTACTACAGCAGGTTGGATTAGATGATGGTTTCTCCTACAAAGGTGGGGGTCACAGATTCAAACTCTACCTGACAGCACATTTTCTATATTAAGTTTTCTCAAGTACACAGGCCAGTAGATGTTATACATACTGTTTTAAAAAATAGGGCACTTATTCAAATTATCAATTAAATATAATGTTTGAATAATATATATATATATATATATATATATATATATATATATATATATAGAGAGAGAGAGAGAGAGAGAGAGAGAGATAGACAGAGAGAGAGGTGTTTGGTTGGTTTTGAACTTTTTAAAACTCTTTTCTGCAATCAACACCATCACTTGACAAGACACCAGAAGTGTTGAAACAAAATGGCTATTTTTGTAATGATGTTATAACATACTTATGTTATAATTTTTGAATAAATACTATTTGTTCTACTCTGTATTGAGCCCTCTTTTAAGAACAGTGTTTATGGTTATTGGAATTTTATTCTGTCTATACCAATCCTGTACTTAGATTATATATATATATATATAATTTTGAACAATAAAAAAATATTAAAAAATTAAAATCTTTAGACACACTGGGTTGTAGATTAATATTCTTTCGTTTTTTTTAATATTATTTCATTTAGATTCCTCAACTAGTTTCAGCCAAAATGGCCATCATCGGTAGAAGAAATATTTCTGCTTTCTGAGGTTGAATATATATATTATATATTTATTCAACCTCAGTCAAAAACAACCATGCACTAAAGTTAATTGTGAATTCTATAATACTATCCATGGATATGTAAGGTTTCAAATTCAAAGGTTTTATTTCTTTTTTTAATCAGTATCACCCCAAGCAAGGCAGTACAGCCACTACCACACGAAGTGTTACAGAGTGTGAAGTAACAAAAAACATTAGTAATGATGAAAAAGAGAAAAGAGCAATCAGGAGAACAGTAGATAGTGATTGATATTGCAGTTAAATTTTTGTAGATTATAGTTGGTTGGAAATCATGGAACCAGGTGTTCCACAAGCAAGATGTATGGGATAACTGTTAGTGTAGAAGTTACAGCTACATCTAGCTAGCTCAACTGTAAATTAGTTGAGTTCTTATTGCCAGTCTAATATTGCACTTAAATTCATGTAGCATAGTTACCATAGCAAAGAGCTCATCCAAACAATTACCATGCAAGTATTTATAAAAAATGCACAAAGACGCAAGCTTACAGCAGTGGCAAGTGACTGAAGCCAAGCTGCTAGCTCAGGATCAATAATATTGCCAAGTCTTCTAAGGATCTTATGAAAGAGCTCCAGGAAAATAGCAGGGGCACCAGACCATATATGGCAGCAATATTCTAAGCATGGAAGAATGGTAGACTTATAGCAGAGTTATTCCATTTACTTAGCATCATAGAAATTATTTCTGATACTGATGAAATTGGATAGACAGAACTGTGTGAGCCTCAAACACTCACCTGACTTCAAATGGAACTTGTACATACAATCCATTGCTAAGGATGCAGGTAAATTGGTCAGCTCCGTGTACCACTCCAGTAAGTATCTGATTCCACATGCTATCCTCTATCTTTATAAGAGCCAGATCAGGCCAAAAATAGAGTAGTGTTGTCATATTTGGGTAGGAGCTGCCCAGACCTTACTCTCCAGTCTTGATAGAGTCCAAAAGCATCTCTGATCCCTTGTGGGTGATGAATTATTCTCCACCCTCCAACCTCTCTCTCACAGGTGAGACGTGGCAAATCTCTCACTGCTCTATCACTACATCCACAGAAAGTGCTTGGACAAACTACATTACCTAGTCCTACCAATTCAAACCTTCATAGCTTAGGACCCGCCATGCCACTTGCATTGTAGCAAACCACCCACATTCCCTCCGTATTCCATCAGTTAGAAGTTCCACTCTAACAGCTTCTTCCTGCGAGCCACTGCTCTGTGGAACCGACTCCCAAGAGGATGTTTCCCCAATCACTATAATCTTAATCCATTCTGGGGTTAACCATTATCTTCCACTCCTATCTGCATAAATTTCCTCTTAACATAATTCTCTAACTTGAGTGGCCCCTGGGCCTTGTAAAGGGTGAACCTTACTATAAGAAAAAAAAATCTGTCAATGGTTCTGCAAATCCTCTCCCAATGGACAGACATAGGCTCTTTAGCTTTGATTGGTAATCTATCTAAAGATGTTGTCTTTATAAGAGCACCCATTGTTGGAGTTATCTCCTCCTAAATTCTGACACCACCACTTGAGGGAGCTATCCAATTACTATATATACTTGATGAGATCCTGGCCTTGTTCTTTCTCTCTCTCTCTTTCTTTCGTTTTCAGTGAATTATGACCATTTAAGCTCTCACAGAAGATAAGTGTTCCCTCTTGTGGGAGATGCCATGAACATTATACATACACACACACGTACATATGAACATTCATTGAAACACAAAAATTTCCTTCTTTTCTTGTTTATGCATATTTGTTTGTACATATCGGTTCTTGTTGTTTTCTTTTACATTTCTTTTCATAGACTCATACTCCGAGTCTGCCATATTCGTTGTGGGTAATTTTTCCAGGAGTACACACATTTCATATCACAACATGTATATACACACACAACCCGCAACACCATCCCCTAGCAGCATGGCCACTCAAGGTGCATTACCAAAAATACTCACAATGACTAAAATTCTTATAAAAGAAATGTCATGCAAGTTCACAATTTGCTGTAGGTGCAAATAGTGTAATATAAACTGATGAAATATATGATGTTGTATAAGAAAAATTTACCAACCTTTTGGTTCATTATTGACACGGGTTTCACAACTGTAGATGAAAACAAAGAATTAGTTAAGACAAAAAGAAACACTAAAGAATGTAACTAAACATTTAAGAACACTAATTATTACTGGCAAATATCTTGCTAATCTAGAGAAACACAAGGTAGGGGAAGAAAATGTAATATATCTTACCTACTGGGGACCGGAAATCATACATGACAAAAAAAGTTGGCTGTTACAGTACCTCTTACAAGCTTGCAAACTACCACAGCTGATTTATACATTTTCAATTCCTATATAGTGCAAGACATTTGTTCCAAACATTGTCCAATTTTTCAGGACTACTTAAATAAACTGGTCTACTCAGAGTATAGGGAAAATTTTTTTTTTGGAAGCAATTTTTGTAGATTGCTATCCTTTAAACCTTCCTTAGGCCACGGCACTTTCAGAATTGAAAAATATTGATTTATCAATTTAGAAATGGGATTCTGTTTATAATATTACAGTGTCAAATCATTCACTGATATTTACAGAGTTATTGGTCTTAGTTGTGTTGCATACAAAAACAGGGCTAATGGAAGATTAACAGAGATCCAATCCAAAATAATGCCCAAACGTCTACTGCGTCTTATACTTTAGTTTAGAACTCAAATCCATTTATTTCCAGTACTCAAAATGGACAAACTCAGGTCAAATTGAATCTATTTGTTTACCAGAGAGATAATATCTGTCTAATGGCGTATTGCAACAAGCTTGTTCATATGGGACTTAGTGAAACATTATGAAAGATTTATTTCCCTTTGACAGGTATTATCTTTCTGGTAAACAAATAAATCCAATTTGACCTGATTTTGTCCATTTTGAGTACTGGAAAAAATGGGATTGAGTTCTAAACTAAAGTATAAGATACAGTAGACTTTTGAGCATTATTTTGGATTGGAGAAACTTGCATCTTATACATGCAGGATTATGGTGATTTTTTCATCTGACAATAATTTGATGAACATGTCAACAAATTTAACATCTGCTTCCTTGTCCACTCACCACACATGGCATGAAACTTTGAGCAACATTGATGTTTGAAATGCTGAAAATAACATTCATTATAATCACACTCAACTAGTCCTCATTCTTCACTAGCATATATCTTGTTCCTTCACCAGATCTCCAAGCAGCTCAACACCTTCACTTTGATATAGCCCAAACCAATCAGTAATGAAAGGTCCATGCACTGATATGGAAAATCTGAAATTGCTCTTCTGAAAATTAGTGCCACATTACTGAATAAACTGACTTCTTCATTGTTATTTTATTCATAAGATACAAGGTTTTACTTTTTTTAAAGTTAGATACAAAAATGCACGAGTTTCAAGTGAGCTACACGAACTGTCTTTCTCTTTGTGTTTAATTAAAAGACTCACATTTTCTTTGCCAATAATTCATCTAATTCTTTCTGTTGTTGTTCTTTGAAGTCCCGCAACCACTTGAAGGCTCCACAAATCAAACTAAGTGATTTACCCTGAAAATAACAAAAAAAATCCTCAAAAACATCAACATTATCTAAATCAGAAACAATTATCATTTAATGCTCCTTATACAAAAAAGTTTCCTTAAAAATGAAGGGACATAATTATTAATTCTTGGATTGGAATTTCTTTTTTTCCCTTGCTTTTTAACAACTCCTAGGTCACCATTCTACAATCATTAGCAAGAGGATACAAATTATGTCTACAATCATTAGCAAGAGGATACAAATCAGAAATACTCTCATGTCATATTCCTGCTTATTAATTGTTTTTTTTAAATTCTCCCTCTTCATTCCTTTATTTTCATGGAACTTAACTAAAAAAATATTTCAATGTTAAGAAAATGTTTTAATTCTCAATAAAAAAAATTGCCATAGGTTTACATATCATTTCTTCATTCGAGTAAACTATATTCTAGACTAATCCGACTCACTCGTCGGATTTCTTTTACAATCTCCCGAGATTTTGGAAAATATTTCCACCTGCTTATTCTAACCCTCCTTTTATTCAAGACCAGAACAAAGAAATACAAATAAAAAAACTTATTGTAACAGTTGACACTACTTCCTGAGAATGTTATCAAAGGGAGACAAATCAAAGTTAATTGATAAAGATTCTAGGTTACCTACCCTGAAATGAGTCAACTCTGGTATCTAAAACTATTTTCAGCAAGAGTCATGTATTGTGGGTGCTAACATTTGTTTTTATTTCTTTTTTTTACTAAATTTACTGAACGTTACTAAATTTTTAGCCTAATACGTCAGAGAAAGAAGTTCATTCGTTTGAGATTTCTAAACATATTTCTAGGTGGCAGCGTTTGACATTAAGGTACATCCAGTGGAAGTATCCTACTGGTTCACATGAACTGATTCTTAAAAATTATAAAAGCTTAGCAAACTGGTTGATGGATTATCCAAAATAATCTTATATATCAATAGCCGATATATAATAGCTAAAAATATAATTAATGCCATTGCTGTAAGTTCTGTGGAGGCTGAAAGAAGGCTTTCTATAATGAACATAAGTTATTCTGACAAAAGAAATCATCTTGGTGTTAACAATGTGGCAAATCTTCCAATCATAAATTTGATAGGTCTTCCATTGGATCTTTGGAACTGCAATGGTCTAGTTCAAATGTGGCTAAGAAACCATAACATAGCTGATGACACTAGAGTCAAAAAGCATTATACTTCTGAAAAGAAATATGATGAAAACAGAATCTTAATAAATGTTTTCTATTAAATTACCAAAATGGTTTAATTCATTTTGATATTAAAAAGTGATATTTTTCCATTCTCAATTTGAAAAGAAAATAAGCAGAATAGGTTCCTAAAGATTACCTGCCTTTATAGAACTGGTTCCTGGAAATTTAAGATGCCACCACTGGGTATATCAATATATTAAGTTTATGATGATTTTCTCAGTATGGCTTAGGCTAAAAAGTAGGGGGCACTCAGTGAGGATCAAACTCACTATTCAGTTGTAATTGATCTAGTGAGACAGGAATATATTAAGTTTAGAACCCTTTGTTCATGCACATGTACTAGGTCACTTGTCACTGCTGCCAATCTCTCTTAGTGGGCCTGAATGTTTGATTCTTCTCAGTGCTTCACTTTTACTCTGCTTCAAGGCCCACCAACCATTTTTTAAGTGTCCTTCATTGACTTTCATACTAAACCCTTAGGAAAAGGATGAATACATTTCTTCTCCCAATCTCCAGTTATGGGTTAAATTGCAGGGCAGATTGGCCTCTCTAGTCTTGGGTGAGAGCCAGTCAAGAAAAATTCAAAACTGTAGAGAAGGCAACAGGAAACCACTCCACTATCTTTTTACCAAGAAGTCACAGTAATTCACAGATGTTAATAAGAAAAGGAATCTGTGGAAAGCAATAATCACTTGTATCCTGAAGGAACAAGGCATAAAGTTAAGTATTATAGATGCAAATATGAAGGGGGTGCTGAAAAGTTCTCTGCCTGGTCCACTTCTAAAAATAAGACCAAATCACCAAACATCAGAATTTTTTTTTGATCCCTTCTTGGTTTGGCTGAGAACTTTTCAACACTTCTTCCTACAATAAAAGAATGACATTGTCATTTAGGGAATTCTCTCATACTTTTTATCATTACCTGTGATCTCACTGACTACTTTATTGTTGTGTTTGTTTATCTACTGAATAAGAGAAAAATTCACTTACAGTTCCAGTAGGACTTTCAAAAATGCCAATTTTTCCTTCTTGAAGACATTTATACAATGCCTTCATGAAATGCAACTGGATACCATACGGCTCAAAAGGAAACGGAAATTCTTCAGGAGTCCTTAATATTACATTTTTAATATCTGGTGCTGCAATAAATAAGGAATAGAGTGTAGAAAATTTGAAGAAACTTTTAGAATAGATCCAAAATATTTACAGGTATAACCAAGGCCAGTGCAAGGGTCTCATGCCCCACCCTCCAAATCTATGATACAGGGGCCCCATTCTATTACATCTAAATTTTCATAACGTAGTATTCATATAAAATACAAATTTTTTTTGTAACCTAATTATGAACAATAATGGATCATATGCAATATAGGTGAAAAATTAGAAAAATTGAAAATAAATATGATGTATCTAAAATACAAATTAGAGATATGTCATAATAGATCAATCCATCTTAAATAAATCAATAATGTTTTGTGGCAATTTTTAACTTTAACTGGAGATTTTTCTTCTTAAAAAGTTGAATAATTTTAATTTTTAACAGATTTAACATTATAGATAAAAAAATAGCCAATTTTATATAGTGTTTTTCGAGACTTAGCATGAGCCAAACAAATTCATGGACTTGGACAAAAAAAAAAAAAAATCACAGAATAAATACATCAAAATTAGCAAAAATGTTTCATCCTTTCATAGTCAGTGATGCTTAGTTTAATTTGTAATGTATATAAATGTAGGTAAAAAAATAAAGCAAATGTTGATAAGATAGCAAAGGTCAAAAAGCATTGCTGGGGCCCCCTAATCAAGCTTTTTACAAAACATATTCTGCCAAGGAGAAATCAATTTCAGCATTTTTATAGACATTTATTTACAGTAAATAAGAATTTCCTGTTATTCCTAAAATGGACCCACCCAGTCAGGCAACAATGCAGCAGTGAAAGTGTTAATGAACAAAGTAGACATGATTGATATAATAATTAATGATGACAGACATACCAATACAAAGTTCAAAGGTTCTACTTAAGGAATTACTACATTAAAAAACAGACAAAACAAAATATCATAAAGACACACAAAAGTACTAAAAAATTTAGTCAAAAATAAAAATATTTCTATCATTACCTCAGACAAAGGAGGTGAAAATGTTATCATAGTTATCATAGATTGATGGATTTGTTTTTACGTCTCATCAACCTTTTGCTGGTTATTTAAAGCTAGAAAATATTTTTAGATTGTAAGAATTTTGGGACATAATAATGATTTACTGATATGTGTTACTAATTAACCCATAGCTGGAAGGAGAAAAGGTGGATCTGTACCTTTCCCAAGGGTATTTGCACATAAATAAATAAAGACAACCAGAATTGGAACTCAGCTCTCCAATTTCCAATTACAAGCTGTTATACATTACATCAACCAGACATCCACCTGGTATTCACAAGCAGTCACCCATCTACAAAATGACCTGGCTCAATGTTACTTAACTGATTGTACAAGAACATGTTTCAACAAGATATGGCAATAAGCCATCATAGTTAAGAAGATCTACAATGAAAAGAGACTTTTACCCAATGATACATGTGTGTAACATTTTTCAGGATTTACAGATACTACACTCTGATGTACTATTTACCTACAACACCCCACAATGCTAGGACATGATATATCATCGATTTCACATAGGCTACCCACAAGTATGTGGACAGCCTGTCCAGAAATTATAAAATGGTTGAAGAGAAGCAAAGAATGTAATTCAATCCCAGCCTGAAGGCCAAACAATTACATATTGATCCTAGAAAGAACTGCTGAACAGAGAGACACCAATTTTAAACAAAGTGCACAGATACTACATTCTGATGCTAAGCAGAGAGCTAGGAGCAACACTTTGATTCTAAGCAGAGTGTAGAAATACTCTAGCCCAGCAATTCTCAAACAGTGCAGTGCTACTCATAGGAGCAGCAGAAGAAAACAGCAGGTGAGGCAGAATGAGTGAAAGACAATCAAAGATTTAGAAACAGTTTCAAAAAATTCATATGCTAAAAATAAATATGATTTCAAAATTTAAAATATTATTATGAATTACTTGTAATTGCATGCATGAGTACCAGTTTAAATAGTTATAAATATTTATTGACTAATTGTGATATTTTTGCATTATATCAAGTATTAAAAATATAGTAACTAAGGTCTTCAAATTGGAGGTGAGAGTTATCAATGATAATGTTCTGACTTCAAATGAACAGTTATCTGTTTTTTTACTTTTAAATGTATTTTTATTTTTTTAAAAGATGTTTTAGTTTTAAATGTATTTTTATTTTTTAAATGTTTTTTTATTTTCAAATGAATTTTTTATCATATAACATTTACTGAGACACAAGCAAATTTTTATTCCAAAAATGTCGCCAAGAGAATAAAAGTTTAGGAACCACTGCTCTAGTCTAAGACAGAATCCTTAAGCCATATTTATATAGTTCCACCATTTGTTATGGGTATTATGCTAATAAATAATAATAGTTTGTTAAATTCTGAGTTGTGATGATAGCCAGGACAGGCAATCCCATCAAAAGTTTTCATTCCACTTGTATTAGGGCAAGCTCATATCTCTCTACACTCGACCCTCATGACAGATGCATTTGGAGATCTGGAGTGAGAACTGCCATGCGTGCAACTAGGCAGTTGTCTGGAGAAGGGGGCCCACTGATGTGGATGATGCTCCCATTCCTGCACAATAATCAATAACAACCAATGAAAAAGAAGTAGAAATGCTTCAACTAAAACTTTAAAATTAAAAGAAAATCTTAAAATGTTTCTGATATTAATCACCAACAATCAGGTTAAAAATAAAAATAAATGAAGCAAGAACAACAGGAACCAAGAAAGCAGAAATTTTGGAGAAAGTAGGACTTGAATGTAAACTGTTAAGGGTGGACAGTTGATGATAAATTCAAAACAATCAACTAAGCATTGACTAAACAGAATAATTCTGAAAATTTCAAACCTGCTGAGGAGGAATTACTTGCTAGAAATGTAGGTGTTGTTTTTTCTTTTTCAATGCCATTCTTCCCTTCTGAGAAAACGTCATTAGGAAGAGAACAAAGAAGTTCATCAGTGCCATCATCTGAGAAATCATCCATATCACACATTCTACAAATAAGAAAAGGAACAGAAAATTAATCAAATAACATTTGATGTGGGATTAAATAAGAAAACAAGTAGAAAAATCTGTATGAATTGAATACGTTTTGCTATTTAATTTAGTGTCATCAGAAAGATTTGGAAGTGTAATTTTGCAAAGTTCATTGAATTTTTAAATTCTGTTTTATTTTCATTGATTTTGTAGACATCACATGTATATCTTATGACATTTGTGTTAATGTACGTACTAATTTTAAGAAAATTCTATGTCTTTGTTTCTAATGGTTTTCTAATGTGTATATCTTAGCATTTGTGTTTATGTATGTACCAAATGTTTTAAAGGCTGTTTATTTTCTTTTCATTGATTTTGTAGACATCACATGTATATCTTATATCATTTGGTTTTATATACGTATTAATTTAAAAAAAATGTTTTTTGTTTACATTTGGTTTTGTAGACATCTTTGTGTTTATGTATGTATCAATTTTTTGAATTCTATGTTTTTGTTTCTGTTGTAACCTAGGGTAGGTTACTGAATAGAATAATCAAACAAAGGTTAGTAATGAACGATAATACTTAGGACCTGAATATAAGATTTATCAGCAGCACGTAGAAGTAGTAATCAACTGCTAGAAGTGAGTCAAGAGAATTCCACAATCAATCTCCAACTACAGGATATCTACCAACCACCCCACGCAGTCAGATATGGCACAAGGTCGAATTTAATGTGGGGTATCCAAGCCTGTAATCTCGGCCAAAGATTCCCTGTAGACCCTGTATAAAACAGGGTCAGGTAGCTGTTTCCCAAGACAAGACTCTGCCTTTCAACATAGCCTCATTTGGGGATCCTCTCCGCCCGAAGTCAAATCTCCAACTGCAGACCAACATACAGTATTTACTACTGTATTTATATGAATGAGGACATACCCATTATTGTCTGTAGGTACACTATAACAGTTTCCATTGGTTTTGTAGAGGTTATCTTATTGTATTTGTGTTTATGTATATATCAATTTTTTTAAAGTCTGTTTTGTTTTCAATGGTTTTGTAGACATCACATGTGTATCTTATGGCATTTGTGTTTATGTTTGTATCAATTCTATTTTTGTTTTCATTGGTTTTATAGACATCATATGTATCTTATTGTGTTTATGATTATGTTTGATTCTTAAAATGTTTATGGAATCTAAGTGTGTATTAACAATTTGAATTATGAGTGTAGTTATAATGATAAATCTGATGAATATTGGAAGTTAAGACACATTACGAGGTTAGATCATCTACAGATATTTGGATTATGCAAATTTCAACCTTTTCCAGGATATTTAATAACAGATTTTTTTGTTTTGATAAATAATAGGCAGACATAGGTCCATTTGCATGACAGCAAAAAAAGATAAACATGAGTACAACAAAAATGTGGTCCTTTTTTTTAGTGGGGTATCCATCTGCATGGAGATGCTGTTAGTGTATTCTTGACGTCAATCAACGAATCATAGCAATTTGTAATAAAGAATTATTTTTCTTAACCTCTCCAAAAGATATTTTCCTCTTATTAAAGTTGTGATGTTCTAAATATCAGGGTAGACTGCTTTGGTAGCAGCCAATCTTAAAGAAGAAAAATTCTGAATACAAAACTGTAGAGAAAGCAACAGCAAATCTCAACTCTATTTCCCCAGAAAGCATGGCAGTAACGTAACATAGCTTCCCTGTGGCTTTTCTATAAATACTTTCATGGTAATTGTTCTGATGAACTTTCCTATATGGCACCTAGACATTATGAATTTAAGCATAGTACTAGATTGGCTACAATGTCTTATTTTACACTTAAAACAGCTACATGTAACCATAAGTTCTATTCTAACAGTTTCTTCTCTTAGACTTCTCACTTGCAGAATTTTCTTCTGGCATCTTGCTTCCAGTTAATTTTGATGGCCAAAAATTTAAATGCAATGTCAACCATTATCTTCTGTCTTCTTAATTCTTATTCTTTTATTGTCATCTCTCCTTAATAGTAGTTTCTCTCATATTCTAACACCCAGTAACCTCTTGTATCCTAGTACCTTTATTGCCTTGCTTGGCGAGATTAAAAAAAAAAGAAAATTCACAAATAATAAAGAAAAGAAATCTGTAGAGAACCATGATAATCTGTATTCTGAAGGGAATTGGTATTTAAAACAACAACAAAAAAAGGGAGAAAAATAGGTTATGATGCTGAAAACTATCCTAGATTTAGCCATTAGGTTTTCATTTTGGCATCTCAATGTCCATTTTCCCTTGCCAGTGACTTCATTAATGTTCTTACTGCCTACAACCATAGACCTTCAATTCCTAGGCAACCACTAATTTCCACAAATTTTTTATTTATCTGGGAATTACCATTAGAGAATAGTTTGGTATATAAACTACATCCGGCAGCAAGGCCTCTGATCAGGAGAGGAATTTTTTCAGGTTTTGAGGAATGTGGAACCACCTCTTAATTGTTGTTGTTCCCAAGTCTACCCTAACCTGGCGGGGTAGCACCAGTTTGGGTCCCAAATATGGGCAGATAGTTAACCCCCAAACTGGGGTCAAAACACTATGAAAGTATAAAACTAGATTTTTATAGTAAAAATATCAGCAATACATTTTTATAGTAAAAGAATTACCAACAATATATTAAAAACGAAAAATTACCAATAATACATTTTTGTAAAAGAAATTATTAATGCTCCCAAGAAAATTAAATTTCAGCATTAAATGACCCATAAGAAGTTGATATGCAACTAAACAAACAAAAAAACCATTAGAGAAAATGGAGTAGTTTGAATTTCTGAATTTTGCTTCTCTTACACTGGCTAACACTTAGAGAACCCAGTCTTCCCTGTTATTTAACCCATAGATGTATTGGGGAGAAGAGAAAGTCTATGCCTTTTTTCTTCGAGGGTATTTGTGTGAAAAAGTGAACAGACTCTATTCCATTTCGAATTCAGCTAGCAAACCCACTTTCCATACCGATATCCATAATTCCTTGCCAGTGATTTGTGCAAAAATTACTTTGCGCATTAAAAAAAACTCATTTTAATTTTAGCCATATTTACCTGAAATGCCTCGTTCAGTACACGGTTATAAGCTGTTCCTTCTCTAAGCAGTCATTATTCGGTGCTGTTTAACTTTTGTGATCAGACGAGAATTGGTGTTTACAAAGTTTACCTTCCTGACACAGGACTACAAGAGAAGAATTCTTTGTGAAGAAGACTGATGTGCTTGGCCTAAGCGAAATATCACTTTACCAATCACCCAAACTTGTTTTGTTTATAACAGTTCGACAGTAACGAAGTGTATTGTGGGATATTCTATGTTCGTTTGAAGAAGAAAAACACAGATAAGGATAGAACAAAAACATCATTGACCAAGTTACATTCATTTGTAAAATGTCAACATTGCGGAGAAAATATTTTTCGTAGACCTTATTTATTTTTGTTTAATTTTAAAGAGAATTTTAGAACGAAGAAAATTCCTATTAGTATTATTTTGAATATTAAATGCTAACTAAATTAAGAAACAAATATATATATAAATAAACGAACCCGTTTTCAATAATTAGAAGCACTGTAACATTAACTCTTAACAAAGTTTTTCCTATTTGGCGCCACGGGACAACTTGTGGAATGTCGTAAAAGTAAAAGTATTTTATTGTAGTAATAAAAATGAAATTATCTTTTTATTTTATAAAACTAAGTGAAAACATAATTTAAAATAGTATGACGCTTATAGCGACAAAAACAATGTACTTAATTTTCTTTTAGTATTTTTCGGATTAGTGACGACAAAAAGTTTAGCGGTGTAAAGTTTTGTTTATCCCATGAACTTTACGTTTATTTTTTTTAAAACGATAGTTCTAAGTTCTGCTCATTGCTATTCTTTTTAAATAGGTTCTACAAATGTTCAAATAATTTGAAATAATATGCTGCTACCCGATTAAAAATAATCTCTTTTAGAGTTTGACTTTAAGCAATATAATTCTTTGCTAAAATTATATGTATGTTGTTTTTTTTTCAAAGGATACATTTTAGTCTTTCACCGCAGTCATCCGCCAAGCGTGTTTCCTCCGATTAAGGAAAATGTCGGTCAGAAATCACAATCAGCTACCAAATAATTTACCTCAGTTACAGAATTTAATCAAAAGGGATGCAGAATCATACAAAGATGAAGTAAGTGTTGAATTTCTTTAGTTTTGCTTTTCATTAATTGATTGTACAACTAGATAAATCCTCTTGCTGAAGTTATTTTTAATCTTCTCAGAAACACGTGGTCAATTTTTTACGAAGTTATTAATTCCGCTATAAATAACAATATCCATTCTTTTTTTCCATCCGTTACTGAGGTGATAAAGCGAAGTTTTTCTGCTAAACTGTACCTATGTGTCTCGTTCCTCACAGTATAAGTCTTCCTTTGAGATTTCTGTCATAGTATCATTTTATTTTTTGAATTGGAGTGATTTTTAATTTAATAACCCTACCTACGCTGAAGGTGAGGTGAAGAATGGTTGGTTTTCTGTAGGATTTTTTACCCTTGTCCCCACGCTGACGTGTTCCATCTACACGAGTTTGAACTACACTACACACAGCTATCCCTCTCTTAGACTGGTTGCCCAACAAGAGCCCAGTCTATTTAAAATACAGAAGATATGTATTCATACCTTTCCCAAGCCAATAGTATTTGTAATTCAAGTATTGAATGTAACGAACTTGACTGGAATTCGAACTGTGCTTGCCGATTTTTCGTGCCGAGCCACTAACCGTTACACCATTTAAAGTCGAAGTATTTGCGAAATAAAATCTTCTTTTAGGACGTTGTAATCATGACACTCTACAACTTCCTGACCGTTGTCTCTAAACAACGTTTGACGCTTTCTTTATCCTTCCCAATCCCTGTTCTGCCATTTACACAATCTCGTTAGGCAAATAAAAATTATTCGATGTTTCTCTCTGTCTATCTTGCACTTCAATTATGTCCTGTATGCATCAAATTTTCCGAACCTCTATCTTCATTATGTGTCCCAGAAATTTCAGTTGTCTTTTTCTTATTTCAAGTACAAGTGTACTTTTCTTTCCCATTTTCCTCTTTGCTCATTCTGTAGTATTCTCAGCATCCTTCTGTAGAACCACGTCTCTGTTAGTGTTCAAGACTCCTCTGTGAAAAAACTGTTGCGCATCCACTGCCATATACTAGAATTTAGTATTTCAGTACTCTTTTCTTTGTTTCTAAATGAGATTTTCCTATTTCTTAACACTTTGTTTATTAAACTTTGTGCACTTACCTTAGCGAAACTCTTGTGGAAAGGAAGAAATGAGAGAATTCAACAGTGATCTAGTAACAAAAAAATATAATGAAAGATATTTCGTCTTCACAGAAAATTTATAGAAATGAGTTCCAGTCAACCCCATCTGATTGAAGGGCAGTCAAAATTTGCATATGTGTTCGAAGAGAGAGATAAAATGCTAAAATAGTTATCCAAAGGCTTTATTTTTCTTTTCCTTCATTGCAACCTTGCTTCCTCTTTTGAAATTGACTGGACATGTTACCAAAGCTGTTAATAAAAGTCCTAACTCTTTATTTTCTATTGTTATTTCTACAAGAATTACTTGTAGGCAACATAAATGGTTGCCACCAAGATTACGCTAGTTACAAGTAAGAATCCGTTATCATTTCTTTCTGTGCTGAGTTTTGCTTCAAAAGTTGCCATTATAGTTTTTCTACCTTCCCTTTCCCATAACAGTCGTACTTGTAATCCCAACATTACTGTCCCTGGTATAACGATAAACTACATCCTGTGATTGGGAGGTTTTGAGGACCTCTTAATTGCTGTTGTTCCCAGATCTACCCTGACCTGAGGTGGTAACAACTGTTAGGATCCCTCCTATGGGCAAATAATTAACCCCTGAACTGGGGTCAAAACACTGAAAGTATAAAAATATACTTTTATAGTAAAAATACAAAATTGATGCTTTACAAAAAACATCAATGAAACCTGATCTACAAATTGATTTATTACAAAGAATACATATTCTATTCATACAGACATATCCTAAAATTCTTGTCAGCATTGGATAATTCCTTGAGGTGTTGATATGCTATAAAATAAACCAAACCAATACTTTGTTTAGATTTTGAAAGACCCCCTTTTGCTATTCCAATGCACCTTCAAATTTCTGTACCTGCTTGATTCTGATGTCTCCAATTTCAAACACCCATATTTTGTTGTCTCACATCTTACTAACAACCTGTGTCGAAAGAGAAAGTCACTTACCGAAAAAAAAGGGCACATGTGTTCTGTACAACATGCTGAAAACAAAATAGCCAAAACAAAAACTAGTCAATCACAGCTGTTGCTATAAATGCATCTTGGATATGCTAATATTGTTTGTCTTCCGCTCTAACCATTGACCAATGAAAAAATTGTTCTGTCAATAAAAGCAGTTGGTGTTTTCGAATTGGGAGGTAGTTTATTTTTTCTACTTCATCTGTCAGTTTGCGAGTGACTGTTGCCTTGCCTTGCCTTGCCTTGTCTTGTTGGATTTCTGATTGTTTATGTGTATTGGGATTTTTGACACTGGACCTACAATTCGTGATTTCAAAATTTCTTTCTACCTCTAGATCTTTGAGTTTGGACTTGCAATTTGTTTATTTTGTTTTGTAATTGAGCTGCTATATCAATTATTGAACATAACCATACCTATCTTTTTTTTCCTTTTTTCTATCTTGTCTAGGGACTCTTACTGTTTTTTCTGTGTCTGCCACCAACACTGTATATATATATATATATATATATATATATATATATATATATATATATATATCTCTTATTATGTCCACCAATAATAAATTTTCTAGTTCTCTAAGGATAAATCGCAATAGATTAAATAAATCTGTTGAGAAAACAAATCCTTGTTTTTCTGTCTGAATTTCTGATTATTGTCCACATCTTTATTATTGTTATCATGTTTGAGCCATTGTGCCTTCCTGTTTTCATCACGTGCTTGTTGATCTCTGTAACCTTCAGGGAATTCTGAACTGAACACTTTATTTAATTTACTGGGATAGCTTGTTCTCATTCTGCTGATTCTGTATAGGGATATCTAGTTCTTATGTCGTACTGCTCAGTTATTGCTCACCCTGTTTCCACAAGTCCAAATACACACTGCTCAGCACAGAGATTGAACCCTCAGTTACTATGTCAGAAAATTCATGAAGCTAATACTTTAATCCACTGGGCTATTGTCTTTGTTTTACTCTTTCTATTTTTGTATGCTTGCTTAATTCATTTCCTAGTAAATGTTGCAGATTATATAAGTTAGTGGCAAGTTCTCCATAATACACAAAAACATGGAAATAAAGTAAAAAATGAAAAGTCATGGGAAACAAGATTTTTGCTGCTAAAAAATAAAATATTCCAACGATAAAATGTAAAATTCCTGAGCTGGAACTCAACAGAATCATTATTTTGCATGAATTTGCAATATACAGTGAAGTCAGTTACTTATGCGCTACGACTTACATGGCTTCAACATGTCATTCTATAAATAACATGGGGTATTTTCCACTACTGATCCCAGTACTGCACAAATGCCATAACTTAATTCATGATATTAACCTGGCCAAATTGAACGCCACAGGGCAAATACCCATGTGCGATGTTAGCATATGAATAGCATGGCACACACCATCAAGGGTAGTAAAAATAAAAGTTGTTATTTGTTTAGTAATATTATTTGATTTTTAAATGTCAGTTTGATTATCTTTCACAATGGATAAATGAAAAGCTAGTAAACTTAGTGGGTGCACACTTTCAGTAAAATACAGAGCTGAAGAGCCAACTTTCTATGAAGATTTTTATCATGATGGTGATAAATTATTTTGCTATTTTGTCAACTTACTTTAGATTGGACTCTGAGGAACACACTTGTAGATAATCAGAAATTACTGAAGCAGAAAAAAAATAAAGATGCCTATTTAAGTAGGCTATATATTTGTATATTTTATTATTTACACACAAGTTTCTATTTTCCCATGTTTTTATGATTATGATTTAAGTTGAAATTTACCGTCACGGAACAACATGGGATTTCTTGTTTAAGAACACAGAGAACTTGCCACTCTAATATAAGTCAAATTTTTCTATCTGTTTAAATAGGTTTTATGTTGTAACTTATCAAATGTTTTTGTATAACCTATAAAAGATAGTTCATTTTGCAATTGTATTGATCACTGTGATAGCATTCTGGCCATAAAGATAGCATTTCTTGTTCCAGTGTCTTGAACAAAACCCCATTGTTCTTGTCCTATTTCTAATTTAATTATGCAAGTACTATTCATTAAAATTCTAATTATAAACTTCGTCATCTAGCTATGCTGATGCAAAAGTTGGAAACACTGAAACAGTAAAATTTATTCTTCAACTCAGAGAGATAGCTCTATACATTTTATGTTTATGAATACAAGTTAAAAAGATATGTAAACCCTCCTACATAACATAATTATTCAGAATGTTTGTATAAAAAATGTTTATTCTGATCTCTTCTGAATTATCTTCCTCATCATGATAGTTGTTTTTTGTTAAGGCAAGACTGGGATTAATCTTCACTAAGTCAGGTGGGTCCTGCCCGACTGAGGATTGTAATGATTTGAAGCAAAGTTTTACAAGGCTGAATGTTCTTCCTGATACTTAACTCAGACACTTACAATAGTCCAAGTACACCAAGTATTTTTATCAAGACACCATCTCTAGGAAGGTTACAATTCACAGTTCAGTACCCCACCTTGCCTTATATATACTGTGTGTGTGTGTGTGTGTGTGTGTATATATATATATATATATATATATATATATATATATATATACACACACACACACACACACAAGTTAATGGACAGAGTTGAATTAGACCAGGAAACAGTAGTATTAAAAAAAAAGTGCTCAATACACATAAAAGATAAAAATTTAACATGTAGAGCTTTTAAGTATAGAAAATTAAAAAATCAGCCGATTCCGCTACCTTGGTTTCAACCTTTCGGTATCTTCAGGCGATTTCAGTCAATTGATTTCCTAATGCTTTATATTTTTTATTTTTTTTAATTTATGAACACTATATTTTTTTAAAAAATAAATAAATAAATCAATAAGCATATAACGTGAGGTGTGGCAGAAGGTGAAGAGGAGGAGGGGAAAATCAATTGTATTGGAAATATATCAGTGGGGGATTAAATGAAATATACATACATTCTTTTTATCCCACTTCAAATGAACTCAAAATGAACTTTTTAGTATGAATACAATGGGACATAATTTCTGTTCTTGGTTTTAGAAGTTTTTTTTTGGTCTGGAAATGTTGTTATAGCTAATTTACCTTGTTGAAAAAGGTTGCAGTTGTTACTATGATTGTCATAAGGTTTAGCTTTTTTTTAAATTTTCCAGTTTACAATTGGATATTATGTGCATGTGTGTGTAAAAATCCTTAATAAAATATAAAATAAAAAACATCACTCACTTATTAAACATTGAATTATGTCCTCTATAGCTTGCCTGAATTTTCAGCTAACCTGATGAATATTATTGAGCATTCCTAAATTTTAAAATTTTGTACTGCTGAAGCAAACTTATATTTAACATTTAGAAATTCAGTTATGTCTGCCCAGAATCAAATAGAACAGGCAGTGGAAGGGATATTAAAAAACACACATTGCTCAGAGCTACAAGGAATATGAAATTGCAAAGAGGGATACAGCACATAGAAGAAGAATGCTCTTTGACCCTCTTTTATTCCCCAAAATAGACTCAAAGTATCTCCTGTATCTTATATGAAAATTTAAGATAACATTTACCCAGATGTCATAGACGATGAGTATTTATAATTAGTGTAACTCTGTAATTCTGACATATTAAATTTAAATAGGTGTGTGTGAGGGGGGGGGTGATATAGCACCAAATAAAATCATTGTTTTTATTTACTTTTTATTTTTCAGTTCCACCAGCAATATCAGCATTTTATTTCAAATCTGGAAGTGTTCAAACACAAGCCTGACCAATATTCCAAGACCTTAGATGAACTTATTATGTTCCTGGCACAAGTAAGAATTTTATTTTATTTTTTAAATTTTACTATTTATAGGCTAAGACAGAGGATCCCAAACTTTTTTTCTGGGTTACATTTTTGGAATGAAAATTTGTTCACACCTCACCAAAGGGAAGTCCCAATGAAAATGTGCAATCAGTCCTACAACAAAGTTCCAGAGAGTTGGTTAAAGGGAGATGACTACAGATTTGAAGTCAGAAAATTATCATTGATAACTCACTCTCTCCTCCAATTTGAAGATGCTAGATACTATATTCTTAATACTTGATAGAATGTAAAAATATCACAATGATAAAATCTGTCAATAATTATTTATACTAAAACTCATGCATACAATTACAAGTAATCTATAATAATATTTTAAATTTTGAAATCCTATTTATTTTTGACATATGAATTTTTTGAAACAGTTACTAAATCTTGTTTTTCAATCATTCTGCCTCGCCTGCTATTCTTTTCTGCCACACTTATGAGGCAAGCTGCACCATTTGGGAACCACTGTGGTAAGATAGAGGCTATCAGTACAAAAAATGTAATCACAAAACAGAATTCAAATTCCTGCATTGTCTATTGTGTTCAATTTCACACTAATTTCCTTGGGAAAAGCAGGAATCCATCTCTTCTTCAGATATGTATTAAATAGATGAGTATATGGGATTCTCTAGCCTTGGATGGAAACCAGTCTAGGAAACCATTCCACTATCTTTCCCAAGAAATCATGACAAGTTACTTCTGCTTCATCAGACATGTATCAAAAGATACATGATCACCCAACCATGTATCACATGTGGCACTTAACTGACTGAATTTTCTCTCTTCTTTTAATAAGGATACTAAGAAACTTGTCCATGAATATGACAGGATCCTATTGAAAATAAGTAGACAAAACTTGTCTAAATTATTCATTGAGACCTGTCTGATATATATGTTGGCTCCTATAAGAAACTTATTCACCCCTTTGACATTGTATTCAAAGTCCTTTTAAAATTTGTACATGTTCTGTAATTGAAAGAGTGGAACTCTTTCGGCTTCTTGTTTTCTTACCACCGACAATCTTCAAAAATATAAATGCAACCCAATTGCCATCTTCTGTCTTCCTTATCTTTTATTTTCCTCTCTAAAGTTTTCTCATTTTCTTACACTTTCAGTAACCTCTTGTGTTTCTTGTCATTAATAATGTGAAACTTTGAAAATCAAGTAAATTTTAGAAAACATTTACTACATTATAAAAGTAACACATAGTCTATTATAAATATTATGTGAAATATCCTGCACATAACAATGCAAATATTTCCCAGAATTCCTTCATTAGTTTTGTAAAAATTGGGAAATATTGAAAGTGAAAATTATATTTGGAGATATTTAGAAAATTTCTACATATTTTGTTAGTTCTGTATGAAAGGATCAATGGTTTGTGATTATAAAAAAATAATTTTGAAAATATTAAATGCCTGCTCTGACATAATTTTTTTTTTTTTTTCTGTTTATGTTTTAATTTTTCTTATTACAGATCTCTCATTGTTTTACTAAAGAACTGGTTGACTTTCCACAATATGTTAAAAGTCTATTGTTGAATTACTCCACCACCTTAGATCCTACTATGCGAATGGTAAGCAGCAGTTTTTCTCTTTTGACAAATACCAAAACTAATTTCTTAGAGCAACAATGCATTTATAAGTATCATCGTGTTCAAAAAAAATAATTGTTTCACCAGAAAATAAAAAGGAATTTAAGTTTAATTTATTTGAATGTTATTTATCAGAAATGTAATCACCTTTGTTTTTAACAACTGTAGCCCAACAAGAAACCAAACCCTGTTTAAAGAATTTAGGTTCCTCCCCCACCAAAAAAAGTTATTTCAAACTTCTTTGTTTCTGAATGTTCTACCATGTACAAAATCTTCAAGTGATCAAAAGAAATGCAAATCTGTAGATGCTGAATATGGAGAATGTGGAAGAAACTCCACCCTAATGATTTTCTTTTTTTTTAGGTTTGTTTTGCAGAGTGTTTCCTGGCATTGTTGTGCTGGAGAATAACACTTTTTCTCTTTAACCAAGAAAGACACTTTCAACGTAATGCCAATGAAGTTGCTGACAATAAATGTCAGCAGTGAATGTCTTTCCACATTCTAGTAGCTTAATACTTTTCAAATTCCGCCAGGCGCAAAACAAGGATGAGTTTTGGTTCTAATATTGGCACTGGTTTCTCATTTTTGGATAGCCAATATTTTTCATTTTCTGACGACATGCAAAACTCATTTTTCATCACCTGTAACAATGCAATGCAAATATGAATGGTTGGCATTCTTGGTTAAGGCTGCTACAGATGGTGGAATGTTGTGCTGGGTTCTCGAGCAAATGCTAATGAGGAACACAAACTCCTTCTTTGTAATCTTTCCTAATAAAAACTTTTAAATGTGCTATAAACAGCACCGTAGTATGGAAAAGTTGAGAAACTAATTCTAGACGCAGTTTCCTACCTTTCAACATTGACTTAGCCTTGATTTGTTAACTCCTAATTCACTGTGGTGTAATTACTTTCCAAACAGCCTAATATTTCAGGAATTCAAAGATACCAACTCAAAACCTGCACAAGAAGAGAAGCCAAGAAAACCTGATAAAAGCATTAAAATATGTAGAAATGTATATATAGCATTTAGATAAAACTATAACTGAACCAACTGATATAATCTTGATATTATGTTTTGGATATAGAAATAGTATGCAAAAAGGATTTAGAGCTGTTTTTCCTAACTTTTTTTTACTCAGTGCTTCACCTATAAATGAAATATTTGAAGCAGGGCTTCAGACTAACATTTTTTCACCATTGTCTCAAAAAAACAACTTTTATCACCCTGAAAAATTTAAACCATATTGAAATCAAAAAGTTGTTTTTTTAATTTTTGTCATTTATACAATCTACAGCCAGTATGCTAAACAGCTCGATGCCTTCCATATTAGATGACTCAGGACCCTGTTTTGTGTCAAGTGGCAGAAGAGTCTCGGACACTGAAGTTGTCTAGCGTGCTGGGATGGAGAGCATCCAAACCATCCTACTGCACTATCAACTTTGGTGGGCTGGTTACGTCCACCGCATGGACAACTGTCGCCTCCCGAAGAGATTACGCTATGGTGAGCTACCACAGGCAAGTGCTCACTTGGCAGACCAAAGATGCATTATGAAGACACACTGAAGGAGTCTTTTAAGCATTGTGGCATTTCCCATTCCACCTGGGAAGAGTCTGCTAAGGACCATGCCATCTGGCACCCCCTTGTAAAGTCTGGAGTGTCTGATTTTGAAAAGAGAAGAATCGGGACAAAGAACAGAGACACCAGACAAGGACATATCGAGAGGGCTCCTCTTCCCAGCCTGGTTCAGTCCTCAGCATCTCATGTCACAACTACAACAGACTTTTCAGGACAAAGATCAGACTCATTAGTCATTATCACACCCACTAGTGATTGAAAGTCAAGGTCATCATGCAGAGGACTAACATATTTTGCCATTTTCTTTTTCCTTTTCCTTACTGTTTTTTTAGAATTTTGTCAATTCCAATTGTTGAGCATTTTGCCACTTACACTTAAACATTGCCAATTACTCTACACATACATTAAGTGATCATATTGATCACTTAAGGCATGAAACTGTTACTAGTGTTGATTTCTATGCCCACAATGTTGATATAGTGTTTGTGTGAGAGGGGGATGCTCAGAAGTTCTCAATCTGACCAAGAGAGATTGCAAAATAAGCTATAATGTTCAGCTTTTGAGAAGAACTTTTCAGGCCAAGAACTTTCCAACTCTTTCTCTTCATTTATATACACACATGGATACATACAGTGTGTGTGTGTTCTTAAAATCTCTTTTTAATCTTTTTTTGGTGGTTAGACTCTGTGCACATTTTCTATGGTTCATATTAAATTATTGAAAACTTACAAACAAGAATATTTCTTTAATCAACATATGTAATGTTTCTCTATTGTTGTTGTTGTATTTTCTTTTTTTTTAGGTCATCCAATTTTATTTTCTTCTGTACTTTATACAGGTAAACCTCACTCTATATTGTTACTTGGTTTCAGAGATCACTACTTAGGTTGAAAAACAACTTAAGTCAAAATAACCACACTATAAACTGCAAATAAGCACTACCCATTGCATATTACAGTATTTATGATATGTATGTACAGTATTCTGAATAAAATAATTTATCAGCAATATAATCTTATACTTAGCATTAGCAATGAAACAACAGTCTGGCAATTTTTTCCAATATAATCCAATTTCATCAATGTTAAAAATCTGTTCATGACAAAACACGTTTTCTTCGATGATCTTAGCCAATGCTTCGGGAAAATCAGATGCTGCTTGTTTGTCAACTGATGCACTTTCACCTTGAATGATTTCTTGACTAATAGCAGCATGCTGATGATTCAACCTATCAATCCAAAGAGAAAGAAGTTGTTCCATCTCTTCAAAGATTTTTCCTCTTATTAATAACAGTATTCTTCATCCCTGGGGCATCAGATTTGATATGTGCCAAAATCTTATCCTTATTGTGAACAATCATTGATACAGTTGTCCAACTCATTCCAAAAGATTGAGTAGTCGATATAACCTTTTCCCCTTCATGGCGTTTTATCATAAGTTTATCGTCCAATATTATAGCTATTGGGGCAAACTATAAAGTCACAAATAAATGAGAATAAGCAGACTTATACCGTGCATACGCCTAAACTAAACTGGATTTCAATTTTGCAGGAATCATGAGTGGTGCTGACAACAATTCCAAACTGTATATATTCGAACTACTATGGAAAATTCCAATATTCAGCTTTTAAAGACCGCTAAATAAAATGACATTAACATTTACTGTAAATGTACATATTTTAATATGATTTTATATACTTTTATTCTTATTTATTGTACAGTTACATGATTTTGTGTGCTTTTAACACTTTTCTAGTGATATTACGACTTCAATATTTGTGGTGGACAGGCGTAAAGTCATAAAATGACTTTAACTTGATTTTTATTTGTCCATATATTTTTTTTTTTTTTTTTACAGATGAGATATAATCAAGAACAACTTAACTCGAAGCGACATAACCCGAAATATACCTGTGTTTGTTTTCTAGCACAAAAAAAAAGAACTTCATTTTTGTCACTAAAGGAAACTTTTTCCTTTTTTTTTTTTTTTTTTTAATCATATCAAATTTTTCAGTTTACTGTTATTTGTTAATTTAATTTACAGACTATGTGTCGAGCTTTGATTCTCATGAGGAACAAAGGTTTGGTGCCAGCTGTTGATGTCTTGGAGCTGTTCTTTCAGTTATTTCGTTGCAGTGATAAAGTTCTGAGAGAAACTCTTTACAATTATATTGTTTCTGATATCCAAAATGTCAATTCTAAACATAAAAATGCAAAACTGAATTCGGTGAGTAAAACCATTTTATTATTCTAGTTTCTGTTCTTGAATGGAATATTTATGAATTAATAAAATTAAACAAGGCTGGAAATTGAAGGTACCTTTTATTAGAGAAATTTACTTATATCAAGCTTTATTTGCATCAGATTTTAGCATTCTATGTTTATATACAAAATTGTCAAAATTAAATGATATTTAAAATAAAGACATTTAAAATATAATGTGCTACCTAGAAATTTATAATTCAAGTTATTTGAGCAGCAAATTGATTTGTTAATCTGTTAAATTTTCCAGGTTGACTCCTTTCTCAATGGACCCTTTTACCACATTTCTCAAAATCACTTCACAATGGAGAAAGAAAAAAATTTTCTATCAATTTTTTCTTTGAGAAAACTATTTTGTGTTAAGTTTCCTAAACGTGTGTGCATTCTATACTTCTTTCTATGCATCTCTTTCTGTCTTAAAATCTTGATAAAAGATTTACAATTTCTTCATTCACATTAGAAAGATGCTTTTAAATTCCTGTTCATTTACACACACACATAATGTGTCTGTGTCTACAAATAAAAGAAATGGCAAGAAGAAAGCTTTTTGTGTTAACACATTTTGTTCCTTGAGGACTTTAAGGAAAGAGACATGTAGGTTTTCCTCTTGTCATATGTATATACATATGTAATATATAGTATGTGTGTTTGGTTAAAAAGACCAACAAAAGGTCTTTAAGAACTTTGTTTTTTTTTTCTATATTTCAGATCATCTTGATAGTTTTTAGTGAAAATTTAAATATAAGTTGACATAACAAAAATGCAGCATAATTTACAACATTATCAACAAAAACATTTTTCAGAATGGCTTATGAAAGCCAAAAGTACTCAGTCCATGAGCATTTTTTTTTCCCCATTTAATATTTACAATCCAGTTTTTTTTCTAAATTTATTTGTCTCTGAAGGGCCTCATTTAAAGACATTCCTCTCTATTGAATATTTCTTAATATTATAGTAAAATCTTGAAAAATGTAATTCTACTGACATGAAGGACAAATGGCATCCTGTGTACACATTGATTCAGATATTTTATTTGTAAAATAATGAATTGTCTATTTTTAAACATGCTTATCCATTCAGAAATCTCTAATTATGATGAAAAAATACCATTATCTTTCAGACAAAAGAAATTATAAAAGCAATCTTCTTGATTTCTTATTTAACCATTAATATTGGTTCTTTTTTTTTTTCCTCTTTATATTTCACATAACTAGAAAACATTTGAATACAAGTTGTTGCTAACATATTCCAATCTGCTCAAGAGTTTAACATGGGGCTATATTGTTTTTTGAAATATAATCATAATATAATAGGTTTGTGGAAAGTAAGCTACCTAATAAAAGAAAGAGCATTGTGTTTTATGAAAATGTTGCACTACTTAAAATATTATGTACAAACTATGTTTATGGTTAGATATGAACTGTTATATTGATACAGTGTTTGATAATTAAAAAAAATATTCTCAAACTTTTTTCCCCACCTTTCTTAACCATTTTTCTTTTCTTTTTCTTTTCCCCCCAACTTTAATACAGACACTGCAGAATTTCATGTTTGATATGCTTAAAGACAGCAATGTTGTTGCAGCCAAAAAATCACTGGTAAGTCTGTTTGGATTGTTTTCTGATTTGATTGCAACTTTTGCATAGCAACCAATTTAAGCTACATAGTTATGGATATTTTTGTATGCAAGACTGAATAGTTTTTCATTAGTGTCCTGATTCCTTGACAAGAGTTAACACATCAGTGGATCCCTGGTATCAATGTTGATATTTTAAACAATGAATGTCCTGTACTAGGGCATCTCACCTGATGTCCTAGACCTGGAACATCTTACATCTGGTGCCCTAGACATGGAACATCCTATATCAGGGCATCTCACTTGGTATTTTAAACATTGTTCTATGTTAGGATAACTAATTTGATATAACATAAACAAATGTTGGTAAGTCTTCATTTTTTACATTTATTTCTCATTTTATTTTTAATAAGGGAATTTAAGAAAGTTTCTCATTTAGAAAAACTTAGGATTTTACAAGCTTCTTTAAATGGATATATAGTTATACTTATGTCTGATAATTTTCAAACATGAAGAAATGGTGAGCAAACTAGTCTTACAGATCATTTCTACTAAGATGATTTTGATCCTCACTAGTTGCCTGATACTTATGGTTTAGTATTAAATTTTTTCTTTTACAATAATTTTCAACTTCTACAAGTAACAAGAGCCACTCAAAGTAGAGGGTTACAGAGTAAAAGGCACAGTTTATGGAGATATGAGGGGAAGATAACAGTTAATCCTAGGCTTAAAATGGTTAAGATTGTAGTTAAGCATCATCTTGGGAATTTGTTTCACAAAGTAGCAGTTCATGGGAAGAAGCTCTTCAAGTTGAACTTTGTTGAGTGTGTGGTCATGGTTAAATGTAAATAAATGGCAGAAATGCCCAACAAACAGAATTGACAAAGTTTGCAATAAACAATAACAAAAAAAGAAAATAACAGGGCAAAAAAATATAAAGTAAGCAAGCAATATATACAAGGCAAAGAAACAGTAATATGACAAAACATCCACCAAATAAGAATTGGGTTTGACACACCAGCAAATTCAGATGAACGAATGCAGCGTTCTGACTTCAAGACAAGACAGACTGGGATTGAATCATATGAAACCAAGAACTGGCCTAGTTTATTGGCTAGGAAGAAATCCCAGCATGCATTTATGTGCTTCTGCCTTTATATTGCAGAGGGGAAAGTGTTTTGCAGTCAGTCCTAGTCGGATTGGAACCAACAAACTTACATCTTATCAATGAAATATGAAGGGAATGAGGGTTCACTACAATGTATATGGCATGACGGATCTTTGCTGTGAAGGTGAGAACTTGTGGAACTAAGGAATATCATTCATCTGAACCCTTTCCATGGAAATAGCAATAGAGCAGCAAGAGGTTTGCAATGTTTCACCTGTGGGAAAGGGGTTGTAGAGTGAAAATAATTCATCACTTATAAGGATGTGGAGAAGCTTTTGGACTCTATTGAGACTGAAAAGTGAAGACTGGTCAGCTTCTGCCCATATATGTCAGCAGTACTCCATTTTCAGCTTGATCTGGCTCTTGTGGTTAATAGAGATGATACATGTATATTCACTGATATATTTGCTGATTTGATTTCTATTACATAAGAATTAAAAGGATGACTTTGCTGAGGTTTGGCAATTGAGTTTAACTCTTCTTATTTTGGATTAATCTTTACCATGCTGGAGGCGAAAATTGTTGCCTTAGAATTCGCTCCCTTTGCTGTTCTAGGCGCATTCTGTCGCCTTGAGACGGTTGCTATAAATAAACATTTGTCAACTGTTATTTCCGCTATTTTAAGTTGGAAATTGCTTATTGCTGCTTTGGAACAAGGTTAAACTTCTGTTTTCCAACACTATTTTGAATTCTTCTATGCTCTACATGAGGTGTAACATCAATTTAACCCACATTGATTTTTTTGTAAACAAAAATGACCATGTCAACATCCAACAAAGCCTTTATTCAGGAGTTTTTCTTTGATTATGACTCCAGTGATGATTTTGAAGGCTCAAGTGGATATTGACAGTGAAGTGGTCAAAGATGATAACGATGTGTCACTATGTGGAGGAAAACAACGATGACCATTAGCGTCTACTATCATCCATGCCTGACTAATTTTATGGAAGCTACTAGTGGTCATCGATATACCTAATAACCTTTCTGAAGGTGAATTATTTTCTCTATTTATAAATGACAAAATAATAACTTTATTCATCAACAAGAACACGTCAACAAAAATAAATATGATAGGTGAAAGAAAAAGCAAATAAATGCTGGTGTCTTATCTGTGAACATGAGGAAACACATCACTTTTTGAAAACCTTTTTAGCCATTTTGCTTTTTATTGCACCCTCAGAACTCCACAATGAGTAATAAAAGTTAAAGTACATTGAATTGTTTATGTATTTTATAATGTATTTGTTTTTTATTTCACATTTCAATTTTTTTTTTGTTTTCAACATCAAAACATGTATGCAAAATGTAATGCATTACATCAAAATATTACTCATCCATTCTTTTATTAATATACAAAAAAATAAAATCTATACACACAATACAAAGAAAGTTATAACAGGTGTTTATGTTTTTGTGCCCTCAAAAAAAATGCATGGCAGGGGGAACAATTCTAGAAAGAAATTAGTATGGTAATGGTTAATATTTCCTTTATTGCTTTTTATCACAATTTTCAAACTGTTACTTTTACAGACATTAGTAAACAACCCAGATCAAAATATGGAAAAAGATTTCTGATCAACACTGTTTACTAATAATTGTAGAATTAATGTTTGTTGTAGATTTCAGAAAAAAAAATATAGGTTCATAAAACCCATAGCTAGCATGCCGTCAACACTGCTACCTGAGACAAAGCACCCATGATAGTTGGCAGTAAAATATAAAGTTTGCATGCTTGTGTCCATGACACAGGCCTAGTCTGGGTAATTTGTCTTTGACAGCAGCAACAGGCAACATGGTTTGAGGTGTGATCAATTGGCAAGAAAAACCATTTTCTTCACAGTTTTTTTTTTTTTTTTTCTCCAAAATTTGGATTGGAGACTTATTGAACAAATTTTATTAAATACTGAAAATTTTATTAAAATCCATCATTTAGTAGATTTTAAAAATTGTTGTTTTTTACCTAAATTTTTTATTCATACCTATCGCATTAGAAATTGCGATGTTTCTTTTATTCACTTAGTTTAAAGGTTAAATGAAAGAAACTTTGTACATTTTGTTGTTCTTAAAACTGATACTGTTCATTTCTTTATCCGCAGGATGTGATGATTGAACTTTATCGAAGAAAAGTTTGGAAAGATGCAAAAACTGCTAATGTCATCAGTACTGCATGTTTTTCAAAAGTGACAAAGGTTAGTTATTTTTTTTTTTTTTGTTTGTTTGTTTTGTTTTTTGTTTTTTTTTTAGCAAAGATTGTTTTCCTCTAATAAATGATGTAGGGTTACATCAATTAATCAGTTGATAAACAGTAATTCCATCCTGAGTATGACAATAAGCTGTATCCAGCAGCATGGCCTCTGATCTGGAGGTTTTGAGGAGTGTGGGACCACCTCTTAATTGCAGTTGATCCCAAGTTCACCCTTACCAGGGGTTGTAGCACCTGCTATGGGCAAATAGTTAATCCCTAAACTGAGGTCAAAACACTATGAAGGTATAAGCATCAGCAATACATTTTTGTAAAAGAAATTAATAATGTTCCCAAGAAAATTAAATTTTGGTGTTAAATGATTCATTAGGAATTTATATGGCTCTAAACAAATAAACAGTAATTACTTGATAAAAATTGGCCCCTCAAAAATTAATGAAAAACTATCAATAAAAGTATTCTATGTCTAAGAGAACCAATGATTCTTAACTCGGACCGAGAAGGAAAATGACAATAATTGTGAAAAGAGTCTATTTTACTCTAGATAAAAATGCTGAAGTTCAGGCTGTAGCATTGGGCATCTTGAAAGCCTTTGACAGTGTTTAGCCCTCAGGTCTTCTCCACAAGCTGAAAAGATACAGTATCTCCAGGCATGTTTTTAAACTGATCCAGTCATTTTTATCAAATCATGAAATGAAAGTTATCCTGAATGGCCACTTGTCAAGATCTTTTCCTACAAACGCAGATGTCCCCCCAGGGCTCTATCCTTGGTCCTACTCTGTTTTTAATTTTCATTAATGACCTTCTGGATGACATCAGCTCTCAACTTTGCATCTATGATGATGCCACAACCATTTACTCTTACCAAGATAGTAACGCTGATCAGTCCGACAAAGTCAAAATGGCAGCCAATGTACAAAACAACTTCAAGTCTGTCATTAACTAGGGCAAAAGATGATTTTTCAATTTTAACACCTCCAAAACTTCTCTCCATTAATCATTTGAGAAACTCTTCTCTGCCTTCCATCATCATGGCTGATGCTAACCTCCAGGAAATTGTCTCATTGCACCTTCTCATTCTAACTTTCTCAGCTGACATGAAGTGAAAACACTATATTGAATCCATTGCTAGGTCAGCTTCCAAGAAAGTCTGTTCACTGTGCCATGTGAGACAATTTTTCTCTCCAGAATCTATCTTGCATATCTATAAGTCTACCATTCATTCATGCTTAAAATATTGCTGCCACATATGGTCCATTGGCCCTGCTATTTACCTTGAGCTCCTTGATAAAATCCAAGGAATCAGCAATATTATCGGTCCTAATCTGGCAGCTTGGCTTCAGTCACTTTCCCACTACCATAAAGTTACCTCTCTGTGCCTTTTCTATAAATAATTTCATGGTAATTGTTTGGATGAGCTCTTCACTATGGTACCTAGAGTTTTTGAATTTAAGTGAAGTACTAGACTGGTGTTGAGATCTCATCAATTTACAGTTAAGCTAGCTCATGTAGCCATAATTTCTATGCTAACGGTTTCTTTTCTCACACTTCTCACTTGTGGAACTCCCTTCCTGGTCCATGCTTTTCAACCATATTTAATCTGCAAAAATTTAAATGAAATGTCAGTCGCTATGTACGGTCCTCCTGAATATTCTTTCCATTCATCTTTTAAAGTTTTTGTCCTACTTCTTCCACACCTTGTAACCCTTTGTTTTAGTGGCTTTACTGCCTTGCATGGGGTGATACCAATTTAAAAAAAAACAAAAAACACCTGAGCAATTGGGCTGATGAGTTAAGATTCCATTTTCTTCTGTGCTATAGTTGAATGAAGACTATCCTCTTTGGTATTGTGATATCACCACCTGTCACTTCTGAGTGGCAGGATATATAAATGATTGGTAATTGTGTGACATCTGTAATGATCATCTTGGTAAGTCATTGTAAGTGACACATAGAGAAAACTAATGTCATTTTTTTTTTTTTTTTTTTTTTTTTTAAAGTATCAAACAGATGCAAGTATATTTATAGAGAAACCAAGCAGTGTTCAATCTACATTGAGAAGTGTTCATTACAAAATTCTCCACATATATAACAACTGGTGACTATGGTCTCTTTATTCCAAATTTTGTTTGGGTATTTGAATCCTTTCTCCATGTTATTAACATAACTTTTTAGCCAATATATTCTCCAATCTCCATCAGATATAGAGTCCATAAGAAATAAGCAAAGCATTATTTCTCTTTTTAAAAAAAAAATGGTTGACAATGGAAAATTAAAACTTTGTCCTTTCATAAACATTAAATGGTTTCTTATTTTTCATTGTTACAGATTATGGTTGCTGCTATTAAGTTCTTCCTTGGAGTTGACAGCAATGATGAAAGTGACAGTGACAGTGATGCTGAGGTATTTCTTTTTGTTTTCCTCTCTCTCTCTCTCTCGTTTTTTTGTTTTTATTTGCCTCTCTCTCACACCTCCACTTCTCTCTCACACCTCTCTCTCTCTTTTTTCTTATATTATGCACAAATACTCTTAGTAAAGGTATGCATCCACCTCTTCTCCTCCCCATCTAGGATTTAATTTGTAGGGCTTTTATCAGTAATTCATCATTATCTGCAAAATATTCTTACATTCTAAAAATATTTTCTGGTTGCAAATAATCTGAAAAAGGTTGATAAGCCATAAAAAACAATCTATCAAACTAAATCTGAATTTTAAAGGTAAGGAAATATCAAATTCGCATAAAGAATTGATCATCAAACCTTGGAAGGAAGGCAAAAGCTATAGGAAAATAGCAGTATTCAAATATACTATTTACTACTATTAGTTCTGTTATTGCTAAGTATAAAGAAGTGAAAACTTGAGAACAAATCGAGATCTGGTGCACCATGCAAGATTTCTCCCATATTAATGAAAAGAATTCAGTGCAAAATTCAAGAAAATCCAATGACTACTCTGAGAGAAATACAGGAAGAATTAAAAGCATCAAGTATTATTGTTAAAAGCAAACAATAAGCAATAAACTTCATAGAAGTCAACTAAGATTGAGTTCTCTAAGAAAAACTCCACTGCTATTGAAGAAACATAGGGATGCCCAGTTAAAATTTGTTTGTGAGCATAAGAATAAACCTGAATCATTTTGGGAAAGTGTTTTATGGACAGATGAAACAAAAATTGAATTATTTGAGCATAATTCAAGGACTTACATTTAGAAAAAAGACAGCGCAACCTTTGTACTGAAGAAAACAATCCCAACAATGGTGAAATTTGGTGGTGGCAATTTCATGGTTTGGAGGTGTTTTCTCTGCTAATGGTTTGAGTAAATTACCAAGATGTTTTGGACTCTAATTTGTTTGGGTCAGTAGTAAAGCTTGGGCTCCCAAATGATTAGTTTTTGCAACAAGATAATGACCCTAAACATACGGCTAAGTCTGCGTAAAAATGGCTTATTGAAAATAATGTCAATGTACTCGAACGGGCATCACAGTCTCCAGAATTGAATCCAAAAGAGAGTTTGTGGTGCTTATTAAAAAATAAAAGTTAATAAAAGCGCTCTGAAAAACATCCTGGACCTAAAGAGAATATGCAAAGCAGAATGGAGTAAAATACCAACGGAAACATGCAAATCATTGATTAAAAGCTACAGAAAGAGAATGATTGCTGTTGAATTGAGTAAGGGATATGCTACAAAGTATTAAATAGGTATTATAATGTTGTACAAAGACTTTTTTGGCCTCCAAACTTTTTAATTTTATTAATATAACAAATTTTTCTGAATTTTTGTTTTTTTTTTTTTTTTGCATATTCATTATGCCTTGGTTTACAAATATTTTATGGATTATAAAATTCTTTTATAAAATCTGTGTTAAATAAAAAAAATTTCATGAAGTATGAATATTTCTTTCCCCTCCAACTCTCTCTCTCTCTCTCTCTCTCTCTATATATATATATATATATATATATATATATATATATATATATATATATATATATATATAGTCTACAACATCTTCCAGATAGCTGTTCTTTGAAGGTTATTTTTAGGGGAACCAGTGGGTCTAAAATGAGCTGCCTATGAATAATTTTTAAAAATATATTTCCAACAAATGCACTGTTTGGTTTGTAATCTACTTAGTTTGGGGCCATGGATATGACTTATATTTGGACATATTGTTGCAAATACAGCAAGATACATGTTACCAGAAAAAGTTAATGATTAGTTTTCATGTATAACAGACACATTTAATTTTAAAATCTGCAAGAAAAGTGCATATTAGAACAATGAAATTTGAAAAATGCATAATATAAAATATATAGAATAAAAGAATATAGAATATGAAAAATATAATCTGCTTTTAAAATTACTTATTTTATATAAGTTTTTCTTAAATCTTTTAATGTGCAATTTTGTTAATTCTTTATTTAGTTGAGCGTATCTCATTTTTTTATTTATCAATTTGTTCATACTTTAATTACATTTATATTAATACTAAATTAAACTAAATCTTTTGTTTTTCAGGACAAAGGCAGCAAGAGAAATGCCAATGAACTTCTTTTAAGTCACAGAGTTGGTAAAAAGACAAAGAAGAGACAAAAAAGACTCAATAGAGCTCTTGAGGTGCTCAAGGTAAATAAGTTATTGAATTGAAAATTGATTTCAAATTTTTTGAGTAAGCACAAGTTTTTATTCTTTTATTGACAATGAGAAAGATGTTCATCCTTTATTTTGACAGGGATTCTGGAAACACAGCATTAGTATTTTTTTATATTAGGTGCTATTATGAAAATGTGATGGTTGGGGGCAACATTAAAACTGAAAAACATATGTTTGAGATTAGCAATTTTGAGAGATTGTGTTTTGTTGATGGGCATGGAAAAACTGAGCCTCAATGGGGAGGGTGAAAGTCAATTGAATTCAGGGCACATGACTGTTGGAAATATAGTGATCCTCTGAATGAAAATGAAATTGTTTCATTCTTCTACAAATGACATCCTATATTCTTTTATGATTTTTGGCTACCCTGAATGACCTCCAACGTCAATGTCACAATGTCCAATAGCCTGCTGCTTGTTGGCTAGTTTGCTGTGTCCGATAACCTGCCTCTCGTTCTTACTATGCAATTAAATCATATTGTTATTCAAGACAATTTATAGACCATGATGAAAACTGTGAAAACTATTATTCTTTTGGTGTGGCTTATAGACTATTTCATCACCACTATAACATTACACAGCAGTGGTAGCTGCCGGCAATTTTATCCAAAATTGTCTGGCAAAACAGAAGTATCTTACCTAGGGAGTAAAGAGTTTTAAGAAAATGTTAACCATAACTTAATGTTAAGTAAGTACCACATATACTCGCATATCATACGACTTTTGAAGACCTAATTTTGAAGTTAATTTTAAGGGGTCGCATCATACATAAGATATAAAATTAGCATAAGTACTGCTGGCCCTGGCTATGCCATTGACCAAACTATATATCTACTTACTGTAGTAAAAAAAAGTACAGCTGTCTTCAAAATAAACATAATTTTGATAAAACTGATGTTTTACTTAACTGTCATAATAATGCATGTAATATTCACATATTAGTATCGTATTATAAAATACAAACATAGCAAATATGCATCTTTTCCATTGTTTACATTTTTTAGATGTTTAACTATTTCTCAATCAATTGTTTATGGTGTATGCATTAACACAATGAGTATAGCATTACTAACGATACTTTTATCATCCTCTTTTACTTTTTTAACTTATTTAACTAGGAGATGGGATAAAGGAATGAAGGAAAAAAGGTTAGTCTATTGTAATTTGGTCTCTCAAAAAAGTAACTCTCATGATACACAGGATACATGACCAAGTCCTTTTTTATAAGTGAAAATTTGGGGGTCGCACAATACATGAGATGTGCATTACACAAGTATATACAGTAGTTAAGGATTCAATTAAATAAAAAAAAATAGTAAAAAAAAAAAATAATTTCTGTAATGAGGAGTCTTCATTATTTACATTCAGACTGATGTCCTCATTGTTGCTGTTATTACCCATATGTTTCGACCATTGTGCCCCCCAGCCTTCTTCAGGTGGCTGTTCATTTAGGTAATCATCAGGAATTACAAACTGAATCATTTATGAGAATAATTTTTTTTTTTTTTTTTTTAATATGACTCAAGTATTTCTCTCCTGTTTCTGCCAAGTCCAAGTCTTTACTAGCTGGACCAGGGATTGAACTCACAATTACTATGCCACCAAATTCAAGAACCAATGTTTTAATCCATTAGGCTATTGTCCCATGAAAGAAGTTCAAAATGTTGTGATAATAACTACAAAGATGGGGATATGAGTCTGGATATACATAATAGTAAAAATTAAAAATTCTAATTGCTATAGAAGAATACTCAATATTAAATCTGGGAAATCCTTTTTTCTTTTTCTTTCTTTTTTCTAAGATATCAGTTTCTTTAGCTAAATATGTACTGCTGTTTTTCATAAAAGTACAAAAAAGATATAAAAAAATAGATTGCATAAAAAAATACACTGCACATCTAACTTAAATGTTAAGTTGTTGTTTGCCTGACAATCTCAAAATGTTTAATTATAAAAGAAACTTAAAATGGCAAAAAAATAATTTTCTACTTGGTGTATAATTACAAAGCCTATTTGTAAAGTTTTTCTGCCTTTTATATTTTTTTGGAAAATTTATCATTAAGCAAATAGAAATGTTAATGTTATTAGGTGAGAATTATTTTATTATGTATTTTATTCCTAGTAACGAAAGAATTCAAAATGCTCATAATGGCTCTTGCTGATATTGATACAACAGTGAAGTAAAAATGAAGAGAGGACAACAGTGAAGTAAAAAACAAGAGAGGACAGCAGAAATTAGGGTTGGGATAGAAAGAAGTTAAAATAATACTTTTTCTTTTTACATTTGGTAAAATTATTATTAACACCAACCACTACTATTACTGACAGTAGTTATAGCATTAGTAGTGACAGAAAACAAGGAAATTCCACAATGCAATTTTTAAAGAATGTAGTACAAAGAATGCAGTATTATTTATTTATTCTATTATCACAGGAGACTAATTAATCTCTTCTGTTTTAATTTTTGGAATGAGAAATTATCATTAATAACATATTATTACTGATGTCTTCATCCCTCTGTTGGTACCACATTTCAGCTGTTGTGCCCTCTGGTCTTCTTCAAGTCTCTGTCAATCTGTGTAACCATCAAGAAATTTTAGACTGAACACTTTATTTAAATTATAGGAAAAAATCATTCTCATTCTGCTGTCCATCTTTCATCTTGTTCTTTTAAGTATTGATCAGTTATTGCTCGGCCTGTTTTACTCCCCAACCTTGGGATTGAATTCACCAAAACACCATTTTAACTTTTTTGAAATGCAAAATGTTTTTTTTTTTTTTTTTTTTTTTTAATCAGCAATTTTCCCCTTTTAATTATTAATACTGATTAATTATTTTAATGAACATTTTTTTTATTTTTCTTCTCAGAAACATAAAAAGAAAAAGAAGCGAGGAGAATTGTATAATTTCTCAGCACTTCACTTGATTCATGATCCCCAAGGTGAGGATTTTTTTCTTTCTTTTTTTTTTTTTTTTTTTAATGCCTGGTACTATTGATATATTCCTAGGAATGGTTAAAGCAATAAAAAATAATTAGAAAAGGTAATACTTTAATACTAGCAGATGTAACCAGTTTTGTGTGTGTGTGTGTATAACAGAAAATAAAATTGCAATGCCCTGAAGAACAATGCTAATTTTGACCTGGTTAAAGTATATTCATGCTAAGGATAGTAAATATTTTGATAAGAATTTCAATGTCTACAGTCCTCTTGTAACATCGCAATACTCATAATATTACACCGTCTGTGTCTGAGATTTAGATAATGATTCATGTTACAATAAGGTTCATTGTGGTGTCATGCAACAGAGATGTACTTGTAAAACTTTTTTCACTTTGAGCTCTTTTGAGTGTGTCCAATTGTGATCTTCCAAGAAGTTGGATAATCATGTTGGGGAATTAATGTGCAAGATGAAGTTGTTAATAGTGCTTCAGTATTGGCAACAGCAGTCAAATGAATGTGCCTACACTTGTAGAAAAGGTCCTGGACACCAATGTAGTACAGATTCTCAATAAAAATTAACATATTGCAACGACTGACAGCACAAATCAGAGCAAATATAGCCAGAAGATTGTTAATGTGGACAGTCACCATGCAGCACCTATTCCTTTGTGTATGTGCACACACATACACACATATATAGTGATGTACCTCCGATTTTGTTAGCCACATATGCATAAAGCTAAAAAGCCAAAAAAAAAACAAATCCTAGTTTGAAAGATAAATAAATAAAAATAAAAAAATAAATGAAAGATAAAAATAAATAAAATACAGTGTTTTAAACTTGTGAGTGAATATGTTCTATGATTAGCCTTCCCCTCCTTTTCTCTTTTGTTTCTTTCTGTCTTTCCTTCTATTCCACCCAAGAATGACCTGGTTCAAAACTCATGTGACCATCAAGCAATTGACCATGAGTTAAGAAGAGAAGGAAAAACAGAAAAAAAATCAATGCAATTTGAATTTCTTGGTTGTGTAGTTATATCCTTCTATGGCAATGCCTAAAACAATCTTGACTGAAATTGAGAGTCAGGCGACTGCAATTTCAAATATATAAAACACTATATTTTGGGGGATTCCAAATACAGTAAAAAAGGAAGTAATATTTATAAATGATGCAGAGTGCTAAATGTTAATATGGACCATTAATTTGAAGCAGAACTATCTGTATACATGCCTTGATCCAGACTTCACCTTATGCCACAAAGCTGTTATACAAATCTCCAGTGGCATCACAAGAGTCACCTGTGGAATGAAATGGTGCCTTGTAACATTGTTCAGTGCAGGGAGTATGTTTTGCCTTCATGCAAATGATGGTTGTTTGCCTGTGCAATATAGAACTGGGGAACAACATTTTCCAAATCATATTCACCCATGACACACAGGCCCAACCCTAGCATCATGGTAGAGGATACCCTAAGTAACAACAGTTGATCACCTTTGATGTTTGTGGAAGAAACAATGAACAGCAATTGTTTAACAGAAAAACAATATGCCATTTCAGCAGGATAACTTCAAAATTCTATATATGAACATTATGATTCCATAATTCTTCAGTGGTACTATTTTAATTGAGGAGAAAGACATACACCTGGGTACAAGCCTTTATTTACATATGTACATTTCAGGAAGCAGTAAAGGTTTACAGCTAAACCTACCAGCGCCACAGCTTATGAAATTCTGGTAATGGTTGTGCCCTATAAGATATATATAGCATCAATGTGTTTATTGGACATATGCATTGGAATTATGAGATTAAAATGATTTCTATTAGCTGAATGCCTTTTTGTCTTTCATAATATCAAAAAGAATTTGACACGCATAAATGGTGGAATTCAATAATACACATTTCTAGTTTATTTTTTGTCCTTTTTAGATTTGTCTGAACGCCTTTTCAAGCAGCTAGAAAAATGCAATGAATATTATGATGTTAAGATTATGATGATTGACTTCATCTCACGACTTGTTGGAATTCATCAGGTAAGACATTATCAGAAGTCAGTTTTAGTAATTTATAATCCAAACCTTACAACTGATTATTTTTTTCTTCAGAAATACAAACATTAAAAATCTATTTCAGAACTGAATATCCAAATTATTAAGATCTGCATCCATCCATATTGCTTGCTTGCTTTAGTCCCATGTGTGATGCATGCTCGGGCGATCATGTATCTCCACTTCAGATAATCACAAGCACAGCAGAAGATGGCAGCAATCAGTTAGCTTTGAATGACAAGAATTGGGATCAAAAACATTAAAAAATCTGCTTTAAGTATGCAGAAGTCATTTTTATTACTAACTTCATGCTTTTTTTTCTTGCAATTAAAATGAAAATTCAAATTTCAAAGATATTTAAATTATGTTTCAAAAATTTTTATAAAAGATCTCTAGTCATTGTTACAATTTGTTTTTATTATCTACCCAGTTGAGATGAGCTATATATAAATATAATTTTATGCCAGTATATTTTGGAGTTATATATGTAACATATACTCTGAAGTATAAATGAAAACATAGAATGGCATGTGTGGTGGATGACAAAACAACAGAAAAATATAGGACACATGGCACAGTGGATAAAGGCGTTGGTTAGATCCAGTGACAGGACCCAAAGAGTGTGAGTTCAATACCCGGTTAAGGCGGTGGAGAACTTGGAGAGGGGAATTAACAGGAGATAACTGATAACTGACATCCATCAAAACATGACACGTGGAACTAGAACAGTCTACACCAGTAAGCGAAATAAAGGGTTCAGTTCGACATCCCAACCACCTGAAGAAGGCCGGAGCGTACAGTGGCCAAAAATATGGCGACAAAGATGAGGCCAATAGTCCAAATAATGTAAATAGTGTACATAATACCTCATCTCAGAAATATAGACAGATACTGAAGGGTGATAAATATGGCAACAAAGATGAGGACAATAGTCCAAATAATGTAAATAGTGTACATATAATACCTCATCTCAGAAATATTGACAGATACAGGTTGAGAATCCTTTATCTGAAATTTGGGGGGCCAGAATTATTTTGGTTTACAGATTTTTTTCATTTTTTTTTTTTTTTTTTTTTTTTTCGTATATCCCTTTACATTTCATAACACAGCTTATACATATACCCTGAAAGTAGTTTTATATAAAATTTAATAAATTTTGTGTCCATGCACATACAGGTAATGATGCTAGTCATGTAATGCTCACACTGATTTTTAAGTGGTGGAATTAAGATTTCACATAAAAATAATGTTTTGTATTTTCTGTACATGTACAAAAAACATAATCACCACATACAAAATATTTATAAATGCAATGCCAAACACTACTTCTACATCAGGTGTGAGAAACTGGAGGGACAGGGCACATCATCAATGACATCACTGTGGGTGAGAAAAGGAAATTTTCCATTGTCATGTCGGTACCTGAAAAACTTTTGTATTTGGGAATTTCAGATAAAGGATATTCAACGTGTGTGTGTGTGTGTGTGGTAAAAATATGGACTAAATCAAAAATTAAAATTCTTTTTTTATTTTACAGTTATTTCTCTTAAATTTCTATCCGTATATCCAAAAGTTCCTGCAACCTCGAACAAAAGGTTTGTTCATGTTTTCTATTTCATTATTAAAGTACTTCTTAGTGTTTTTTATATTGTGTGATAGACTAATTGATGAAAGCATTAAGTTGTCATTAAGGAAAAGTGAATTAATATAGAAAGAAACCTTATTTCAGAAAGGGATTAATCAATTTGTTTTTACAGTTTCTCAAGCCTTTGTGGGCTATTTAAATCTGAAAGATGCTTTGGATTGTAGGAATTTGCTCACAGTATTCAGTGATTCGGAAGTGGTCCCCCCTAACGGGGGGTTGCTTACAGTACCTGGTGTTCTCAAGTAGTCCCCCATATCTAAATACTGTATATACTCAATTATAGTGTGAGGTTTTATTTGTGCAAAAAATAGTGAGTCGCACTTTACACGGGTCATTTTTTGGAAGAGGTTAAAAATCATGCATTTTCAATGACCAGTTGCACTATTTCACAGATACATTTTTTTCTGGAGTTGTTAAATTTCATGCCAAAATATTCAGGGGTCACATTGTCATCTTATACACAAGTATATTATAAAGCATTTGAACACAGGGGCCACCAGAAATAAAAGAGAACAAAAATAACTTTAGGAGGAACTAGAAACCCAGTCCTAAACAAGAAACCGGGGATAAACCTCCACTTCTGTTCAAAACATTGGGGAGGAGTGTGAACCTAATTACTCCTATTGAAGTGGGGGTGTAAATAAAAGGTGGTGATGTTAGAAGTAGAGGGTTGAAATAGACTCTTTCATCTCAAATGCTCTGGATGAGATTTAGAATTTGTATAGCTCTCTCTTTCTATGACAATAAGAGGCTGACATATCAAAGGTCACTTAGATATATCTAACAGCTGCTCCTCACAATACATTTAGGAAACTTGCAGAAATTTAAAAAAAACGCATCCATGAACACAGAAAAGGATCTTATATACAGCAATTTATCCAATGCATTAGTCATACATAGAAATAAATTCAACTTTAAACAATTATTAAAAAGAGAAAGTAACTTAGACATAAAATTCTATTGAATCTTATTAAAATATAAATCTGTGCCCCCAATTTTTTTCAAATATCTCCATTCCTGAAAGAATTACTCTTTCCCCAAGCCAATATACATGGCTACTATAAAAATGTTAAAATATTAAAAGAAAACAGTTAAATTCATAACCTCCTTTTATTTAAAATATATAATAAATAAATTAATCCCAAACTAAAATAAGATAAATATTAATTACATTATGAAAAAAAAAATCAAAAAGATCATTTATTCACTTTTGTTTCATAAATTATGTCGGGTAGAATCCGCCTTAATTGACCTAAGCTTTTTAGTTAGCCTGATGAATATGAACATTTCTTGAATTTAAAAATTTTGAAAAAACTAACATTTTTACTTTGGTTTATAAATACTTGTTGTAAAATAAAATCCTTACATTTGGCTTGATAAAGTCCATCAGAGGATGAAACATGTCAGCTAAGTTTTTCTTTTGTCTTTTTTCACACATATATACTCAAAGGTTACTTTTAGTGGATATCTGTATTTAAACAGTGTGTATTACATCTGAGTGTGCACACTCACGAAATCTTATTTAAAAAATGAGCTCTCCAGTGAGTTTCCTTTGATCCGGAGACTGTTCAGCCAATTTTCTGTTTTAAGGAAAGCAGATTTTCTCATTCAAATGATTTCTCTCAAAAGCCCATATATGTATATTTTCAATAAATCAAGAAAAATTTGTTATTAATTTGATTGACCTACTCAAGATTTTCACATTGAAATACTCATCAGGATGTTTGATATATTCTATCTTTTATTTATCAAACATCTGGCTCAAATGTGAAAGTCTTTAAGTCAATCAATCAGATAAGTCACTTAAACTTTTCTTCATTTATTGAATTTTATAGCTGCAGTTATCTATTGAAAATTTTCTGTCAGAAGTTCTGTTAGCCTGTAAAATATGTTAAATTATAATTTTCACATTTTTTTTTTTTTACCTGGAATTATAGATTATACAGCAAAAGTCCAAAATCATGCACATGAGGTAATTTTGGATTTTTGCTGTGTAATATATATGCTCTCTTATAATAAATACATTGATCTCTCTTTGTGGATCAGTTTTAATATTTGATATTACTAGGATCCACCTGGATTGTATACCAATGGATCTATTACCTGTTATATATATATATTAAATGAAATGGATTAAATCTGACATATTTTTTAATATATTTGTCTATATGTTATATTTATGGATGCAACTTATTTGAGTAAATGCTCTGTTTTAATTAAACAATATTAATTACATATTACATTTACCAGCCTGAGTCTTCAAGAAATTTCATAGAAAATATATGTTTTCCAAAACCAAACCTTTAATCCATGCGGAAATCATCATTTGGCTTGACATGCAGTTAAACCATTCAGTCACAGAGAACTTTCCAGTTAGCAAAGTCCAAAAATAACATATAAACAGGAAAAAAAGTGTGTGTGTGTGTATATATATATATATATAGAGAGAGAGAGAGCTGTGTCTGTGTGTGAGTATATGTCTGTATATACATGCACACAAGCCATACATTCATACAATAATTTTAATAACTTAATAATAACTTAATTTGGGAACAATTGAAATGTGGCAGCTGAAGAATTATCATTGAACTTTTAAAAGTTAAGCTTAAATATTAATGCAATGCTTAAATGCAACGATCAATTTTGAGTTCTTCTGTACTTTATTATTGCCCATCGCATACAGCAGCAGTTTTGCCTCACAAAAAGGAATCTCTCCCAACAGAGGACCAGATTGCAGTCAAAAGAATCAAGGCTGCAGGGAAGAAAAAGTCTCGTGCAAATGAGAACCCAGATCAAACATCAGCCAGGAGAGCTTCCAATGCTGAGAATATGCAAAGACTTAAGGACTCTCAAACTCCTGAACAAGCTGAAGGCCCAATCAAGAGCCCTCCACAGTAGCTAGTTTAAATGCCACCCAATAGGGCAGCTTTTAAGCAAGTATATATACACACACACACACACACACACACACACTAGAATTAATGAAACTTTAGAAACAACCAAAAAGCAATCTGACCAGAGATAGAGACAAAGAATAAGAACCATAAAAGAACCTTTCTCAACTTAAGTTACAATGTGCTCAATAACAGAAATTTCTAGGAGAACTGACCAAGAAAAGATCTAGAAGTCTGATAATTGCTTCATTGCATGAAATTTGACATCACAGTGGAGTTTTGTCTCTGATGTTTTTGGAGTGGTTTTATATATAATATATATATATATATATATATATATATATTGTTTTAAATTTGCTATATTTATAGGGAAAGAGTCCTTAAAATTGGAGATAGTGAAAATACTGGGTGCGATGGATAAATTGTCGTCTAAATTGGGCAAAGATAAAACTAACACTGACATTGTAACAGATATATTTACCAAAATTACACAAAAATATCTTGAAATACTAGAGTAAATTTATTCAATAAAATTGCCACTGGCTTCAACCACAGCCTCCAGATGACTTCAAAAGCTCCTGCATCTCTTCTGGACAATCTCCTTGTTTAAATTGGTGAATGCTGCCATAATCCTTACCTTCAGTTCATCTTTGGCATTACAAGGAGTTTTGTTGGTCTCTCTCTCTCAGCTGCACCCCATGCATAATAATCAAGTGGGGTTGCAAGTTTGGGGATTTAGGAAGCTAGATGTAAAGGGTGATGTGATCGCAGAAATTGTCTGACAGCCATGATTGGGTTTTCCTACTTGTGTGGAATGGTGCAGACTTCAAAGCACTTGATGTAGCCCTTTGTGTTGAGTCTGAGTCCCTCACCAACAAATTCGGGAGTTCTTTTCTTATCAAAATGATCAGAGTGAGTTTTCCTAGCTGCCATACCTTCGTAATCACTATTAAGCTCTTCCAACTCTTCTCAAATCCTCTTAAACACTCTGAAATGTTCATACTGGAACTTCTGGCCAAAATGCCAGGCAGTACAGCGTGCAGTTTGCAAATTTCTGACAGAGTGAATTGCATCATGGTACTCTTTTTCTCACAAATGGTGCCCAACTAACCCTACAATACTGGGCAATCAACAAAATCAAAAACAAACAATGCACATGCACAAAATTAAAAATATAAAATGGCGATAATTTACTCATCGCACCTTGTATATTTAAATAAAATCTTTCCTTATTTTGAAGTGCAAAAAGAATTTATAACTGCCCAAAAGACAAACACTATATTTTACTTTGATTCAATGCTTTTTTTTGCTAAAACCTTTGAACTACTTTAAAGATCCAATATAAATATTTTTCAATTTTCTTTTTTTTTTTTTTCTTTTTTTAGATGTGACAAAAGTTTTATTATTTGCTGCACAAGCTACCCATGATCTTGTACCTCCAGATGTAAGTAAAAATTTTGGATACTGTATATATTCGTGTAATATGCAACCCCCAAATTTTCACTTATAAAAAATTATTTTATTATGTATTATGTGAGTTCCTTTTTTGAGAGACCAAATTACAATAGACTAACCTCTTTTCCTCTATATCTTTATCCCATCCTCTTTTTAAAAAAGTAAAAGAGAATAATAAAAGTATTGTTAGTATCGTTGCTCAAATGCATACAGCCATAAACAACCTAACGAAAAACAGCTAAACCTCTTATAAACGTAAACAATGGAAAAGATGCATATTTGCTTTTTATAATATAATACTAAGTAAGTTAAGTAAACATTAGTTTTTATCAAAATCCTGTTTATTTTAAATACATCTCTACTTTTTGACTTTAGTAAATAGCAGTGGCAGCTCTGGGGTCAAGCTTAGCCCAAGTGAGTCAACATTCAATTATGTGTATTTCAAAGCAACAAAAATCTTTCATAGTGCGTCATTTTCATTCTTGACTTCAGCTGGATCCAAAATTAATGCCTCAAAATATTAACCGGAATGCATTTCGTTGATATTGTTCATAATAAAGAAGAAAAAAAAAAAACAAAGAAAGTAAGTTTAAAAAAAAAAAAAAAATGAAATAAATTTAATGTGGCTTGTCAGGCTGCGTAGATCTATCATACAGTGTATTTCTTGCTTTAATTTTATAAATAATTTTTTAAAAATCTCCATACAGTATAAGGTTTTTTAGCAAAATGTATCAATTGAAAAAGGGCAAATTAAATTTAGCCCAAGTTCAATTCGAGGAAATCAAAGGAAGTAACAGTCTTAACTCATTGACGGGGGGGTGACTGGGGTAGTGTTGAGGAAATATGATTTCAGACAATTATTCCTATCTCTACCATCATTGAGTTGATAACCAGGCTATAACAATAAAAAATAGAATTTGAGCAGTAAACAAACATATCAAAGACTTTGTCCTCACTCTTTTTTTTCTTACATGTCTAGAAAAAAATTTTAAAATAAATGTTTATTTTTATAGAATTATTACAATTAATATTAAAATACCAAAATGTGTGTGTTTTTTTTTTTTTTAATTTTATGCACATTTTTTAAAAATTATATAAAATAAAGGAATTATTTTAGCATCTAAGTTATACCAATAATAATATATTTTGTTAAAAATTGTAATGAGCCTGACAAACATTGTTGACCTAGAGTTGTCACTGGTAAATGGATATATAGTTTGGTCAACAGTGAACCCAGGGCCAGCAGTACATATGCTAATTTTATATCTCATGTATGATGCAACCCCCTTAAAATTATGTTTTCAAATGTTACATGATACATGAGTATATACAGTAAATTTATCTATAAATTGTTCTGGCTTCTTGAGAAAGACAGGAGAGTGGTTTTCTGTTGACTTTTTTATAATTCAGAGTTTTCCTTCTCTTAGATTGGTTGTTACTGAAGACTAGAGAAGTCGTTCTACCCTGCTATTTAACCCATAGCTGGAAGAAGACTAGATAAACCAAGCCTTTCCTTAGTGCAAAAGTGAATGCAAGAGATTCAGCAATTCCACTTACTATGGTCACAACTATTACTCACACATGTTAATGATACCTCACCTGAAGAATCAAAAACAAAAAATAAAAATCCTTTTCTAACTATCAAATAAACCACCCTTAACTGAATTTTTTAATGATTTGTATATATCTTGATGATATATGTATATGCTGTCTGTATCTATATTCATGATTTATTAAATGAAAAGAACTCTATCAGAAATATTTAATTCTGATCTCCTTCAGTTATGTTCTGAATAAAAGTGGTTATTTAATTTTGTCAAGAGAAAGAATTATTAAATTCAATTATTGTAGCAACAGAAAAAAAAAACAAGTCTTCCCTGAGAAAATAATTGATGTCCTTTGTGCTATCTGCCAAAAAAATAGAAAATCAGAATCAAGATGAGGGTGACTTTAGTCGTCTTCAAAACATGGTAACTGTTTGGGCTTCCCTACCAGTCTCGACCAATCACAACCTTTTTTATCTCAATAAAAGAACACTACTTTGGGCCACAGGTTTCTCTTGGTTCTTCATTAATGAAGAGGTAGTTTTGCATTGTGAAGTGTGATGGGAATTTTTTACCCTTGGAATCATGACCTCAAACATTTTTTTGGTGAGGGCTGGGTATCTAAACTTCACTATTGGTATTTACCCCCATTCTAAAAACTAAAATTAATTCTTGTTGTGCATTTGTATTATCTTTCTAATAATTTTTTTTTTTTAAATCTATGTTTTAATAATGTGCAAGTGATGTAATGGATAGCAGCGAGCCAGGTTCAAATTCCAGTCTCATCTGTTGTATTCAGTTTTGTAAAATTGCTCTTAGGAAAGCCATGAATCTATCTCTTTGCTTCCAGCTAGGGGTCAAATAGCAGCATAGATTGAACTCTCCGTCCTTAGGTGACAACCAGTCTGAAAAAAGGAAAACTCTGAATTCCAGACCAGGGAAAGCAATGAGAAACCACTCCACTGTTTTTCCCAAGAATGCAAGACAATTCACAGATAATAAAGAAATGGAATCTATGAAGAACCAGGATTATCTGCAACCTGAAGGGACATGGGTTTTTTGGGGTTTTTTTTTTTTATCAATTCACCTCAAGCAAGGCGATAATGCCACCAAGACGACACAAGGGCTACTCGAAAGAGAATGAAAAAAACCAGAAACCCAATCCTGAACAAAGAAACAAGGGATAAACTTCTACTGTTCAAAAGACCAGGGATCAGTGGGAACTTGGTGATAGGCAAACCTATCTGCTCTTATTTGATAAAAAAAATGTTCTAAAGAAACAATGTTAAATGATGAGATAAAAGAATTTATAATTGTAACATTTCATCTTGGAAATTCAGAGATCTTTTGAGGTTTCTGCCTTTATTTCTTTCTAAACTTCTATATTTTTCAAATGTTGTTTGTTTCAGTTGATTGAAAACCTGATCAAGACAATTGCTTACAATTTCATCACAGAGAGGAATTCCAGTGATGCCATTGCAGTTGGGTAAATATATAAAATAATTTCTACTCACACTGAAATGACTTATAATTAGTATAAGGAATAGGAGTGGGCATTCAAACATTCACTTTGATAGCAATAAAATGTTTTTATCAGTCTTTAAATTTTCACACAAGATATACAGCAAATAATAATGCGTAATAATAGATGATTTTGTATTTTATTGAAATGAAAGTACAGTTAAACCTCTTTGGCACCAAGGCATATGATCTTTATCACTTGTGAACAGATAGTTTCATTTTTTTTTTTTAGTTTTATTTTCAGAAAGAAATGGGTGCTATTATACTTTTGTACTCCTTGGTGCAACTGAAAATTGCATGGAACCTATGCAGCAAAGGTGCAAATCAAAACAATGCATTGACGAATAAATCATTACGTGATGGATAATTACTTTGCAGAGTTTATATATAATCAAAGATTACAAATTTTAATATTTTTACAAATTTTAACATATCCTGTTTAATATTGGTTCTTGAATTTGTATTGAATTGAAACCATTATTGATATTCATTGAAAATGTAATAGTTTCTAAACATTCATATCATGATGCAACTTTTATTGTGCAAGAAGTAAATAGTGTTTTGAGGAGGGGCGCAAAAGTATATGATTGCCAAGAACGGCTTTGTATTTTATTTTTATATAATCATAAATTCAAAATTAAATTATTTTCCTTGTAGTTATTAAAATATCAATTATGTATGAGTTTATTGTTAGTCTTTTAGCAAAATTTTGATCATTGAAATTAAACCTTGAACAAGATTACCAAGATACTGGTCAATAAAATCAAATTGGCATCTGACCTCAAAAATGGCCTACAATCTGTCATTAAATGGGGCAAAGAATGGCTTATTAATTTCAAGGCCTCAAAAACAAAAACTTCTGAGAGAACCCTATTTACCTTCCATCAGCATGTCTAATACTAACCTCAAGGAAAGTGACTCATTGTGCCTTCGCAAATTAACGTTTTCAGCTGACATGAAGTGGAAACTGTATATTGAATCAATTGCTAAGTCTACAGCTAAGAAATTTGGTTCACTATGTCATGCTAGATGGTTTTTCTTGCTTTGAATATTGCCGCCACATCTGGTCTGATGCACCTGCTATATATTTAGATTCTTGATAAAATCCCAAGAAGAATCTGCATTGTTATTGGTCCTAACCTGATATCTTGGCTTTAGTCTCTCTTCCACCGTTGTCACATAGATTCCCTTGGCTTTTTTATAAATACTTTCATCATAATTGTTCTGATGAACTTTTCTCTATGGTACCTAGACTTTATGAATTTAAGTGCAGTACTAGATTGGCGACAATGTGTCCTTTTTTTTTTTTTTTTTTTTTACAGTTAAAATGTAGAAAGACCTCAGATAGTTTGAAATGTCTATAAAAAAAATATCAATTTTTTTTTTTTTTTTTTTCATAAAAATTGAACACCTGGTAAAAGAACAATTAGAAGACACAAAAATAGGTTTCTATTTGTTTTTCTCTGATGTAGACTTATTATTATTATGGATCTATTCAGACTAATATCCACATCTTGGTTGTTACAGTTTAAGCTATTTTATTCTCTATTCAAGTGTGTCATATTTGGAGACAAGAGCCTAGGTAATTATTCTGATGGAATTTCCTCTTTGGTACCTTGACTTTACAGTACTAGATTGGCATCTATTTTTACAGTTGAAATGGCTGGATGTAACCATAAGTTCTATGCTAACAGTTTCTTCTATCAAACTTCTCAAATGATAATTATTATTTTGGTATTTTTAATGAAGAACAATATCTTTTTCTTGGTACTTGCCTTTGCTAACTCGAGTTCTTCCTAAGAATCTAATATTAAAATGAAAGTCTAAATCTCAAAAATCAACTTCTCATTTTTTCATTCTTTGAAATTGTTGATTTAATAGCGATTTGGTTTTTAATTCCTCTTTTTCTCTCTCTCTCTCCCTAGCCTAAATGCAGTGAAAGAAATCACAGCTCGTTGTCCCCATGCCATGACTGAAGACCTGATCCGGGATCTGGCTCAGTATAAAAACAGCAGAGAAAAAGGTCTGTTCCTGTGAAAAAAAAAAAAAAAAAATTAAATATTTGGTAGTTTTTTCCAAAAATAAATCTTTTTTTGTTTTACAGTCTCACTGATGCTTCAAAATAGCATTTAAATATGCTAATTTTAAAATTTACAACTAAATTATGGTAAAATGCTAAAACTCCTAAAGTATTAAAAATTAAAAAAGCACACAAACACTCAGCAATTCATACATTTATGTGACTTGTTCATTCTGATGCAAGGTCATAATTTTTTAAATATCAAGAAAGGATCAAACTTACATTCAATGGCTTGTGAGATTGGCTCCTGATCCATTACATTAGAACAAACGTTCAAGGTAGTATTGAATTATTGATTTAGCTATAATTAAGTCTCAGCTTAATTGCTGACTGTAAGTTCTATGGCTTGCATGGAGAATTTGTAATTGGTAACATTATTGCAAAGAGTTAAACACAAGCCTAAAAACTACTCTGAAATTTGCAGATTTTATCAAAGAATTTAATAACCTATTGGCAAAGATACCACCATATTTCAATAGCATATAAACCTTTACACCCACCATGTATTTCTTAATGGTGCAATAACTATTTTTTGAATGCTTTGTAGAACATGAAACAATCACTGTACATACCATGCTCAAGTCGTCTAATCAGTAGACCAAGCATAGATATCAATAGTACCTGGGAGTGATTGATCAAAAAAGAATGAATAATAAATTTGAAGTTCCAAAATTGTGACCCCCCGGGAATGCTGGTGAAATTCACCTAGTTCATTAGATGGTCATAGTTTCAATATGTGTGTCAGAGGATGACAGTCCTAAGAGTTTACAGGTAGAGGTACCAAATGTGTATGCAAGAGCAATCATATGTCAGCATTCAGAACAAGTAGATTTTGCAAGAAATAAAAAGCAGTTAAGTTAATGAGAGCTAGTGTTACATAGTTTATTTCCCTTCAGACAAAAGGATAATTAATGTTTTAAAGACTCTCTTTAAATTGGACTATTTTTGTTCCTCTTGTTAAAACAGTATTATATTTCTTTTATCTGTTTTATTTCTGAGATGAAGTATTGTAATTATTCACACTATTTACATTGTTCAGACTGTTGTCCTCGTCTTTGTTGCCATATTCATGGCATTTCTGCTGTTGTATACTCCAGCCTTCTTCAGGTGATTGGAATTTCAAACTGAACCCTTTATTTTGTCCACCAGTGTAGATTGTTCTAGTTCCACATGCCATTCCTCTTCCAGATGTCTCAGTATCAGTTATCTTCCTTTAACTCAACTCACCAAGATTTTGTTCACCTCTGCTGTAGCCAGGTAATGGACTCACAATCAACCGGGCCACGTGCCCTCAAGGACACATGGCCCAGTGGATAAAAGCATTGGTTGATTCCAGTGACTTGACCCAAAAAGTTGTAAGTTCAATACCTGGCTACAGAAGAAGGCCAGAGAGTACAACAGCCAAAACATTGTGAATATGGCAACAAAGATGAGGACAACAGTCCAAATAATGTAAATAGTGTGTATATTTCTTTTGCATTAAAATTTATATAAATTTGTGTTCTCTATAACTCTATTTTCTTTGTTCTTCAAAATAGACATGTTTGTAACTTTTATATATTCACTGGAGAAACCAACCCCCACAAGCAAAACACATTTGTATATGTTTACATTATTTATTTATATATATATATATATATATATATATTTTTTGCACTATCAAGTAAAGTTCATTTGTTTTATATTTGTTATTTACATGCAAGTTATTGTCACATGTAAATTGTTATCACAATGTTGGTGCCCTCCAGCTTTCATCAGGTGTATATCAATCTGAGAAACTTACAGGTAATTTTGAACTAAACCCTTTATTTAATTTATGAGGATAAATTGTTATCTCATTTAGTACTGCTCAGTTATTGCTCACCTCATTCCCACTACCCGACCCAGAGACTGAACTCACATTTATTCTATCACCAAATTCATTAAGCTATTGCCCCACAAGATAGGCATAGATAGTAGAACAAAACAATCTAAACCCATAGATTAAATAAATGGTTCAGTTTGAAATTGCCTGTTGGTTACCTGAATTGAAGGCTGAAGAGCACAATAGCCAAAACATTGTGATAACAACAACAAAGATGAGGACAATAGTCCACATGTAAATAATTCTGTTTGTGTCTTCTTTTTAGCTGTGTCCATGGCTAGCCGAGGTCTGATAATGACAGTCAGACAACTTAATCCAAGCATTCTGCACAAGAAAGACCGAGTAAGTCAAAGTACATTCAGCCGTATATATTGCTAGAAAATATTTTTAATATGACTCCTATTAATAGATCATAAACTATTTTAAATGACTTGTTTTCTGCACTCTAATATTCTCTTACAAATAATATAAATTTATATTGACTTCTGTAGACTTGAACAACTATACTGTTTTTTCATCATTATTATAGGTACCTGACATAGTACAATACTTATTGTACCCTATCATTTCTTTTCAGTGTAAAATATAAAGTTGGTTTAGCATTAGTTTAGTGTTACATTTGTGTTAAAATAACTTTCAATATAAGCATTATACTTAGAGCCAGATTATCCTTTGGGCTAGTATATGCTGCTGCTTAAGGTCCCTCAAACTTTAATAAAGCAATGATTTTTCTCAATGTTATAACATCTAAATAGTTTCATTGCAGGAAGCAAAGAAAAGAAAAAAATGTTTTAATTTGCATCATTGAATTTCAAGTAGTTTTAGTTCAGAATGTTTAAATCTGAAAAATTTTTATAAGACAGTGATTTTAATTTTCTAGATGTTATAACTTCTAAATAGTTTCATAAACTGAAATGATATCAATATGATAAACTCATATTTTCATTGTTTTATTATAATGCTGGTTATAAAAAAATCTGTTTTTTACAATTTTTTTACAATAGATGTATTGAAATATGTACTAATTTAGTTTACAGTAAATAGTAAAATGGTGGTATTTCTTCAAGAATATTTTTATTGACAAATAAAAGATAGTTATTCTAGTTTATTTAAAGAATTTGCAATAAGTTTACTTCAAGCTATGTAAATGTCACTAAAATATATCAAAAGCAAAAAAACAATATTCAAGACAGATATGGGTGAGTTAGAGGGTGATTGAGTGGGTGGCGGTTGTGTCATAATTCCATTAGCCTGGGGAATCCAAAAGGTCACAACCCGGACCTGATTATACTTACCTTTTTTTTTTTATATTTTTCAGTATTTAGTCTGCAAACTTAATGTGGTACATACATGATAATCAAGAAAAAACCTTAAAGATCCATTTCAGTTATAATTTATTTTGTGAATATTTCTATAGTCATCTCTTTGGACTGAAAGTTTTTAATAAATGCTTATTAAATACTTTCTGTCTCATTTATTAAAAACCTTCAGTTTACTATTTACATTATTCGGACTATTGTCCTCATCTTTGTCGCCATATTTATTACAATGTTTCGGCCGTTGTACACTCCAACCTTCTTCAGGTGGTTGGAATATCAAACTGAACCCTTTATTTCACTCACTGGTGTAGACTGTTCTAGTACCACATGCCATGGATATTAATTATCGAGGACACATGACACAGGGATAAAGGCACTAGTTAGATCCAGTGACAGGACCCAAAGAGTGTGAGTTCAATACCTGGTTAAGGTGGTGGAGAACTTGGAGAGGGGAAATAGCAGGAGATAACTGATAATTGACATCCATTAGACATGGCATGTGGAACTAGAACAGTCTACCCCAGTGAGCAAAATAAAGGGTCCAGTTCAATATTCTAACCACTTGAAGAAGGCTGGAGCATACAATGGCCGAAATGTTGTAATAAATATGGCGACAAAGATGAGGATAATAGTTCAAATAATATAAATAGTGTACATAATACCTCATCTCAGAAATATAGACAGAAACTTTCAGTCTGAAGAGATGAATATAGAAATATTCCCAAAATAAATTATAACCAAAATGGATCTATAAGTTTTCTTCTTGAGATTTTGATCCTAATTCATTAGACCCTCTATTCCCATATAATTAAAGTATATGTAAAAGTAATGGTGGATTTAATTGTATAGGAATGGACGGTCTGATGAATTAGGATTCAAATCTTGATTCTAAGGAAATAAATTATAACCAGCATGTACTCTTAAAGTTGTCTTTTTCTTAATAATAATAACTAATTATATATATATATATATATATATATATATATATATATATATATATATATAATATATAATTATATATATATATATATATATATATATATATAGAGAGAGAGAGATGGGGGGGGTCATTCAATAAATAAGGTGAATTTTTCGGTATAAGGACATCTAATACAGATAGAAGCTTACTTTTTTATTTTTTTTTTTTTTTTTTTCAACGTAGTCTCCCAGCACTGTCACACACTTCCCATCTGTGCACAAGCTTCCGTATTCCCTCACCGTAAAAATCTTTGGACTGATGTATCAGCCAGTCGCTCACAACACTTTTGACTTCATTGTCACTTTTAAACTTTGTGCCTCTCATGAACGCTTTCAAGGGACCAAACAGGTGAGCGTCTGAAGGGGCAAGGTCTGGGCTGTAAGGGGGATGAGGGAGCAGTTCCCAGCCGAGCTCGTTGATGGTCTGCATCGTTTGGGCTGCTGTGTGAGGCCTTGCGTTGTCATGATGCAAGATGACTGCTTTTGACTGATGACCCCTGCGTTTATTCTTTATGTCTTTCTTGACCTGCCTCAGCAGTTCACAGTAGTTCTTCTGTCAGACTGAATGAGGTCATTGACTGATTCGATCACCTCAGGAGACCTCACTTCTGTAGGCCTCCCAGGCCTGTCTTCATCCTCAACACTGCTCCATCCTTCTTTAAACAATTTAGCCCACTTGTAGATATTTCTTTTGGCTGAAACATGTGGCACCGTACACAGTTGACATTCTCCTATGAATTTCAACTGGTTTGCACCTTTCAGCAACCAAAAACTTGATAACTGACCACTGTTCAATCCTGGAGCATGCCTCTTGGTCAGCCATCTTTGTTAATCGCCAAAACTCTGAAAGTTTTTTTTTAATCTTGAAAAGAAATTAAATCCATGTGAAAAAGAAGTAAAACAAAAAAAAAGTAAGCTTCTATCTGTATTAGTAGTCCTTATACCGAAAAATTCACCTTATTTATTGAATGACCCGTGTGTGTGTGTGTGTGTGTGTGTGTGTGTGTGTGTGTATATATATATATATATATATATAATATATATATATATATATATATATATAACCAATTATTTGTGACTGGTGTGGATAATTCCAAGGAGGATATTAATCCAGAGAAAGCTCCATGTAAACTACAGAGCATTATAATAATAAAAATAAATCAAGAAGAAAACCATATAGATCCATTTTGGTTATAATTTATTTTGGGAATATTTCTATATTCATCCCTTCAGAGCAAAAAAATTTTTAAAAATGACAGACAGAAAGTATTTAGTAAACATTTATTAAAAACTTTTGATCTGAAGAGATGAATATAGAAATATTCACGAAATAAGTTATAACTGAAATGGATCTTTATGGGTTTTTTTTTTCTTGATTTATTATATATATGGTGCGGCAGAAATACCTCCTGCATAATGGTAAGGCTTTAATGGCAATGGTGTCTTCATCTAGCTGATGTCTTACCAATATGTGGGAGGTGTTGCTGCCACACCCTGTACGCACACATTCATGGGATAAGAATATGTAATTGTAAATGGCACCACTATATTTTAACATCATGGAAATACCCTGACCTATATATGTTTTTCTCTGACATTTGGTAAGTCAATGTGAACACTGGCTAGGTTGCTCATGATAAGTCAACATGAATTATCAGCATGCGAACAGGCAGAATGATGGGTATCAGATGAATGAGATATCTTATTCCTGAAATTGTGCAGATGTTTGATATCCTTCAGTCTATAGTGTCACATATGTAAGGAATATCTGGTGGAAGGCATTACAACCCACTGTTAACAGCACTGGCCAACCAGAGATCCTTAATGATCATGACGAGTGACATTGCCTCAAATCTCATCCATGTTCATTACAGGAAGTACTAGGAGGCACATCACCAGTAAATCAGTTCAGTTTTTTTTATATTACATGGAATACAGATGCAAAATACTCACCAGGGTAACACCATGAGACCAAACAAGGCCTGGGCTTTTGATATAGCTAATTAAACCCTAGAAGACTGTTAATATGTGTTATGGTCTGATGAGTTATGTTTTGGGTGTAGTGCAGACCCCATAAAGCTGTGAACCCCAGTTATTAACAAGGCACTATGCAGACTGGTGGTAGTTCCATAATAATGTTGGGTGTGTTCATGAGACATGGATCGTGTCTGCTTATCTACCTAAATAAGTCATTGACTGCAATGTTGCACTGTTTCATAACCATTAACACCCATTCATGGACTCCATGTACTCCAACAATGATTAGTAATTCCAACAGGATAATACATAATGTCTAGAATTGGTCTGAGGAGAATTCTGGTGATTTCTGATCAATGATGTAGCTACAAGATTTACTCAACATGAACCCAATGAGCATTTATGGGACAGACTGGAGTGTGGACAGCTCTCAAGATGGCATGACAACATTTCTCCAAAGGTTTTCTAACCACTTATGGAATTGATACTACATAGAGTTGCTGTGCTTTGCCATGCTAGAGAGGCAGTCCTTCATGACATTAAGCACCTATCTCATGATTTTAGGCATGTCAGTACTTGTATCACGCACACACACACACAAATGTGATTATATTAGTTTTTTTTTTCATGGGAGTGGCTATTATCATCACATAGTGATATTACAGGTGACATTATCACTGTATGGACACAGGCTTACAGAGAAATTCACTGTACAGTGATGATACACTCAGCTTTTTATAAAAATACCTTTTAATTTTAATAGGAAATGTGTTTGTATGAAATACCTTATAATTTCCTATAGTGGTAATTGATAAGTAACCACTAATTATTTTAAATTCTCTATGAAAATGCTGAAAAAAATCACTGAAGAGTGATAATAAAGCCACTGTCCTTTTCACCGTACAGTGACTATGAGATCAGTAATATCACTGTACGGTGGTAATATACACAGCCTTTTTTTAATTTTCTGAGGAAGAAATCCTTTTTCCAAAATACAAATCTAATTTAAATAATTAGTGTATGTAAATACTTTTTAATCAAGAATAATATCATTTGCACTATTTATGCCTGTTCATGCCTTTCCCAAGAGTATTAGTGCAAAATGAATGCTGAGAGTTTTAACTCGGCAGCTTTCCAATTCAATATTTCTATGGTACTAACCACTTAGCTATCATTACCCCAATTGATACTGGAAATAAATATTTATATACATGCCTTCAATTAGAGTGCTTGCTGTTTCTATGATGCCTTATAAAAAGTTGTAATTTTTTTTTGCAGTTTGGTCAGAAATAGCAGATTTTGTACCAAATTGACCCATGGCAACATTTACTAATCACCCTTCCTATGTTCATTCTCAATTCATGAATCTTATAGACTAATTTTTCAACCTCTAGGTTTCAGCTATTCAGCTGGTCATAAAATGCATACAAGCAAACAATTGCCCACTTTATAGTAATAAATTTCTTGTAACATTAAGAGGAAGTTTGATAAGACTTAGATATATAAGAATGATGAAATCTAACTTGTACTAAATTCATTATACAGGGTCGAATCACTGAAGCAATGCAAGAGACGGAACTTCTGCCTTATGGTCATCCACATGCCAAAGATTATCTTCCAGGTGCTGAGGTTCTGGTTAGAGAAAAAACTGACAGTGCAAATGAGAATGGAGAAACGAACGAAGGTGAAGATGAAGGTGAGGACAGAAATAAACTTTTACCCAATTTTTTAACAAGCATTTAATCATAGGTACACTCCAAAATGTCTGAAAACCTGCTGCATAGGTGTACCTGAATACATTTTATTTTGATTTTATCTTGAAAAACAGTATAACTGGATGTCCTCTCTACAACTGAAAAACATGCAAATAAACGGCTCTGTGAAAATATCTCTTTCTCTCTCTCTAGTCTTTTACACTCTAAATGGTATATAAAGCCACTGCTTAAGCACACAGAGATGTTGCTGCTATGGTTCCCATAGCAAGTAGGTTTTATATGGGCTGGAGTTGTTAGCCCTATGCCTAATCAATTTTGAATTCAGAGTTGTCCTTCTCCTAAACTGGTTGCCAACCAAGGCTGAAGAACCCAGATTGCAATCCTCTTTTACTGAGGGAGATGAAATAGATTCATACCTTTCCCAAGAGTATTTGTGCGCAAGTGAATGTAATGAACTCAACTGAAATTAGAACCCTGTTTGCTAATTTCTCATTCTGAGCCACTAACTTCCACTGCTAGCATATCCACTGTGGAGAACAGAGCAATATAATTTGCTAATTTCTACAAATGTTATCTCAAATTGTTACTTCACTAAAAGTAAATGTAATGACTGTCATGGTATGGCTGATAAGAAATTTTGCTATGGTATATAGAAATCTCAGAGGAAAACTGATATTTTTCTCTTAAATTTAAAAAAAAAAAAATCTGCCCAGTAGATAAAGGTTAAAAAATATATCCTAAGCATAAGTTAAGCACTTTGCTTCTTTTGACTAACATTTGCATCAGAATGTGTTTCTAACATACCTCGATGTTATTGATCTGTTGGGATTACACACATTTTATATCAGTCATGGGCCATATGCAGCCTGATTGGCTTTAGGAAGAGCACACCTAATTTCATGAGGAAAATAATGTTTATTAAAATGTTGTTTGTTTTAGACTCCCATGCATACCCACATTAATAAACAATGGTTAAGTACAGTTTTCCTGGAATTTTGTAACTGTTCATTGACTTTAATGTTATCAGCATTTTAAACCTTTAAGGGTTTTCACTAAGGAAGATCATGAGTAATCATCTTTTACATCAGAGACAGGAAACATCAATGATAATTATTTTTCTCTAGAGAATAAATATACTTCTTGTTTTACAAATAATTTTGAATACTCAAATGAATAAATTAGAAACAAATCACATACAACAGTTTGTGTTAATCCCGCTGTCATCAATGATAACATTAAGACATTGTTTTTTTTATTCTAGAAGTATCTTTTTGCCAAAGAAAAAAAAAATTGACTTTTCCCCATTTCTAAAGCAGATGCTTATGCATGTGGTGTTTTGCTGAGAAAATGGCTGCTATATCTTTAATGGAAAATTGTCTTTTTTAATAGTGCAGCATACTTTATGAACTGTGCCTCATGCAGCCCACTGTTTGAAAAAGGTTGCTGATGCCTGTTTTATGCGATTATTTTAATACCAATTGTGAAAATATTGATTTGCATAATAAAATCTATAGTGTAATGTCCTCATCTTGGTTATTGTCGTCATAGCATTTTGGTCATTTTGCTCTCCAAACTTTTTTCAGGTTTCTCTCATATTCAGTAACCTTATAGGAACTTCAACCTGAATCCTTTATTCAATCCATTGGAATATATTGTACTGGTCTTGGCATCCCTGCATATTAATTAATTCTTCCTTAATTTGCTTTTTTTTTTTTTTTATATGAATTTTATTAACTAAAGCAGGGACTAAGCTCACAGATACTAGTATACTACTGTATTTAATTCTTTTCTTCCATTATTTTTTTTTTAATTATTTTACACCAAGCAAGGCAATAAAGCCACTAAGACGCTAAGGGTTAGTGAGCATGAAAGATAACGATTGACATTGCATTTAAATTTTTGAAGATCAAAGTTTAACTGGAAAGCAAATGGCTGGAAGAAATTTCCACAAGCAAGAAGTGTGAGAGAAGAATCTATTAGTTACATTTAGCCATTTCAACTGTAAAAATAGTTGCCAATCTAGTACTGTACTTAAATTCATAAAGTTGAGGTACCAAAGAGGAAATTCCATCAGAATAATTACCTATGCTATTGTCTCCAAATATGACAAACTTGAACAGAGAGTAAAATAGCTTAAACTGTAACAACCAAGATCTCTATCTATAAAAGGCAGGATGTGTGTGTGTAATAACAAATGCACGGCCATAATTTTCAACGTATTTGCACCAAAATTTACATGCACGTGCTCCAAGTTAGCGGGAAGGCCAAGACTGACTTTGCCTTTCCCAACTCCCATCGATAGTGGAAATAATCGATTTTTTTTCATGCTTCTACAGCAGTTTTCATGTAGTTTGCGGCCATTTTCTACTGGCCAGAGTAAGAGCCTATAGCTGGCTGCCACGAATAGGCAGGAAGATTCTATTGGCCAGCGTGAGACCCAACAGCTGACTGACACGAATGTTAACTAGCATGCAAAAAAAATCGATAGCTGCATTCGTCACAAGTGAGAAAAAATTTAAATCTGCATGGCACTTTACTCCAATTGACTCATTAATTTGCTTAAACTCAACGTTGATTCTGATTCCGCAGAACTGGGTTGGGTGTGAAAAGTATTTATTGTTAACATTCTTTTTTCATTCAGTTTTTCCAGTTACGAGCCCTTTTTTAAAGCTGATTGTTTTGTTTTCATTTTGTTTAGTTCTTTTTTCGTAACAGATTTAATGTTTAGTATAGAGCTTAGAAAAAATTCGCAGTGTGAGATAGGCAAAAAGTAAGGCATGTAGCAACATCAGCACAGCAAAGGGCACTCCTTTAAAGGCAAGGAAGGGCAAAAATATTTTAAGTCAAGTGATAGCGATTGCTGTATGAGTCATATGATTTTTGAATGAAGCACAGGCAATGCCGGGCCATGCTGCTAGTGTGGATATAAGTCTGAATAGATCCATAATAATAATAATAAGTATTCATCAGAGAAAATCAAATAGAAACCTATTTTTGTGTCTTCTAATTGTTCTTATTCCATGTGTTCAATTCTTATGAAAAAAAATTTATATTGTTTTCAAGACATTTCAAACTATCTGAGGTCCTTCTACATTTTAAGAAATTTCTTTCTCAGACAAAATTTTCAATGAACTATTTATGTTGTAATAGTGAAAGTAGCCATTCTTATACCCGAAACGTCAAGCATTCATTGACCATTGCTGTTGTTTGAAATTTATAACATCTTTCCTTTAAAACAGTTTATCAGGAAAATAGACTTCTCAAGTCCACTGTTATTACTCTCTCTCTCTCTCTAGTATTGATGGGCATTTACTTCCAAGCCTTTTGTTTAAGGTTGTTTAGAAAGTCAACATCTTAATTATATCTTGATTTCTCCTTCTACTTACATGTACTACCCATTTTAATTGTTATTGCTTTTAATAGTGTTCAAGTGATATGGATTTTGTATGGTAAGGCTCTTTGTGGTTTTGTAGCAACAGTCTATAAAATCTGATGAAGAATTGTCTTCTTTAAGACCTAAAGGATTCATTCATTGGAAGCCATTTTTAATTATTGCTCTAAGAAAACAGTTGTATGATAGTTTAGACATTTCTGAATGAGCTGCATGACAACCCTATGAGAGTATAAGTTTACCAAGGCTGTTTAATACACTAGAAAAATGTTTATTTCTCAATTATTAACAATGTACGGTTGAAAATCATAAAATAGTTTGGACTTGATTTTAAGGAAATTTAATGAGAGAGTATCTTAAAATGTAAGTTACATTTTTTTAATTATTCAATTTTAAAAATAAGAATTATTGCTTATTGTGATTTATTATATTTTTTTAATCATATTTTTACAAACCATTTAAACTGAAATCCTTAATTTTCCTACAGAATATGGAAAAAAGCACATGTACTGGTTTGTGTGATCTTGTACTTCAGTTGTAAATACTCCAGGGTTAAATACTTTACAGATAAAATACTTTGATATAACATTTAAATTTTTTTCCCAGAGTTTGGTTACATTGATGAAGTACGTGAGCAAAATAAGGCTAATGAAGAAGATGAGGAAGAAGATGAAGGGGAGGAGGAAGTAGCAGAAAAAGTGGCAGAAGGAGAAGAGGAGGAAGAAGATGAGAATAATGATGGCTGGGAAATATGTAGTAGTGAGGAAGAAATGGACGGCTGGTCAGATAATGATGAGGGTTGGATTGACGTAGAGCACTCGGAAAAGGAAGAAGAGGTACAAGTAAGTGAGATTTTACTTTTTTGTTTTTAATCTGTTCTTATTTTTATTTTTCATTGGCTTATTCTGGTTACTATGTTTTGTTCAAGATTTTCTCAGAAAAAAAAAGAAATTTTAAATGTGTGTGGTTTTGTTTGTTTGCTTTTAGAACTGTAGTTTTCAGTATTTAAATTTACAGTGTATTATAAACCATTTGCTGACAATGTTAAATACTGACTTACACAATTGTTTTTCTTTTCTTCTCACCAGTGATCCACCTGCTGTTTCTCATTGATTTGTTTTGAGATCACCCAAAAGTCACATTTTTAGCTTTGTTATATATATATAACCTGTTTTCTTTCATCTTCAATGTTAAAACCAGTAAACAAAAAATCTTTTCTAATTTTTTTTATTGATATAGCAGCTGTCACAATACAAAAACTTATTTTTTTAATGAAGTTAATTGAAAGTAAATGGTCCTACTGTCATTTAACAATAAAAACTAATAATTTTTGTTGAAAATGTTTATTTTATAAAAAAAAAATTATTTCCATATTTCACATATTTCCAATTTTCATATTTCCATATTTCACAGCCTTCTTTCTTTTATGCAGCAGTCTTTTTTAAATTTTTCATTGTTATGATTTCCATCAGAACTTTTCTGACAGAAACATGCAAAAATGGATCATTATTATAAGGGTGAGCCTGAATGGAAATCCCACAGTATTGGGTTAGAAGTTTCTTTATACATGTCCTAACATAAGTTTTGTTAGAATATGTTGTTTTTTGGCTGTTACAGTAACACAGTCGCAAGCAGAAATGAGAATCATTTATAATATACTAAAATGCCCTGTCTCTTTAAAAAATTGATCATGACACTCAACAGATTCCTTTTATTTATTGTGATATCTTCTTGAGAAACATAGTGGAGTTGTTTCCTGTTGTCTTCTCCACAGTTTTGAATTCAAGGTTTTCTTTCTCATAGACTGGTTGCCACCCAAGCTATAGACTCTGGTATACCCTGCTATTGAATGCATCGTTGAGATACAATAATATAGAGCATTTATTTAAAAAAAAAACAAATGAACAAATTCTGATTATTACTTTTTCTTTATTACAGGAAATGTCCACTGTAAAAAACAAAAAGAATAAGAAAAATAAAGACGGAATCAACAAACTGCAATCGCAAAAGGTTCAGATAAGTCTTGAAGAAAAGAAGAAGAAAGCCCAATTTGTATCAGACCAGAAAATTTTCTCTCAGAATGACTTTGACAAAATCAACAGAGCTCTGGTACTCAAGAATCTTGATCCTATTCAGCGCAAACGCAAACGAGATGAACAGGCTCTTGAAGAAGAAATGAAAGAACGGTAAGTTGGTTTCTCTGTATTTATAACTTATAAATTACATATTTTTGCAAAGTCTTGTAAAAACAGGCCTTAGAAGAGAAATTTTGTTTAATTTTATGCATTTAATAGAGTATATTTATTCTTTATTCATATGAATGTCGTTGTTGGATCTGTATCTTTTTCTCACTTTAGAAACCTCCTTCTTAAATGAGAATATGTGGGTGGTGTAATGGATAGCAGGTCAGAATGAGAAATTAGAGTTTGAATTCCAATCCAGTTCTTTATATTCACTTGCATGCAAATACTCTTGGGAAATCACCCCACCCACCTACTAGCTACGGATTTATATAGGACTTGTATCTGGAAAAATCATTGTTACTCTCAAAAAAATATTCACTCGCAAAAAAACAATTTTTCTTACAATCTAAAATATGTTTAGACTTTAAATAACCCAGAAAGTATTGATAAGCTATTAAAAAAGAAAAAAACAAAACAATCAATCTTCTTAAATTGCATCTTTCTTCAGGATGTAAGATGTCATGGGTCTAAATAGCTTCTTTTTCTTTAAACAGTGTGTATCATCATTCATATATATATATATATATATATATATACACACACACACACCATGTACTATAATGATAGTCAAGCAGTACATTTTATTTATGGGAGACTGGTTAAAAATGTTATGTAGATAGATATAAATCTTTGTTTGTACACATTTGTATATCCATAAATGTGTGTTTGTGTGTTTATCTCATGGTATTTATGTGTACATTTGTATGTTTAAATTTACTTATTAGATGTGACTATTTGTATTTGAATTATAGTAATATTTTTGTAGTTTGGGGTTTGCAAGTGTGTGTATACATTATTTTTTTTTAATTTATTTTATTTTTATTTTTTTACCCATCCCCCAGTAAATAAAGTGGACTGCTCCACTATCATAGTACTGTGTGTGTGTGTATATATATATATATATATATATATATATATATATATATATATATAATTATTTATTTAAAATGTGATTCCAAATACGCTACATAAGTGGTCTCATGTTTCAAAACTAGAGCCGAAAACTTCAATATAATCCTTTAAATTAAATTAAAGGATTTTAAAGGATTATATTGAAGTTTTCGGCTCTAGTTTTGAAACATGAGACCTCTTATGTAGCGATTTGGAATCATATTTTTAAATAAATAATTATATTTATGCTCTACTTTTGTATCGAGCACTATTTTTTAAAAATAATAACTAAAATACTAAGGGACTTTGGATTATTTACCTAACCATTTCCTTCCTATTTTCTATATATTTTCACATATATAGTAAGTTAAAAAAATCCATTGGTATATAATCCAAGTGAATCAATATGAAAATTTTAGAATTGATCCACAAAAAAAGAGCTTGATGTATTTTATTTAATTTATACAGAGCAATATAATTAATAATCAAACAAATTTTTTTTACCTCATATGGGGAATAGTCTATTTCGGCAAATGACAAAAGTGGTCGCCTTTCTTTTCAACCCTGGTGTGGAATAAAACAGCACCACGGTTGAAAAGGCAGATGAACACTTTTGTCATCTGCAAATAGCCCCATATGAGATAAAAAAGTATTTGTTTAATTATTAATTATATATATATATATATATATATATATATATATATATATATATATATATATATATATATATATATATATATATATATAGCAGCATGGCCCAGCTGCTGCCATGCTTGATTCAAAAATCGTACAACTCATACAGGAATCGCTATCACTTGGCTTAAAATATTTTTTGCTCTTCCTTGCCTTTTAAAGGAGTGCCCTTTGCCGTGCTGATGTTGCTACATGCCTTACTTCTTGCCTATCTCACACTGCAAATTTTTTTCTAAGCTCTATACTAAACATTAAATCTGTCACGAAAAAAGAACTAAACAAAATGAAAACAAAACAATCAGCTTTAAAAAGGGCTCAGAACTGGAAAAACCGAATGAAAAAGAATGTTAACAACAAATACTTTTTTCACACCCAACCCAGTTCTGCAGAATCAGAATCAACATTGAGTTTAAGCAAGCGAATGAGCCAATTGGAGTAAAGTGCCATGCAGATTTAAATTTTTCCCACTTGTGACGAATGCAGCTATCAATTTTTTTTTTTGCATGCTAGTTAACATTCGTGTCAGTCAGCTGTTGGGTCTCACGCTGGCCAATAAAATCTTTTTGCCTATTCGTGGCAGCTAGCTATAGGCTCTTACTCTGGCCAGTAGAAAATGGCCACAAACTACATGAAAACTGCTGTAGAAGCATAAAAAAATCGATTATTTCCACTATCGATGGGAGTTGGGAAATGCAAAGTCAGTCTTGGCCTTCCCGCTAACTTGGAGCACGTGCATGTAAATTTTGGTGCAAATCCGTCAAAAATTGTGGCCGTACATTCATTACACACACACACACACACACACACACACACACATCCTGCCTTTTATAGATAGAGATATATTATACAACGGTTGGTTTTCAATCAACACCTGAGGATTGCATTGTGCATAAAACTCAGTTGTACTCCAGTGAGGATCATTATGTGTACAGATTGCACTAAGTGGTAATTTAAGCTATGCGAGAATAAAGAGAGAGTAATGGGTAAGAAAGAAAAGCAGTAGGAACGGATAAAAAGCTATAAACAGACAGGTTTACATTCTTCAGTTTCATTACTCCTTTATCTCTTTGATGATTTAAAGTGCATACAGCTTCTTTTTTTTTCCTTTTGGAGTGTCATGTAATAGAGAAGGTAGATACTAGATGAATAGATAGATTACAAAAAAATTTAACTTTAATGTGATAACCATAGTTGCTACATAGTAATTTAGTTGGCGGCATGGCAGAGTGGTTAGATGGTTCACTTTCTGATCATTGGTCAATTTATCAGATGACTTCTTGATGTTATCAGCTAGGGGAGGTGATGTCAGTATGTGGAACCTTTAGTGCTTGAAAACCACACCACGAATTAACCCAAGCCTTTTCAATGAAAATGGGTAGAGAGAACTATTTGAGAGTTGTCAATGGTTGTACTAGCATAAAGTCAAAAGTCATCATGACTGAGGGTTTCGGTGTACTGGCCTTGCTCAGATTGTTGATCTCTCCAGATAATGCACTCTCTCCCAGAAACTGTAATTAAGGTTTGCTTAGCATAGTTGCAGTATAAATCACAGGTAGGTTCTTTGGCTGTTGAATAAACACAAATGCGCGTGAGCAGACGTCTGCAACAGGGATTGGGTGGACAGAACTATTTGAGAGCTGTTGATGGTCGTGCTAGCACAAAATCACAAGTCATTGTTACCGTGGGTTTGAGTGTACTGGCCTTATTGAAACTGTTGATCTGCGTCCTGGGTAAGATGATAAACTACGTCCAACAGCTGATCAGGAGGTTTTGAGGAGTGTGGAACCACCTCTTAATTGCTGGTGTTCCCAGTTCCACCCTAATCTGTGGTGGTAGCGCCTGTTAGGGTCCCAGCTATGGGCAAATAGTTAACTTCCAAACTGGGGTTAAAAAACTATGAAAGTGCAAAAATAGGTTTTAATACCAGAAATACTTTGTAAAAAAATTATTACCAGAAATACATTTTTGGAAAAAAAAAAAAAAAAAAATATTACCAGCATTAAAATTTTGTCAGCATTAAATAACCAATTGGGGTTGATATGCTGTAAAACAAACCAAACTGTTGAGCGCATAAGGTAATGCAATCTCTCCCAGATATTGTAACTAAAGTCTGCTCAGCATAGTTACAGGTGAGCTCTGTGGGTGTTGAATAAGCACAATTGTGTCTGAGCAAGCATCTGCAACAGGGATCAGCTAGCCACTCTAGTTGAGAGGCATACTCAGATACAAGCAACCAGCCATTAAATATAGTTGGGGAACACCCCTCTCTCTCTGTGTCTAGCAAGTCCTTTCTTTTCTCTTATCAGTGTTCCTATTTGGAGCACATACTCTTATATATTATTAATAATTAAATAAGATCTAAATAAATGTTATGTCTCAATATGAGTCAGTATCTTGAGAAGGCTGTTATCAGTGTGAGATACACTGGAAGATTTGTGCTTATCTGCTCAGAGTCTCTGATCAACAGTGACGATTTATTAAAATGTCATGTTTAACTTATCTTTGTATTGGCTGATATCAGTATGAAATATTCAACTAAGTATTGTTGACAGCACTTCTGACAGAAAATGTCTTCAGAGAGTGTTAGGTTGTAAATACTTATATAAATAAGATTGATATCTTAATGTACCTGTTAATGCAAGGCTGATGTGGGATTGAACTTCTGGAACATACCCTGATAGATAACATAGATTTAATCTTGAAGATGTATATTATCTTTTCAATGTCAGTGATGGGAGTTACATGATTTATGTCATGTCAACTCATTCCACCGTCTTCCCAATTAGTTTCTTCATTTGGCAGACTGTTTGGAAAATTGAGTTTGATTGCCTTGTATAATGCAGATTTTTCTCTGAGAAAAAAAATTTCTTAGACTTTATTTTTTAAATACACACACACACACACACACAAAATAGTAAAAAGCACACCTGGCTGAAAACTGATTCCTCAAGTTATAAATAAAATCATTTTATAAATAAAAAGTTTAATTCCTGTTGAGAGGCATATTTTTTTTAACTTTTACTCTCTCAGCCAGCAGATATTAATTTCAATTTTTAAAAAAGGTGTACTGAAACACGTTTCCACTAAATATAGCATTTCTAATAGTAATAATATAGTTTTAAGGTATACTATATTTATGGGTAAGAATATTCAAACGTAAGGATTGCATAAAACAGTCACCACTTGTTCTTGACCTCAGTGACCACTTTTCACACACACACACACACACACAAATTTGAGTATGTAATCCCGCCAGAGTTATAAAGTTATAAGTTATAGACATTTGGAAAAACATTCAAGAAATGCATTATTGGATATTATTTTTGAAACATACTTTCATGAAGGTTTTTTCCAAATGTCAATAAAATATATATATATATATATATAATATTATTTATTATTAGGAAAAAAAAACTTATTATTATAATTTGCTCTGTATCATACATTGACCTCTGATATTAACTAAAAGTCCTCTTTGGAATAATCCCTACCAATTACAATTTTTTATATATATATATATATATATATATATATATATATATATGTGTGTGTGTATAATAATTTTGTGTTGGTTACAGAATTTTATTATGGAAATAAAAATGGTAAGACCAATTTTACTCTTCATGATAAAAAAAAAACAAACGCAGCCGACCAGTTTTGCCCTCACTCAACAGAGCTGAAATCAAGGCATTATATCTTGCAATACAAAATATAAAACACAAATAATATACAATATTAAAGACGGAATACAATCTTCATATGGGGCTGGTCCAAGCAGAGCGAAGACACAGTAAAATGGGAGAAAAATAACACTCAAAATAATATAAAAAAATATATTTGCTATTTTTATATTGAGTATTGCATACAATGATATGTTAATAGTTGTTAGGTTCTAGGTGTTAGCATGCAGGTGTTTGTCAACCCAACCCATTCCTAAATCGTACATGACACTTGGTTAAGCTGGTAAAGTTTGGCTCAAGAATGATGTCAGGGGTTCACGTCAGCAGAGAGTCACGTGCGTTGAAGTTGAAATAAACAATTGGTCTTCCCCCCCTCAACCCAGAAAGTCAGGTAGTTATTGTTTTCAACCCTGACACCTCTGTAGAAAGATTCGCCAAGTCAGTTTTATATTTCCTTACCACCTGAAATCAGATACTGGACAGCTTCGGTTTGCGTTAGAAACATTCCTTAAGTAACATTTTTACCTCTAGCAGGCATTTAAAATTTTATCCAATTCTCCTCATCTTGATTCCACAGACACACTGCAGGCATTATCAACCTATTGTAAGCACCTCGCCTGTCGTACAATTAAGCAATGTTCTTAGCCGGCCACTTGATTCATTTTAGAATTTTCGATTCTCTGGGAACAAATTTTTTATCAGTTTAATGTTCTTGATATCCCTTTTCATGGCAGTTTATTTATCAGTATATTATTTTTGCTTGATATTCAAAAGCCTTTATTATTAATTACCAACAACCAAAATAGTGTTACAGGTTTGCCCATTGTCTGATCATTGGTCTTTTGAGCAGTAGTAGAAGTTTATCCCTTGTTTCCTGTTTAGGATTATGTTTCCAGTTCCTTCTAAAGTCTGCTTCAGTTCTATACTCTTAATGCTTGTTCTGTCCTATGCTAATATAAGTCCACTCCCTTGTGTGGCTCTTGGGTCTTTTATTGGGTGCACATTTAGTTAAAACAAAATAGTGAGGTTTTGTATGGCATCATATATAGTAATATGTATTGAATAAGCATTTATAATGAATAGAATTTTTAAAAGTGTTGTTTAATTTTGTAGAAATATTTTTAGGTCTGTCACTGAATTAAAATACACATGTCCACATACAAACATAAGAATGAAATCAAAATGAATATTTGTTGTGAGAGCTAATTTCCCTTTCTCTCTGGCAACAATCCCTGGGTAACAGGAAAAAATATTAGCCAGAATGTTTGGCCTTTTGACATCATTTTTTTTACTCTTATATTTAAACTGAATATATTTTCTAATTTCTTGTATTAATTAACATTGGCAAACAAATAAGATCTGAAATCACCGAATTAGTGTAATCTTCTCTAGTCTTCTTACATACACATTACAACATACACCTAACACCACATAGTCATCCTGGGTATGATGATAAACTACATCTGGCAGCCAAGCCTCTGATCGGAAGGTTTTGAGGAATGTGGAACAACCTCTTAATTGCTGTTGTTCCCAGGTTCACCCTGACCTGGGGCGGTAGCAGCTGTTAGGATCCCAGCTATAAGTAAAAGGTTAAGCCCTAAACTGAAGTCAAAACACTATGAAAGTATAAAAATAGATTTTATAGTAAAAATACCAGCAATACATTTGGCTCTTGACAAAAACCCTCTTTACAAAAATATATCAATTAAGCCTGATGTACAAACTGATTTCTTACAAAGAATACATATACTATTCATATGAACCTATCCAAAAAATTTTGTTGGCATTAAATAACCCACTAATGTTGATTTGTCATAAAACAAAATAACCTAAACATTTATTTATGCATGAAAACTTTAGATATATATTCATAAGAGAAACTGCTTACCATTCTTTCTATATTTTTGTATTTTCAGGGGAGAAATTCTTGATATTTCAACTATTGAAAACATCCACAAGAAAAGAGCTCATGACAAAGATTCTCGTCTTTCAACTGTCTATGTAAGTCCATGTCTATTGTCTATTAATTTGCTATAAATGTTAACATGAACAGAAAGAATCCTATTTGCCTATGTATGCCCCCACCCTGATTGCTTCTATATTTTGTTTCTTCTAGCACGTGTTTAAATTCCTTAACTCTTGTATTAACTGCTTCTTTTTTTTTTTTTTAATCATTTCGCCCTATGCAAGGCAATAAAGCCACCTTGACACAAGGAGTTACTGAGTGTGAAAGAATATGAGAAAACAGAAAACATAATTAAGGAAAGAGAACGACAAAGAACAGGAATTAAGAAGACAAGTTAATGATTGACATTGCATTTAAATATTTGAAGATCAAAATTGACTAGAAAGCAAGAAGCCAGAAGAAGAATTCTGCACATGAGAAGTGCAAGAAAAAAAACTGTTAGTATAGAACTAAAGTTACATCTAGCAATTTCAACTGTAAAATGGTGAGACCTAACTGCCAGTCTAGTACTGTGCTTAAATTCGTGAAGTTGAAGTACCAAAGAGAAACCCTCATCAACCTTGTAGTACCCATCAGCATCCACATTTTCTCCAAGCTTGTAGAAGAATGGGAAAATATATATTTTTTTTTTTTTTTTTCTGCTGGAGACTACAACACCTGTTGTGTTCTTGAAGGTGCACTTAACATCAATTGTTGACTTTGCAATGTAATATAAGTTGAGAATCCTTTATCTGAAATTCTTGGGACCAGAAGTGATTCAGTTTTCATATTTTTTTTAGATTTTGTAATACAGGCTATTTAATTTGTATATAGCATCTATAAAATGGGACAGCTTGGGAATGGAACCCAAACATAAACATGATATCCCTTTACATATCATAACACAGCTTATACAAATACCCTAAAGGTAGTTTTATATAAATAACATTATACCCTGAAAGTAGTTTTATATCAGATTTAATAAAATTTGTGTACATACAGATACAGGTAATGGCACTAGTCATGTAAAGATCACACGGATTTTTAAATGGTGAAATTAAGATTTCACATAAAAATAACGTTTTGTACTTTCTGTACATATACAAAAAAAGACATGATCACTACATACAAAAAAACATAAATGCAGGACTTTTTGACATTTTGATTAATGTTTACTGAGCACAAAACACCTGATAAGTAATCCATGAACAATGGTGTTGCTGTGACGATCACTAACAAAAAACTGACGCCAACACAGGCTATGTAGCTGGGCTAGGGAACCCCCCACCCAGGGCAGATGAGGGTCACTTATTATAACAGCTGCACATCACCTAGGAAACTTCCCAGTGCTTTCTGAAATTTTCCATTTGTGGCAAGTCATATCAGCACCTGAAAAACTTTCGGATTTTTGAACTTTGGATAAAGGATGTATTTATTTTAATGGTTCAAAACTACAGCCATTATATTTTCTCATCAAAGACTGTTTTAACAGTGGGACCATAATTCTTGTCTTCTGGCCTCCATGAACTCCATGAGGAGGTGCCATCATGTTCTTGTGTATGCTTAAGTCATCATACATGGCTATTCTCTTGAGAAGGTTAATGAAATTCTGATTCAACTTCTTGTTGTTGATCATGTTGCTACCCACCTTCCTCTAGATGTTTTTGCTTTTGTCTCTCTTCTTTTTTGACATTTGTCATAAGGTCACATTAATTATGATGAGGATGCTTTTAGGGTCTGATGCTTTTTGTTGTTTGTCCTTCTCTGAAGCCATTTTCTACAACATACCTGAAAAATAGGTGTGTAGTAATAGCTGATCTTATTCTCCTCGTTTTGGTTTCATATTATTTAAGGTAGTGATTATTGGGAAATTTTACCTCCACTCCAGATATACATAGACACTCTCACTCAGCCAATTTAGGAAGATGATATCTCTTGGTAATAAGAGAAGTTGAAGTTTCAGATTCCACTTGCTCAGAAAGTAACTTTCCCCTCATAATACCACTTTGTTTTTTCCCCCCTCTTTCAGGCTGGAAGAGATGAAAGAGAGAAGTTTGGTCGTTCAAGACCCAAGATGAATCCAAATGCAAGTAAAACCAACAAAGAGAAGAAGCGAAACAAAAACTACATGATGGTCAAACACAAACTGAATAAAAAGCAAAATAAACGATCTTTCAGGGATAAACAGGTGAATATTTTTTTATTCCATTTTACAGGCTTTCAAAATGTCTACCAACTTTGACTGGTAGTTGTAAACTCAATAATATTTGTTTTCATTTTAATTATGAAGCTGAAAAAGCATATGCCTGCTCCTAACTTGACTATTTTGTATATTTGTAAGTGATAATATTTTTATATATCAAGAAACAACATTGGGGAAAATGTATGACAAAGTGGAAAAAGTTTACTTGTGACGTGTTTCGTCCTTCAGGACTTCATCAAACAAAATTTGTCATGTTGGTATGACTTCACATGTTCACAAATGAGGGGTGCTGGAGATTTTAGATTTTATTTTTTTTATTTTTTTTTTTTTTTTATCTAGCCAAATTTATTTAAAGTCTTTTTTTTTCGTCACTTTCATTAGTAGATATCCCACAGTATGATGAAACACATCATAAGTAAATTTTTTCTACTTTGTCATACATCTTCCCCAATATTTGTAAGTATAACTAATGTTTATTGCAAATTTTACAAGTAATTGAATGTACTGACAACTTTTAAGTTGGAAAATTTGGCAATGTTTAACCTTTGTGCCCACAAAAAAGCAGTGTGTCAAAATTCCCTTGACATTGCTATTACTGAATACACTTTTGACTCCCTCAATAATGTTTGTTTTAAAAAGCAATGATTAGAATCTTAATAAATCACAAACTTAAAAGTGGATTTATACATTTTCTTTATTCTTGAGAATTGGCAACAATAAGTTCATTGATATTTTTATAAAATTATGAATAAATAAAAAAAAACTTGCTTTCATAGTTATTTGTAAAATGGTAAATAACAAATCTCACATTGTACTTGTTTCACATATTTTATAATCTAGTCAAAAGTGTATACTGTAATAGCAGTGTCAAGGAAATAACCATCCTTTTGACATACTGCTTTTTTTTTTACTGCCATTAAGGTTAAACATTACTGAAAATTTCTTATATACACTTCATCCAAGTGGAAAAGGATTGTTTGCTTTGAAAAGTAGTAATCAAAATCTATTTTTACCTGAGTTCAAATACTGATTTCAGGTCTTAAAAGCAAAAATGCACCTACCCAACCATTAAGCAATTATTGGTCTAAATGATTGCAAAAAAGGCAGTTAAATAGTAATAAACAAAGTGTCAGTTCCAATCTTGTGTTGGAATGACTGCAAAAACATCCCCACCTCCTCAAATTTATAGAGAGAACACAGATGCATGTTGTTTTTTTTTCCTAGCCAATAAGATAGGCCATTTCTCAGTCTCATTAGACTTAGTTCTGATCTTTCTTGTCTTGAAGTCAGAACACTGCGATCATGCATCTGTATCCCCTTTTGTGTATTGACACCATTTTTAGTTTGTGAACTTTTTGCATTATTACACTTGCTTTGCCTTACATATATTGCTCTATTATTTTTGCCCTGTTCTTATTGTTTATTGTAAACTTTGTCTGTTCTGTTTGTTAGGTCAATTAAATTTAATCATGGTCAATTACTCTACACAAAGTTATACAGATATTGAACACTTAAATTCTATACAAATTTCTATTTGGCAAAAATCAAAAACCTATTCCCAACAAGAGATACAAACATAGATCAAGAAATAGGTTATAATTTCCTTTGCATTAAAAGAAATGAAGTAAAACAAATAGATTTGAAATATTGATGGGAATCAAGACAAAAGATGGCAACAGAAAAATCAAATTCTGTTTGTAACCACTGAGTTTACTTTCTTGCATCCTTTAACCCTTCCACTCCTGGGGATTTACTTATATGTATTTACATTGCCTGTTGTTGCCATATATATATATATGTGTGTGTGTGTGTGTGTGAAAATGTGAGATGTCGGTCCCTCACATTTGTGCTTTAAGCTAGCTAGCACCCAGTGCTATTTTTAAACTAGCATAGACACATAGTAGCAGACAATAGAATTTTGTGACACATGTTTACTATATTGTATGTTGGATAGGTAGCTTAGTCTGTACTCCAGAGCATCCAAATGAAACCAAAATGGCAGCATCTATGATAAATTGACCCCAGTGTCTTTATAGTCATTTATTTTCAGTAAAAGTTATATCAGAGATGCCATTTGATTCAGCGAGAGAAAAAAAAAGCATCATAAGATAGAAAGATGGGGAAGATAGAGGAGGTAATAATGCTCTCATGTGTTTGACATCTGCCTTAGTGAAATGGAAAATATAGTCAGTTTTTAATCTTTTTATTTGTACCCTCTTACTTCTTTAAATAATGACCTGCATTCATACTTATGATTGTTATTGCAATATTTTTGTTAAAGTTGTTAAACTCAAATATTTAAACAATAGTCGAATTTCTACGGGCATATTCTAGTTATGGAATTTGCAATGAGCTTATTTAGTCATTAACTTAAGGATTATGATTCATCAGAAAATTCATCTTATTTTAGTTAATTACAACCTTAAGAAACTGTTAGTAATTCAAAGAAAATTCTACCATACATTCCAATAGAATAGTTGCCAAATTAATACATTATTTGCTTGTCTATTTCCAGGTATGAGAATCAAATACTGTGGAATTTCCACAGGTTCTGTTAATATGAATTTATTTTTCTAGCATGTGTGTTAATTTTTCTTTTCTTTTTCCAGGTTGCTCTCAGAGATGCTTTGTTGAAAAAGCAGCGAACAATGCGGAAATAAATCTCTAGAAATTCTGTACAGATTGTAAAATAAAAAATATAATGTGATCTGGATAAAGTTTTTTGTTCTGGATGGTGTATTGTTTAGTTTTTACTAATGTATTATGTTCCTTCATAAGAAAACGCAATACAAATTATTTAGATAAATGATTTTTTAATCAAAGTGGTCAATGCTAAACCTAGTCTGTAACTAGAATATCTTTTTCTTAATTTATTTAAGTAAATGTTCTGTTTTTTTAATTAAACAGTATTAATTAGATTTTCTGGCCTGAATGTTCAAGAAATTTCATAGAAAATATGCATTCTCCAACATGAATCAAACCTGTAACCCTTATGGGAACCGTCATTTGATCTGAAATGCTGTTAACTTTTCAGCCACAGAGAAGCATCTGGTTAACAAAGTTCCAATTGCTGTTTATAAACACACACCTTTGATGATTTTTCTCAATCAATTATTTATGCTCACAAAACATATCTTAACATAAACAATGACAATATGTTATGAAAAGGATTAAGCCCAACAATTATTTTAATATATTTTCTGTTTATACATAACCCTTATGGGAACCGTCATTTGATTTGAATCCCTCACCAACAAATTTGGGAGTTCTTCTCTCTTAAGAATGAGTTTTCCAAGCGGCTGTTCCTTTGTAATCCCTATTAGACTCTTCTAACTCTTTCCAAATCCTCTGCACTGTCCTCAGATTGACACTCAAACATACTGAAATGTTCTGGCGCAAATGCCAAAATCAAAAACAAACAATGCACATGCGTGAAATTAAAAATGGTGCCTCTGGTGCAAACGCTAAGCAGTACAGCATGCAGTTTCCAAATTTCTGGCGGAGTGAATTGCATCATGGTGCTCTTTTTCTCACAGACGGTGACCAACTGACCCTTCTATACTGTACAGTCATCAAAATCTAAAACAAACCATGCACGTGCACAAAATTAAATATATAAAATGGTGACAATTTACTCATCATACACTCATATACATTTGTGTGTAATATATATATTTATATATATATATATATATATATATATATATATATATATTGGAAAGCACTCAATATCAGTGATAGAGCTAAGATATTCAGTCATATGGATATGAGTATGTAACCTGGGTTTCACACTTTTGTGATCATCAGACAAATGATTGAATATATATATATATATATATATATATATATATATATATATATATATATATATATATATATATATTCAGTCATACGGATATAAGTTTAGTAGAATTACTTTGGCTAAGTGTGGCAGTTCTACTAATTAGCTCACAATCTTGAATCTAAATTTCAAATACCAATTCATATAAGGAAACATGATTCTTAAATAGCAGTAGACTAGTTCTCTAGACTTACAGTAAAGCATAGTATTGCATCGAGCCACAAGGTTGGGCACCTAATGAGAATTGAACTCGCTATACAATAAGTGTCAGTATATATTATGTATTACTCCATGTTATGACACTCTTTGTTCTGTTTTTTAGACAGAAAGGAAGCAACGGAAGAAGATTCTTTCAAATTCTTGGATAGAAGATACTTTTTTAGTACTATTATGCTGTGGTCACAAACCACTGTGCCGTGTACCATTTGGTGCCAAGAAGAAAGGATAGCACCCCCCCCTTTTATTGACTCCCATCCCCAGGTCCGTGGCAAAAATTGTTTTGCATGACACCAGTCCATGGCACAAAAATGTTGGGGATCGCCGCTATTGTGAGTTCCTTGTAATGACTACATGGGCTCAAAATCGTTCAAAACCTATAAAAAAAAGTAACCTATGAAACAAAAATAATTGTGCGGAAAGTAAGGACCTACGTACATCACATTTCTTTAAATAAAAAAATATTTATTTATATTCCTGTTATCCAAATTTCATTCCCACTTGATTCATTCCAATAAGCACCAACTTGTCAAGTGAGTAAATTTCTAATCCATCATTAGTATTATATATCAAAACTAAAAATTTGCCTCAAGAATTCAACATTAAATAAACCAACAAGTGTTGACATGGTGTAAAAGCAACCAACCAATCAACCACATACATTTATTTGATGACAATAACTGACCTGAAATACTATTCGCTGAAAATTCGTCAAAAACAGCCACAGGACTAAATTCAGATATTTATTAACCAATCAAATTTACTTATGGTTCATTACATTTTGGAGCCACTAAACTGATTTAAATGAGGCTGAAAACGTATTTGAAGTCAGTAGCAGATCAGATAACGAATGTATGAAAAAGCCTTTTCTCGGCCATGCAGCCTCCTTACCATTTTTCCTCAGTCATACTCTCTTTACCTTCGCTTTTTACAAACAAAATGTATATTTTCCCAAGTAACAGAGAAACCGGAATTTTGTATGATAACTGAGGCATTTTCATCGCGAATTTTCTGTTCGAAAACCAATTTGTTCGTCATGTGAGACGTTAGAGAACCGAGGTTCCTCTGTATTTATTTTACTGTTGAAACCTTAATACTTCTTTATTGTTTTAAATAGTATTCACAGACTAAAATATTTCATTTTCTTTTTTCCTGCATGTTTCATCACTTATTTACGCATTATATAAAAACTTATTTCATTAGTTATAATGACTTTTAGTTATTCATCAACTCTATCATTATAGCATTGTTTTGTGTTCCTTTAAAAAATGTCGTGTTCTATAAAAAAAAATAATTATAAATTATATTTACAAGGGTTGGCTAGAAAGATATGCAAGTGTACCATACTGGCCGACCAGTTGTTGTATTCTGGTACACTTGCATGTCTTTTAATCTACCGACTGGCGTATCTACTTACATTTACATCTTGGTCAGCCTCTGAACTTTTCAGCCAACCCTTGTTGTTGCAACGGTCTTCTTTGTTAATGTCTAATTTACAGCTTAAAAAAAACTACGCCAGCCAACAATTGCTGATTTTCTACAAAAATATTCAAATATATGTTAATTACTATTATTAATTGCTTTGTCAATTTAGCTAATGACAAGGGATTGTAGACATATCCGTCCAAGGGATTGTAAACATATCTGTCATCTGTCTATCTTTTTTCTTTCTCTCATACTTTTTTTCTTTTTTGACAGGCTATGCAAATGTCAGTGTGTCACACTTTTTCAATTTTACTCCTAGAAGCCGTAGCTCAACATATCTTACCATTTTGGAATCGGGCCGACTCCGTGAGCAAATTAAAAACATTCCAGACACACAATCATGAAATTTGTGATTCCCAAGTTTTCATGACTGCAATTGTTTTCTCTGTTTTTTTTTTTTTGGGGGGTTACATGATTTTTTTAGACGAATTTTTTTTTTTTTTTTTTTTTTTTTTTTGTACGATTACAATTTTTATAACTTGAAAATAAATTTGGGAATAAATGAAAATAATTGCGAAATCCAGCGAAAGTCACCTATGAAGCAAAAATAATTGTTTGTATGGAAAGTAAGGACCTACATGCATCAAGTCATTTTTAAGTTAAAATGGCAGCAGAAGAATTATCGTTGAACTTTTAAAAGGTAAGCTTAAATATTAATGAAATACTTAAAGGCAGCGACCAATTTTGAGTTCTTTTGTAGTCTATTGCATATGGCAGCAGTATGCCATGCCAAAAGAAATTTCCGCCAACAGAGGACAAGATCGCAATCATAAGTGTCAAGTCTGCAGCGAGGAAAAGAATGTCCTGTGCAAATAAAAACCCAGATCAAATGGCAGCCAGGAGAGCTTCCAATGCTGAGAATATGCAAAGACTTAGGGACTTTCAAACTCCTGAACAAGCCGAAGCCCAATTAAGAGTCCTCCGCACGAGCTAGATGAAATGCGCCCAATAGGGCAGCTTTTAAGCTAGTTTCTAATATCTACCTACAATCTAATATTTTGTTTCTAACAACCTGTTTCCTTTTTCTTTCTTTCTTTCGTTATTTTTTTTCTTTTCGATTGTTTTTCTTATTTATTTTTTTAATTTATTTCTTTGCAACACTAGCGTTACTTTTTCTTTCTTATCACAAAACATTATTTCGTCTCTTTCTTCTTTATTTTACTATTAACCTTTTGTCTTCTTGGTTATCAAAATATTCCCTTATCACAGAACCCCACCTTGCACTTCCGATAACTTTCATAGCAACCATAAATTGTTCAAAACGTACTAAGATAATGCATTTAAAGTTAAAACTATATGTTCTTCTTTCTCCTCCTCTTTTCCTCTCTGTAGCATACATTTTTATCTCTAACCATATTCACCATAATCCCTAGACAACACTTGAATAAAGAGACACTAAAAAAGTGAATTCGATCTTTTAGTCAGCATATTATTGTACATCCAGGGACTTTATAAAAAAAATGAGAAACACAAATGATTTAAATGTCTTCTTTGATATTAAATGTTGGTTTTATTTGAAAGACAATAGCCTAATCCTTATTAAAAAAAAAAATAATTTTGTATATGTATAAGTAATTTTAGGATTTTTTAAATTTAAAACTCATCGAGTCGTTATGAAAAATACAAACAGCAAATTAAAAAACATTCCTAAAAATCCAGTATTTGTTCTGTTTCGAAGTAAGTCAATTAGTAAATTTAACAATTAACTGAGTTTTATAATGGAATTATAACTGAATTTTAAACGTAATGCTTACTACTTGCTTAAAACATAATGAAAATAACTTTTGTTTACAGACGGTAACATGTGTAGTGTCATAAGTCAACAACTATGATTTTCTACTAGTGTAAACCCTTTAACGTTAATAAGCGCGTGAGACAAAAGAGGTAATACGGAACACCAGCAATGCCATAATCAAAAAATTATTTGTTTTAAAATAATTTTTTTAATTTTATATAACCAATAATTTAAGAATATAATTTCTTTATTCTATACGTTTTTATGAAACTTGGTAGAATGAATAATTTTATTAAAAGTATTTTTTATTTTTTAAATGATACTTTTGAGTTTATATGGCTTTTAGTTTTATTTTATTTATTTTTTATCATTTTCTTACGTGT